CACTGTATATCTTGCATGAGAACCCGGGCCAGGGGGTGGGTTATTTTCATCAGCGCTGCATGGTTAGCAACTGAAGCACACTGGACTAGTTGGTGGAAAAGTTCAAGGAAATATCAAGTCATACTGAAAGTGATAACAATCCACCAATAAGAATTGATTTTGCTTTTAGTAAGCAAATACTCTTGCCCACAAAACCTGTGCGATACATGCAGTCGTCTTAGCCACCAGCGGTCGAGATCAATTTCTCAATGCAACGAAATTTTTCGCTCAATTATCATCTGAATTGTGACAAGTCGTCCGAGATAGATCCACTTGGGAAATCACAATTGAAAAGAGAATCGAGTGAATTGTGTTAGATCTAAAAATTGTGCTCCGTGACTGAAAAATGGCTTCTAGTTTTATGTTTCCTCAATGAGACGTGATAAGAGTGTAAAAAATCGTGATCAGCTCTAGCGAGAAGTACACGTGGCCGCGTGGGTGAAGACGTCACGGTGCGCCCTGCATGTGAAATCATATTCAAGTTATCTTAACAATCGGTCGGGTTACAAAGCTAAGTGAAAAAATTGTCGGTCAATTGTGCAATGCTGTAACCAAACTAATTAATCTTCAGTACAATGAAGTATCGGTACCCTAGCTAGCTTCATAAGGAACTTGAAACCCAAACAGGAACACCATCGGCATTGCAGGTGTTTCCCTGTTGTGGGAGTGAACTTGGAATAAGATACGCAATATTAGCCTAGTATTGTTTCCGTTGCAATGATTGCCAATATATAAACGAGTGTATGTCAATGAATATCAGAAAATCTGGTTATGTATTTACATATTTCAATTTCTTTACAAAAGTTACCCTCGTTTTACTAAATTGTTTAATTACTATAACACTGGCGGTGGAAACCAAAACTTTCCTAGAAGATGTGTTTTCTATCCTATACTCACAACACTTTGACGTATTCAAGAGGTTTTTCTGTTTTCTCTTCATAGGCGCTTTCTTGCGTCAAGTCTGGGTAATTTACATAAGTATCGTTCTCGCTGCCTTCTGCATCAGGTGAAACATAAAGCACCACGGGCTCGCTAGAGCTCAACGTTGCTATCTTCTTTTCAAAATGTTCATTCATCCAATCGTACGCGTAACGATATTCGTACCCAGATCCAGTGGAAGATCTGTGGTTTCGAGGATACTCGTATTCGCTGTCTCTTTCAGCGCTTCTCTCTCGTGGAAACGTGTTTACATAACCTGATAGCAAATGATCGTAAGCAATCGAGTATCCTTCGTTCACTTCGCGCGATCTCATATATTCATAATATGTGTCGATATATTCAGGATCACAATATTCATCCTCCTCGGTATGTGAGTCGACTACGATACTCTCATCTGAAACTGCCTCCGTGACATTATTTTGTTCCGAGTTCTGATGATCTTTCGGTTCAGCGAAACGAAACACGTCTGCCTCACAGTATATAGGACTTTCAATTACAGTGTCGCTTGGTACTGTGGAGACTGATTGTCGAATTTCCACTGCCGTAGCGACACAAACGCTTTTTCGAGAATAATAACGTTTTCTCTTGCGGCATACAACAAGTGTGATAAGAAGAAGAATAACAACTGGCGGTACAATGGCAACAATGCAAATATTCTTAACGTTGTCGAAAAAATCTTTGTTTTCACCTTGGTTCGTGGGAGAGGACACAGTTGTGTTGACATTGGAGAAAGAATTCACGGGTTTCCCGGGATCAGAGGTATCAGGTGTACTCAAACAAGACATCAATTCGGTGCAGTTATCAAGGACATCACAACATTTATTACAGTTATTCGTCCAGTCGGCAGGCTTCGATCTATTTAATGGGGTCTTTGACGCTTCACAGAAATGCTTAATACTACCGTAACTACCATTACCACACCGTTCGCAGTTCGTAATATTGCTGGCTTTAGTAGCTGGCTTTGACGAATTGCATCGTACAATGATAGCCAACAGGAACATAAACAACAAACACTGATACAATGGATGCATTTGAAATCGCATTGTAATAATTCCTAATTGTTTTGTCTGCTCTTGTTTTGATGCTTTCAGGAACACTGTTAACAGACCAACTGAGTTCCTGATTTCGTGTCATGACAGTGAAAAGGTTAGCTCACGACTCGCTGTATTTGGCGGGTCAAGTGGCACAGGGGGGGGGTGGGTGTAGACGAAGACTTAGCTTACGTTGAGGTTCAAACCGGAAAATTACTCTTGTGAACAAGCCTTCAGTGACAAAAGATTATTCAATATGCTTGACCACGCTATTCACAAAGGATTCTTCAATACGATTTGACGAAATTCGTCAGATCTAGTCGTATGGCCTGGTGGATTTCAGACAAATCTAATTATAATCACAGAAAATTCAGCCTGGACCAAGGCGTGTTAGAATAACCTAACTCTCTCATACTGTATTTTGTAAACAATTCAATATAAACAAACGAAAGTTGGTCGATAAAGTTTTGTGCACTGGTTATTCTTCAGTAAATTCTGGAAACAATTTGCACGCATTGTACTAGCCTGAATAAACAGGTATTCTATCACTACAATACTCCAACATACTTAGGTTCGCATATCCACGCTGCAAATTATGCTGTGTTTTACAATATTCATATCGTAAATGACAGTTATAAGTTATTATACCCAATTAACATACTATAACAGTAACAGTTAATCTCTGTCATTAACAAAGTTGCCAGATTATTGAATAAGACTCATGCCACCAGCCACTCAGCCGTTGGTCCGGTTCTTGAATTCTACTTTAAATTGATACAATTGTTTCTTTGAATTTACAAATAACTTTATCATGTAATCATACGAATGTATCACAGAGTAAGTGATGACAAAACTGACGAAATGAAAAGTGGAAATGAAATGACTTAGTATCCGGCGGTGTTGCCGACCCCTCCCCCCCCCGGATGCGTGGAATCTTACACAGAACAATACGTGATGTGTTTAAGAGCCTCTCATTGCTAATTGCTACTGAGACGGAAGACGTCATGACACCGTGACACCGAACGTCTTAAAAACAGAACTACGATAGCAATATCGCAGAAAACATATGCTATTATTACTCATTACAACCGCATTTATTCCCCCGCGTATATAGACGTTGCAGACTATTTCGTCATTACAACAATGATGCTACAGACAGTCGCTGCAATTCCTGGAAATTCTGAGAATAATAATGGTAATAACACCAAGTACATACAGGGGGCGGTAAAGCAAATGGCAATTCATGTCAGCGTTCTCACTTTTAAGGAAATTTCCTTAAACTAAGGAAATTTTGATCTTTTTTCACCTTTTTAAGGAATTGTTTGAGGAATTTTATTTTTTAATGAATTTCTAAGGAATTCTGAATTTTATCGAAATTATTTACTTTCGTTACAAAAGTCATAAAACTGAACAAAACATGGCAAAAATTAAAAATTGTTACTCCATTCTTACAATGTTTTTTTAACTCTTCTCAACTTCTGTGATCAGTTCGTGAACCTGGCCATCAGTGAGATTACTTTTCACATTTTTAACCATGCGGGCAAAATCTTCATCTAATTTAGCTTGGTCCGCATGGAATAACGATAATAATAAAACAGCTTTTTACACTAACTAATATAAAACCAAAACAATTTTCCCGCCTTTTTAGTAAACTACACTAGGTCCCAGGCTTCATATCTGGAAACCCGGAGATTTAAGGAAATTTTACTCAATCTGAGGAATTTTTGTCCTTAGTCTAAGGATTTCTAAACAATAGGATGTGAGAGCCCTGATTCATGTCATAACGTCAGAAATATAATAAGCTAATTTTTGCTCCATTTCTCTTATAATCGATACACATAAATAATCAGACCTATTAACCATCTATTTGACCCAATTTAAAAATAAACTTTTAAGAAACTACGAGAGCGAATAAGGATAATCAATTTTAAAGCTTCTTTACTTTGGAATAAAAGAATGAGGAGTGTTGCAACCAAATAAATCCGATTGACAGAATGACAGTGACCTTCCAACGCAGGTCATTCCTGTACCGACTCGAGTATTGATTCGATTAAAAAATTAAGGTTTCCGGTTTTCCAAAAAAAATTGCCTGATACTGTTTGTCCAGTTATTATGGACCCTAAGCATGTAGGATGGGAACGCCAGGACGGCAGCTTCGATCTACTTTCATTTTCGAAAACAGCTGTGTTAAATAACCCGGATTGACAACCCGGTCTCGTTAACAAAAGCTTCGAAATACGATCCCCACGACAATATTACATTTCTAAAAAAACACACCGGAAATCGAAAGTTTATCCGACTGTCGGGCAGAACACTTTGCCGTTTCACGCCGTATCGCAGCGGGTGATACGATTTTAAGAGCTGATATTCGGATCGAAACCTTCACCGCGACACGCCCCTCATGCTTCTCCCAGCCGCGCTAATTAAACGTCCAGCCCAAAGTCGAGACTGGTTCATAAAACCCACTGAGCAGAGTGCCCTTGTTGAGTACTACGTCTGGAGGTAGCTGGTAGTACCCGTTCTTGGGCACCGTACTCAAATTTATTTGGAAGCATTATATGCAACTTACGGGCACTCAAGATACGCATCCCGGGTAGTGTCGCAGCTCTTCGCAAGAATGATTTTCGTTGGCTGAACTTCACAATACATTTCTGTTTCAACCAATAGCATAGCTTCGTTCTTTAGAAAGCATAGAAAAGCATTATCCAATTGGACAAAAGCTTCCGACTTCTGAGCACTGCGACATGTCCCATATGTATGTCTGCGAATTAGTGCCAGGTTTCATGTTCCACTACTCAAACTTTGGTAGTGCGCTCTCATTGGTTGGTGTCAATCATAATCGGAATCGTCAGCCAATAAGACTGGAGTATTCGACAAATACACAAATACACAGCCAAGAGCTTCCACAATTTTTCCACTAGGCAAAATTTTGCGCATTGAGAGAACTTCCTTAAATTTTTAGCTCATGCAACACTGATTTGAAACAACCAATTTCAATCAGTGAGAAACGCCCTAAGCGACATAACCATTCAGGAAATAAACCTTACATGTGTACAAACCCTACTGGTGTAACACTAGAATTTGTGTTAATTTTATGTACAACAGCTCGTATTATGCATTGTTTTCAAAGGGCAGACTACATCAATCACAGAATGTTTCTATGTTTCTTACACATTTGAAATAAAGTTTATATAGTCCAGAATAATTACTATTTAACAGGATTCGAAAGAATACATCCTAGGTTAAGCATACATAATCAATATTACAATCCTTAGGTTTGAAAACGTCATTAACAAATTTTTCTTTTTAGTGATTTTCCAAATGGCAGCAGTAACCATGAGACTAGTAAGACAACCTAATCCAGGTAAAAATGGCCAGATGGACTGGTGCTATTGAATTTCAATACAGAAAGATTACTGGCATTATATATAGAGCATTTCACAAACTCAGCATTCAAGAAAAATCATTTACATCTGCCTAAAGTGGCGAAAACAGATTTATCTCTATATATATTTAACTAAATATGACCAGTTTGTCATACTCCAGTCTTAAAACAGCCTTATATCTGGCATCAGGTTAATCTCACAGTCTCGCCCTTATTTTGTAAGAAAAGATGAAAAATACTTTCCTTGTAACAAACCACAATTTGGTTTAACTCAGACCTAACATATAAGTTAAATGAAAGTACCTTTGCATATGTATATCCTTATGGCAAATTTACATGCATATAAAATCTAAGAAACACTAAATGACACAAAGTGCAAACAAAATAGTTATAAATATAAGCGCAAGGTTCCCCAAGAAAAAGGATGAGGTGCTAGGAAAGGTTAAACATATTGCATCAACATTGATCTCTCCTGGGACAAAACGAGCACTAGAGTGGAAAAATAAAAGGCTGGTTAGAAACTGATGCAATATAGAAAGATGGGATAGAATAACAGGAAATTTAACCACTTGATTGTAACTTACCATTCAAGCTCATTCGAGCATCTTTGTCTGGTGTAGTTTGTCAGAAGTTTTTGATCGTAACATACGGGATGACGGCACAGGAAGTTTTCAATTCTGATCCTGCACCAGGTTGGTAATGTGTGGTTAACACGGAAAGTTGTCAAGTTCATGAACTGCTGCACTTCTTGGTCATGTTGGTCACGAAGCCATGCTGGTAACTGAAATAAAATTACTCTAGTTATATATACTCCATATTAAAACTACAGGTTAGTTAGCTATTGGAAGAATCAAACTTGTACAGTACTATCATACCTCTGGTCAACAACTATTTTAGTTAGTTTTTTTTAAAATCTCCATAGCAAGATCACCACCATACACACTTTCACACCCCAAGTTTTGCCAGTATTTAAATTAAATGCATAGTGCGGAAATTGTTTGAAAGACTTTAAGTGCTAGCAATTTCTTTGTCGCAACTAAATATTTTATCAATTCAAGAAACTAAACGCACTAACAAAAACTCTGAAAAAAACTGTTACTTAAGAGGAATTTTTCACACGAAGAGATACATAGTTGCCTCATTGCTACATTCCTTTTTGAATTAGAATACAATGAAAAATTCTAATTCTAAATTAAAAGACGAAGAGTCGATGTACTTTATTAGTTATTAAGTCGTTTAAAACAGTCGCTCACCTCTTGTTGACTTGATCTACATCTGCTTTCTTCGTCGTATTTTACACAACGATTGAGTTCCCAGCCATCGGGAGGATAATTACTGACATGATCGCAGAGAAAGTATTTCTCTCCAACAAACTTTTCACCGACAAAACTGTTGCACGACGCGATGACTTTACTACATTTTGCAGCGATATTTCTATCGTGTTTGATTCTTCGACTGATATCCAAGTTAGGATAGCGCGGATCCTGACCTTTCTTACACTCGGGGAAGTACTGAGCACAGAGAAAATCTGCGTAAGCATGAGTGCATTGGCTACGGCTATCCAAACGCGATACATCACGAACAAGTCGATAAATTTTCTCCATCAGTTTGTAGTATTGTCTTGAAGCATAGTCAGACACAAAATGATTTCTTGATATATTACAAGGTGGTTCATTTGGGACCCGTTTACACGTCTTCAAATCACCAAGTTCGTACCATTTTCCAGTATCCAACTGGCCTTGTGTTTCACAAAACAAAATGCCAAAAAGAACAAGCAAATAAACCGCAAAGCCTTTGAACGACGCCATTAAATTCTCAAAGTGAGTTGGCTTCAGGCTTTGGAATTCAAGAGATATTTAGCCTCCCGACGAGAGACGAATATCACACAGTGCCTAAACAAATGTGTGTATTTTGAAAATAAAATTGCCACAGCTCTTTGCAGTTTCAAAAAAAATCCAAGTGTAAAAGACTTGAATAGTTTATATTCGGCTGAAAATGCTGTTTAATATTGCGCCGAAATATGTAACTTTTCGATCGCAAATATTTGTGACGTAATGACCCCTGGGTGTGAGCGCGTACTCGGAAAAAATACCCCAGCAGGTATCGTAGGGTTTAAACTCCGGTCGTATCTCACACCTGTTTTACCTGTACTTCCACTGTCTATCATGTGAGAAGCCGCTCTTTTTTGAAAGTGCGGGATTTGCCATTCATCACAAAAAATAGTTTTTAGCGCAATTTCGTTCCGTATTCGCTCTGATCACTTATTTTCAGCGCTGTATTGATTTACTTTTGGAAATGCGCATGTGCGCATGACCGCATGTACGTCGTTTATTTTAATTACAGACTCACTTTGTATTCCTAAATAGTTTACATATTTTGTATGTGAACCAATCTGGTAAAGATCCGTGAGCTACTTCCGTTAGTTTGTGTACTATTTGCACACAACTTGTTTCTTTGGTAAACCTACGACTGCCAAATGTTCCGGGCAAGTCATTTATATATATAGATATGACACATTAAACCCCGCTTTAGGGGAAATAAATGTACCTTGATCTCCGGTCTCAAATCAAAGAGATTCTTGGTTTTCATTCTTTACGTCCAACAACGCTATCTTCAATCCTTTCCCTTGATCCACTCTCCAACATCCCTTCGTCATCATAATCTGGCAGATACCGGGCTGGATTACTCCGAGCACTAAAACCAAGTCTCAACCTGGAATTGTAGCTTGTTTTCTCATATTTCAACATCGCTCTCTGTTGTTTCCGCTTCTTCTTAGCGACAGCCATCCATTGTGTCGCACCAACGTTTTCGTCCGTAAAATATTTTGCCAGCGCTGGGCTTCTCTTTCGCGTTCCTTGATACAGCGAGTGGTTAACGTGACCAAGATATGGAACACCACGTCGACCTTGCAATCATTGAGAAATGTTATCATTGATTTCATCTAATGGAATATGGTGGAAGAAGATAGGGAGGTGGGATATAAAGTTAGAGGAGAAAGAGAAAGTTAGTGGGGGGAGAGGAAGCGGGTTGAAGAAGACAAGGCAGGTGGGGAATGGAGAGCTGGTGGAGGAAGACAGGGCTGGTGGAGGAAGACAAGGCAGGTGTGGAATAGGAGGCTGGTGGGGGAAGAGAAAGGTGGTAGAGAAACATTGGCTTGGTGGGGGAGAAAAAATTCTGGTAGGAACAACCGCCTTACCTCGTTGTCGTACACTGGTAGGAAGGAGTGAAGGCTCTCTAAGGTACAGACCAGCGCCACTGGGTGTGTACGCCTTTAGTGTCACAACTAAACCCGAGCCTGCCGTCACTGCAACCCAGCCGACATTTGATAACATGACGTCAGCGACACTTCGCTTCCAATGAACACCTGTCATTTCAAACACACGGCCACTGAGCTCTGGGAGTTCTTCCATTCGTGTCTTCCCACCACAGGGCACCTAAATAAAGACATAAAGTTTAAGGAAAATTAGAGTTTATGTTTGCAAAAGGGATTTGTTTTTGTCCTGTATTCCAACAATGAGGTCTGCAAGGTTTACCTTCAAAAGATCACCACCAGCATGCTCAGAATACACACCATCAGCACTCTCTAAGCTTGTTACATGAATAGGAAGATTTGGCGAAGCAAAAATTGTGAAGAAAATAGACTGTGAGGCCTGGTGAAGAGAATTGAATTGATCCAAACATTTCACACAAAGAAGTTTTGTTGTTGTTTTCCATTGTATAAAAATTGACTTACTTTTGGTATCTCATCTTCTTTGCTAGGATCCACAGTTGACATTCTTTTCACCTGAGAAATAAAGCAGAATACTACCCCTTTACTTTCTTTAGCAATAAACCACACAGACAAAGAGTTAGCACTTATGAAACTCAAGATAAATTCATCATAAACACATACATTCAGATAGTCTAATCTTGCTAAACCACCAACAAACAGAACTTTCCCAGGCCTCAGGATGACCGTACGAGGAACGAACCATGATGTTGGGTTGAGCAACTTAAGCTCTTGGTTTGATAAAAGATGAGTAATCTATCAAAAGCAAATGTTTACCATTAAAAAACAATTTGTTTGAGAGGAACTTTGTTAGAGGAGGATTTGTTTGTCAATAAAAGGGAACCCATATTTTAGAAGGCTAGCAAAGTCCCAATAATTCTAATCCCATACTTGGTTTTTGCTGTATAATCCAGGTGTATCATATAACCATGAAAGTTCATCTTGGAGGTGATCTTTCTGTCTGGTCACAAACTGAAGCTGGTAGGGTGACAAAGCTTTCGAGACGTTCTCTGCTGGTTCCTTGATATCTCGATATTTTGTGGACTGTTTCTCAATGATGTCACCACTAAGGTCTACTTCCTGTTGGTTTTCTTTGCTTTTCATCTTGAAAGAACAAATTTAGATTTTAGGGGTGTCCTAGCTTGCATAGCATGCTTGGACCTATGGTTAAAATCTATTTTAGAGTTGATTATAATAGTTTGTGATAATAATTACACACCTCCAAATATCCAGTTTTAAGACGATCTTGCAACCTCAAAAATCTATGCTTTGTTATGGGATATCGCAAGAGACTGAGCGTTGTCCCGGCGGATTCACTGACAGTTCCTCTTTGCAACATATTATCAGAGTGCCGACTTGCGGAGAACAGGTCAACAAGAAGATTAAACAATGTTGTCTTGCCTGAGTTATTACACCCCACTAAATAAACATCTGAGTTTTTCCCCCAGTGTTTATTGATTGTTCGAACCAAGCTGAGTATACCAAACCCGGTTTTTGCACTAATCACAGAGACCTCTTGTATATTTGCATTTTGCAACCCAAATTTTCTTCCCTCATCTGACAAAATCCTCTTCAAATGTTGAATTTGATGACTTGGATGTCCATCGACTGGTAATCGATCTATTTTATTGCCGACCAGGATAATATGCTTTGTCTCACCAACAATTTTTAAAATATCTTCAGCAAAACTGCCAGGAACATTCATGATATCAACAATATATAATATCAATGCTTTTCTACGAGATATGTGGGTTAGAAATTTGGAAATAGTTTCAGGTGAAATCATCGGTGGGACATCTTTGTTATAATGCTTCAGGCTAAAACATCTTGAGCAAATTTTCTCTGCCATAAATGAGTTTTCTTCAGAATTCCTAGAAAGGCTTGGATTTCTTTTTTCAGGAATATAACCTGGTCTGTTTTCATTCTGGCTTTGCAGGATAGCACCACAACCAGTACACTTTGGAGGAAGTTTGTCAAAAATTTCTGGAAAAACCTCGATTCCTAGAAATTCTGTGTGCTGTGAAATTCCTTGCTGAGCGGTTAGACACCCATCGTCAAGTTCAGAACTTGCAATGTTTTCAGAAACTTGTGTGGGAATATTGGTAATGTTTCTGAAATAGTCGTTAGTCCTGACTGTAATACGACAGTCTGTTAAGTCAGAAATTAGTTTATTTCCATCAATGGAAGATTCATACTTATCTGAAGAATTAGAACATACACTATACGTTCTATATCCAAAACGACATGGCAGAAACTGTGTTGAAAAAATCCTCGTTTCCCGATATATACTGCCTCTCACTCCTCGTAAATAACACGAAGAACGAGCCAGAGAAGAACTAGCGATGCCAAGCATGTTACAAGCCATATTTTGTGGCGTGATTTTTGCGTAAAGTTCAAATTTAAAAAACAAAATGTACAAACATGTAACCAGCGCTAGGACGTAACGTTTCAAAAATATAATCACGCTGACCAACAAGGTGTGGTAGGCTCCTATTCTCTTTCATTACTTTTGATAAGAGAGTTTAGATGTGAACACTCGGCTTTTCATTTTTCATCAAGAAATTGGGGTTTCCATCATGACATTATTGAAATATTAATTATGCTTTGTCACTCGATTGTTAATTAATCTCTATAACCTCGTTGTCCAATATCGCACATGACTGAAGGGACTTTGTTAAACTAACAAAAAACAATAGATTATATTAAATGATTGTCCTAATGTCCTGAGCTTTATTTACATTTAACAACTTAATTACGGTTAATTTGTCACAAAAATTATGCCTATAGCTTCATTGTTTAACATTGAAAAACAGCAGAACCCGAAATTGATAAAGTTCCATAAACGTTCTCTAACTTCCCTCTCTAAACCTGAATGCACTTCAATTTAAATAGATATTTGCTTAGTGATCTATTTCTTCTATGATCTGATCAGAAATAACTAATAATGTATGGCTTCTAAATACTGCACGTTTTAGCTTTGGTAGTAGAAAAAAGACTAAGGATAAAGTATCGACTCTCTTAATCGTCATTTTGCTCTGTATAAGTTAGAAAACATTGAGAAACGAATCACGAATGATTACAAGATAAGGCTTATTTAAAGGTTTAAAGTTAATCCCTGTTGTCTATTATACGACAAGACAGTTTACTTGGACTTTATGCTTAAAATTGCTCGAAGTTATCAGAGACAGTCTTAATTGATGTTTGGGTCAACGAGAGAAGAAGTTTAATTATTTGAGAAGAGATTTCTGTGCTCGAAAAATCTGCTAATAAAATGGAAAGGTTTAGAAAGAACAATGTTCCTGTTCATTCAAAACAATGGACGACGTTTTTTGAGAAGAAAATCCTTCATGATCCTACCCACAAAGAAATAGAGCGGCAGGAAAATCTTCTTGCTGACAACTACGAGAAGAAATTGCTTGGCTGTGCTTCAGCAAGTGAAGATCTTCGCCATTTTAAGGCGAGAAAATCGATTGACAAAGACGAGAAACAGGTTAGGAGAGAAGGTTATGGAGTGAGGGAATACTTGCTGCAGCCATTGCGAAGGGTCACAGGTTTCTCAACCGGCTACTACGATGAGAGGACGACACCAGCGACTAACATGCTGTCATGTAGGAGAAAGATGAACAGAAAACCAACAAGACACTCGTGGCATTATCACGGAGTTTCGTCTGCCGTTGAATGCTGTGATGAGATTTCAGAAGAACAGAAAGAAAGTTTGGAAAATTGCTTGCAAGTACATTCGATGACAATCAATCAAAACACGGGGCAGAAGGAATGAGATTTCGCATGCAGACAACGAAGTTCTTGTTCTGGATCATGATATCCTCATGGACAACCTGTGTGTAACAATTTCTATCTTTTGTTTATCTCGTATTACGTTTCATCATATTTTTGTCTCTTTCCTTGGATTATATTGCTATACAGTATGAAGCCTAAGAGTTGATCTGAGCTAAACTGACTGTAGCAGGGTGTCACGACCAGTAAAGACTATTAATTTAGAATTTTCTTTAATGATTTTTCCTTGTTATTTCATGCACCCTTTTCAAAGGCATCATTCATAAAATAATATAACTTCGCTGAATCTAGCGCAGCAGAGCTTGTAGCTGAAATTGAACAGGGTAATTCCTGCTTATTTTAGCCAACCACTCATATACTCTCAATAGCAGAGAATTCTAATGTTCTAAGCATCGGATGATCATGCAGAATTGCCACCAAACCGTCTGGAAACAACAGCCATATTAATTCCTGGCTGTAGGTTTCGTTTACGAGTTGCACCGGTTTTGCTTACTGTGCCGTGTTCCCTTTGTACTTCAGGAACACAGAAAACTTTGACTCCCTACAAATTTCTTACATTTAAAGAAAACACCTAACTTATCGAAAAGGAACTTAATTGATCTAAACTGTGCTAAATACTATACAATTCATTCATGCAGGTGTTCCATGAATAACATTAAAACACATTTCACGTTTTTATAAAAATACTACAGAGTACAGTGCCAGTGGAATGCACATTTGAAGATACAAAAGCTTTAAAAAGTGATCTAGGATAGTTTTAAAACACGTCCTGTTATCACCTTGTTAGCCCGCCTCTAACAAACTCTATCTGGTGTTAAAATGATTACTTTATGCATGACGCAATCATATTAAACCAAATCGTTGCTACGACTGTCGTTGCAATGCAATGAATGCGGGATTTCATTTAATCTGTTTACACACGCACTCAATTCGGATTAATCACCTCTTGAGCAATCAAGTGACTATGGAGAAAAAACAAAAAAATCGTTGAAATTCGACGCAACCTCGGTATGAAATGATATGATATGATCAGCCATTTTTCCAGAGCAGTCAGGTAACAAAGATTTGTCACGAACACGTAGTATTATACCACTTTGTTTTTTAACCGCCAAAAACGTAGATAAACACATGTTTGTGAATCAGGACAATTGATATTTTTAAGTCAAATCAATGGTTTAAAGTGTCGGACATGATCAATTATTTTACACCAAACTTAAAGAAACAGAAGCCGGGAAAAGGTGATTTACCTGCATTTCATAAAACTTGAATGCTCTTAAGTTGGTACTGTATAGTATCTTAAAAGGTATTCGTTAATTTTTGTGCTGGATCAATATAGGAAGGCGCCATTGTCGGCTAATTTAATTATTATTGAAACAGGTCGTCGTATGATGTAGGCTTTTTTCAAAGGGTATAACGTCACACGTGTTTGATATACGTAGAAAGGTCTAATTATATCATTGTATCCTTGGAAAGCAATGTTTTTCTTGTGTAAGATAAGATTATAAGGTTATGAAGATAAGATTATTGTGTTGTAAGAATGTAAATCAGTTCAATAGTAATGGAATATGTTAGCATCGACTGTAATGGAGTTTCTGTTTTCCAAAACTGTTTCTGGTGTTCTTGATCGTAAACAAAAAGGTAGAAATGAGAATTTTGTTTTTAGAAGGAAGAAATAGTCGAGATGGGATTACATTTTGCCCCCGGAATATAGATTTGAATTGAAATGATGAAAATTTCTTGAAAACGATTGCACGTAATCTTTCTCTTGCCCTTGGGCTATGATCGAAGGTCTGTAGTTTAAGGTCTACAACTTCACTGAATATGATCAAGAGTCGATGCTGCCGGGCTGTAGTCACCTCTCTATCGATAGTACAAGCTCTCGGTGCGATGTAAATATCGTATAACTGAAAACTGAAGTGGTTTTGATCAGTGGTTTGGATCGCTCAGCAAGTGAAAGCTAGCCGTCTCGTCTGCAGGCAGGCTAGTGGAAGCTCGCTTTAGAGAACACAGGAGTTAGTTTTTAACATATAAAACTATATATTTAGGACTTTAGGGACATGGGAAAGTCATTAATACTGCATTAATATGAGCTAATTCTGCTTACTGATCTAGGTAATACTGGAATGTGAAATCGTTATCACAAAAATATTACAGAGAGCATTGAGGATTTGCCTCGTCCCCAGTCGCTTGCCATTGCAAAAATAGAGATCAGTGGCTGTATTGGAAGTTATGTCTTCGAGTCAGGAGGAGAACGGACACAATGACGACTGGACTGACACAACTTTACAGGAACTCGACAACGAAGAACGTTCACCTGTCGAGGAATCATTCTACGAATCTTACATCATCCAATCACGGACCGCTGTTGATAATCTGTATGCTTCAAATGTCTTGTCATGCCAGAAGCACGTGAAAGAGGTGAGCGATCTTGCGAGACAGAGAAAGGTGAAGCTGTCGGCGCTTGAGAGAGAACAGAAGAAACTTCTTAAAAGAATGGAAAATTTAAAGGAAAAACAAGAAACTCAGCGACGATCAAATGAAAGATCTTCGAGCCCAAAGGTGGAGCTGACAGGCACTTCTGACAAAGTAAATTTCACGGACCGTAGGCGTGGATCGTTACCACCGCTGACAGCAGGCAGCAAGGACTCCACTTCAAAGATGGTAACAAGTTCCGATCGGTTAAGTGTAACCTCCAATATCCTTTCGAAATCCTGTAATGATGTATCGTCTCTGGAAGCACCAAGCCAAGGACCAACGTTAGTCTTGCCTGCAATCAAACCCTCACGATCCTATGAAAACCTGTCTGGATCCCCTTTTGTCACCCATATATCATCAAAAGTACGCAAATATCCACGAACCTCAAGGGGCCTTGCGAGCCGTGAAAAAATCCATCTCTTCGGAGAGCCATGTGATGCAAAAACAAACTGGGATGACAAACATTTCAAAGATAAAATTTCTACGAAAGTTAAGTGGGTTCCTAGAAATTAATGCCGTTGTGGTTGTAACAATAATGTTCCAACATATAAGACGTCGTGTTATATTTAACATTTCTGGGGTAAAAATTAATTGTATGCGTTGTCCTAATTCAAATTTAAATGAATAGTTTCAAGGTTCAAAATGTTTCCGTTTCAAGGTTCAAAATCTGTAGTTTCATCCAACGACCAACTTCTCGTCAAACAAGGAGCTGAACAAACGCGAGAAAGTTTTCGTTTCGTGAAATTTTCCGACAAAACTGGACTGTTGGAAAGAAACGACGTGCCAGGCTCTGGTGACGAGCAACGTTCCTCCAACAACGAACGAGGGCACGGCAGCCTTAAATTATTCAGGTGTTTTTCAGGCGTGTCGCTGTCCGAGCGGCAAATATCACAATTGAAATTACTCGGTGATAGTTTGTTCATTGGCGCCAAACACGAGCAATGTTCTTCATCATTTCTACAACAACTTGTATCTAAAACATTTCCGTTGATCTCACTTGGGTCACCTATTCCCTCATTATCATTCACTATCATTAACACTGAGTTTTCATTCGATTCCATTCTCCCTTGTGGCGAGCCTCCTCCATCATCCTCAGGGTGGCCAATCACTCTACTAACTGTGTTTTTAAAGCCGTTATCCTCCAAGCTACTCTTATTTATCTCAAAACCATCGCTTGCCAAGTTCACCGAGCCATAACCTCGATGGCCTAAAATTTATCAAATATTTTCCCCTTGTTAGACCGCAGAATCTTTCTGCAGAATCAGTATAGATCATCGCAGGTTTATCGCTTGTTTGCACCAACCCTGTTCTCCTGTTTGGCCGGAGCACCCACAGAGCCCCACCCTGGGTAAATTCGTTTTTTCTAGAAAAATAAACATTACTCACCAGGTAAAGACCACAATCCTGCAACCTCCAGTGTTTTCAACTTGTTTTCCAGCTCGCTGACTCGCTTGCCGAGGATTCTATGGAAACAAAAGTCTGAGTATTTTCTGCCTGATTGTCGTCGAATCGGATCATATGTTCTCTAGTGCCAGCAGCTCTAGAATATCTCTATACTGAAATACTTTGTCACCTGTTCGCGCTTTTTTGATGCGAAAGCGCCAGGTTCTTCTCTGTAATCGTTTCCGAGAGAATATTCGCGACGTTTCTAAGATCAGCGACCGTTTTCACGGAATGATCATGGCCTAGAATTAGATAGATTGTGCTACGTAAAAATCTGAGAACTGTTTAAAAGATTACTGTCGGGTGGAGATTGCGCAGTATTTCGTACAAAATACAAACATGCAGTCTTTAAACGATCAGAAATCAGACTTACTGTGTTTAGAGTAATAGGAAGCCAGTCTTCCTCCATTCCTTTGATGAAGTATTTTGTTTTTCTTTTTCTCAAATGCAGCCTAAGTATAAAATTACCGCAAATGTTCAAAGTGCAGCTGTGTGGTTATTTGAATGTATTAAAAAATCATATCAAAGTCAATTGGTAATAACTATAGTACCTCGTATTTCTGAATGCATTCCTTCTCAAGACTTCGTTCCTCTTCCAGTATTACGAGCTTTTCTTTTAAATATCTGAATCAAGATCATGCTGAACGTGAGTTCTTTGTTTCCAAACTCAAAATACATCATCATACATGAACAAAACCTACTTGTTATCAAGAACTAGAGCATCAATGTCAACCAGCCGTCTGTCATCAGCACCAAGGATATAGTTGAGTTGTGTGTTTAACCTTTCACATTTCTCCTTATAGGAGTCTCTCTATATGTTAAATTAAAACAAAGTACGTGTCAAACATACTAATCCAGCGATACTTCGTGAAATTAGTTGAATTACATGAAAAATTTCAATTACTGACCTCTGATACAATGTCAATGTTCTCATCTTTTACGCTTTTCAATTCCTGTTCCAGATTGACAAGCTGAAAGAGACAATTTCGAATCATCAAGTGATAATTTGATCAATAAGAGACAGTTAGTTAGCTTGCAGAGAAATTTAAAATAATTCTCAGAGGTATAGAGCTACCTCTCAACATTAAGGTATTCTCATATGGAAATTCCGATCTCAATAAATTCTGAAGGAATCTAAAAGTCCAATATGATTTGTAATTAATGCTGGAGAAGCCAGTAATTTTCTAACCTGTTCTTTATACTCTTCAAGCTGTAGAATGCATTCCTCTTTTCCATCAGTGACAGTGTCTGATGCCTCATCTCCATGAGAACTAGAGGAACTTGACTGACGCCTCATTCTATCCCTCATGAGCTGAACATCCTCCTGAGACTCAATGTAAAGTTTTTTCAGTTCTTGGAAATCATATCTCAGTGCTTTGTTTGCTTGTTTGTATTCATATATCAACTGAGTAAGAGTGTCCTGAAATGAAAGAAAACATGTTTTTTAATTCTGATGCACTTCTGATGAGAAAACAGAAGAAACAGACTGCTACTGGGCATAGAATTTTCACTATATTGCCTCACCTTCTCAGGTGAATTTTTACTCCATGTCAAGCTACGTTTGGCTAAAACTTACCTTTGAAGTATGACTGGTGACTAAATCAGGACTTTGCACACGTTCTGGTGAATTTGGTTGCTCAGAATGAGCTAGCCGCTGTTTTTCATTCTTCTCACCTTGGACGTATTTGTCCAGATCTTGTTGCTATGCACAGAATCATTACTAGTAAGAATATACAGAAATTTACAGACACTATGATTTACTACAAAACTTACCAGTTGATTTACTTTATTTTTATATATTTCAGTCTCTTTTTTGGATGTCTCCCATTCTTTGGTGATGATCTTCAATGCTTCTCGTTTACTTTGCAACTTCTTTTTACAAATATTATACTAAAAATATGAATTGTCAAAAAATATATTCACAAATTGCCACATCGTGATCTTTTGATCTCTGTACTGTACTTTCAACTCTTCTTTGACTGGACATATGTGGCTCTTATCAGATAATCTCATTGGTTTCTTATGATGTGGATTCCAGTGGCCCCCCTGTATATTCATCACCCCTTTCCTTTCCCGAGGCATGCCTATACCCCTGGAAGGACAATATCCAAACGATTATATTGATGCAACCATTAAGCCATTGAAACTGACATTACGAGATGGAACTAACAAAATTGTGGGCATTCATTGCAACAAATAAGCCACAATGAAAATACTATTACAAACCCTAAGTCATTGAAACAGGTGAACTTGCTTACTTATACATTATTAAGTTTTAATAACAATTCAGAAAATATTAAAGCATGAAATATATACGATTATATACGATCACACTTTTTGAAAGTCCTCATACGAACAAATTATTTAGATAATAAATCTTAAAGCAGAAGAAAATCAATATCTCCTTGTAAAATCTTTTATTTGGGCTCGGTAAAGTGATCATGCTTGATTTAAAAAAGCATTAAAATAACAAAGCATTCTCCAAAATCCAAATAAACTCTCCGTGTCAAATTTCACAACAAATCTTACCTCACCAACAAGAATCGCCCATTCTCTCTGTGTTCTAGCAAGCGCCATATGTATCTCCTTATCGTTAAATCTTAACTATATCATAAAATTTAAAAGAAACTTTCAAAAACTATTTACAAACAAAGAAATCCGAGGAAGATTTGATCAAAATATAAATTAATGTTTTTAAATCGTTCGTGTCCTCGTGGGAGACACCGCTGACGAACAAAGATCCCAGGCGTGAAGAAGACTAAAAATTACTCACATTCTGTTCTGCGCAACTCTGTATAGCAGCTGAACCAATAAAAAACGAGGCATCTACAAAAGATCAAAGATGCGGGTCCCCAAAGGCCCTATATTCCTTTCAAACCCTAGTATATTCCAACATCAATTTCAGGGTCTTTTTTGTGTTACAAGTTGTAAAACTACCACCTTTGACTATCTTCGTTAACCAATTTACTTAATGAGCCTAATGGCGCAATGAAGTGAATGAACGTGCCTCTTCTGAACTCGTTTTTGCTCTTTTAATGAACGCATTTTAAGATCCTAGTCATGCTAAAGTTTGTTTTGACATATATATAAAAAATATCCTACTTTGGGTGTTCTACAACAGTAGTTTTCTTGTTCAGTGATTATGGCTGAAATTCATCTGCCCTTATATTTGAAAGGAAATTAACAGAGTACATACTCATCTATAAAAGTAGGCTATAATAGTCAAAGTGACAACTAAATCAAATATGACTTTGTTACGTTCAATAACTTGATAAGAAACAAATTAAAACGTTACCTTCAGCAGATAACAGACTAACAGTCAACAAGTCGTGAACGACTCGTAAAGCACTAATTAACATAGAACACCCTAGAAAAATCCCGGCCCATCACGAATATATACTCTTTTATTGAAATATAAATCACAGTAATGTTATAATTTGTCAGCTAAATTAGTTTTCACCGTTTGCTATTGTGTTCCCTCAAATACATATGTTCCGAGGAAAAACCTGTGTACATAATGTAGCCAATTGATAACAATACATACATCTGTCGTTAAATAAATGAACTGGTCCTGAATAAGTTCATGAGATGGCGCAAATATAGGCCATTTTGCTGAAAGATTTATTCAAGACAGATATATCAAACAGCTATTGTAGTCCTGACCTGAATTGTTCAGCTGAATCTTGATTTTTTCTAAGATAATGCAACGTTCAAGTTACGATCTTAAGATGGACGGAAAAAAGGTAAAAATAGTTCGTATACATGTGTCTCTAAATGCTTTTTCTTCGTTAATACGCCATATATTGATATAATTTATGTACAGGTAAGCTATCGGAAACGCTATATTCTGCAAAAATAAAAAAGTGAAATTTATTTGAAAGTGAAATCGATTCAAGTTCTTCCTCAGTAATTTCAAGGGCTGGTTGATCACCAGCACTTTTCAAAGATATCTTAATTCAGTATAGCCTAAAGGCTAAAGGCATAATTTTCAAGGCTATTCTCAACACTAAAGGCTCATTTGTCCGTGTGTTCATAAACATAAAAGTGATAAAACTAAACGGTGATACACTGAAAGCGTGTCAATAAAACAATTTACAAAATGATGACATTTTCACGCTTGGCTTTTTGCAAAATAGCTAATGCTATATACGAATTGTAGGGCAGGCCGATAACGTAGGTCTGTTTCAGTGGTTCCATGCAATTGCTATGCACACAAAATGGCCGGCTGCATCTTTAATTTTAGGTTAATAAAACGTTTAAAACGTCATTGTAAATTAAGAAATGTCTATCTTTGTATACCATGCAGTAAAATCTTCTTCATATAGTGCATGTATATATAATGTTGTTCAATCTTTACATGAATAACGTAAAATAAAACTGATTGCATGGGACATACTGATTTCTAATGTGTTGCGATGAATCGTGATAAAGAGGTTTGGAGGGAAGAGTTGGTGGTAAATTACGCCAAATATCGCGACGAAACTAGCGAAGTTTGTCAAGCAAAGGAGAAGCTTCATCAAACGGGAACAGATAGCCCTGAGACTACCTCAGAAGAGAACCAAGATAAGATATTTTAGCGACGTGCACTTGTCTCGCGAAAAACTAGACTTCAATAAGGAATGTGAATAATGCAGCATTTTGAGAAAGTGTTCCAAAAAAGTCCGATTTCTATCTAAAAACGTTTTCATATTTCAAACGAGTCGCTATTAAGGCAGTGTTAATATTTATATAGTTGTGGCGTCAGGGCAATTGAGGTTGTAAACTTGGCATTGTGGTCAGCGCGTAATTGAGATTATTCTTCATTTTTTGTCAGCGTGAGACAGCACCTAGCGGAAATACAACTTTTATTAAACTTGATTGAGTTATTACTCGAAAAACTATCACTAATAAAGGACGAAAAAGTAGCGAGCCAACACTCACGAGCGTGTGTACACAATTTTGAAGAGCATGCTCAATGCATGAGCTCAAATGAGCCTTCGTCTGAAATTTTTGAAGTGCCATAGCGTACCTTATCAGTGCAAATGCAGTTGTTGAGCGAAAACGACGCTTCTGTCCTTGCTGTTGGACGCCAGCGTGCGATCAATGTAGCAATTTAATTAAATTCGTGGCAATTTTCGAACGCCACATTAGAATAAATAGCGAAAACATGAAAATATGAAAACAAAAGTTTCGATATTTGGTTTGTGTTTTTCTTAATGAAGTATGGAATAGAGTTACTTATGATTATTTAAGCAAAAACCTCAGTAGATTTGCACCGCTAAACCGCACCGTTCTTGAGATTATGCAAGTTTGTAGCAACACAGAAAACGGATTAAAGATATATGCCAATGCTGAATGCAGTCATGCTGGGATGAACATAGAGAGTTTTGGATTTAATAAAGTGATACAAACTAGGTTTACGTCCATGATACACTGGAGACCTGTACGATTTTTGAACGCACATTTTCACACGCGATATAGCAAAACCTCTCGTGAAATTTTAGGCTTCCTGTTTTTTTTGACACGTTCTCTCGCTATCGTCATTTTGGGATCGCGCACACATCAACATAGATCGAGACATCTCAGATTGGAAATAAGAGCAAGCTTGAATTATTAATTCCGTTTGAGTGAAAAAAGCAGATGGACATGCAATTGTACAGTTGTTTTGACGAATGCCAATTTTGATCGTTTAAAAAATTGATCACAGTTTTCGGGCTTAATTTCCAACCTCCATTTCTCGAACAAACATCGCGGAGAGCCATAGCCGTTTCAGAGCGTGAGGAGCAACATAAAAACTTTCATAAACTACCGAAACTTTTGTGGACGCTGAATATATAGATTGCATTAATGCAAAGACGGTTTGGTCTGAGGGTTCTGTATATATTCATGAAGCAACCTTTTTGTGCGCGCTTGCAAAAAATCGTGAATAGTTTACAGGAAAGACGGAAATAGAAAACACGAACTTTTGAATATAGAAGGCCAAAGTATTGCCATGCATATATTTATGTAAGTGAATTTTCGTTTATAGTGCAGAGCCGACAAAAATATTGATTAAGACAAATTTCGCCCTGCCAGGGAGTCAGTGTTCTCTGAATAGATGTAATTGATGTTATTAAAAGCAGTTTGGTAAAGCTAACACCGTCACTATAAAAGTGAGTGATAGATTTGTGATCATGGTGTCCGAAAAACTGATAGCTTATTGATTCTAGAAATGTGCCAATGAGAATGTGACAAGCAATAAGAATGGCTCTAATGAGAATGAACATTGGCTAATAACTGCGCACATTCGACAGATATATACGTTGCAAGGTATTTTTTACCTAATTTTTATTATCCTTCGTAATGTTGCTAATAAGCTATTCAAATGCGGTTAGATGAAAAGGGAGTTAGTTGATAGAAAAAAGGGCTATAAGATCAATAATTAATGACTCAATACTCTCCTATCAAACACAGCATGCAGATAAATATTTCAACAGTGAATTTTGTACTAAGCAACCGTGCATGTATATAACTGCGAGTACACGTTAATTTAGGGACAAAATTTTTGGTTTACAATGTTTCGTTTGACGCTCAATTAAAAAGGAACACAATTTGAACAAATTTTTGTTTTTAATATTGATAATTTTATAGTAGAGCAAATTCTGGGTCGCGTAAAATTGGGAAAACAGTAGACGAAGAATGTTTTAGGTTTTTCCCAATATATATAATGTATACTATATTATTTTCTTTATATTTTGTTATGTTTGGGTAATTAAAGCCGGGAGTAATTAGCATGTTAGATGCCTTATCACCAATCAGAGAATATAAGTAGCTCTAACGTTGACACAGAAATTAAATTCTAAAGTAGTTTCGGCAAATTTGCTCCGAGATATACCAGGGTGATTGGGAAAAAACGGGGCGCGCCATATAGACGTAATTTGCTACAAGGGCATTCATTCGAAAAGATAATTGATACAATTTGGAACGTTTTCAAGTTGTGAGAAAAAAAAACACAAGAAAACTACGAACAATCGCTGTCGTTTGTGAAAAAAAGGTAAGCGAAACATTTGCTATTTTCATAAAGTCGAAGGAGCAACGAAGTGCCACGGACTCCGCGTGTTAGTAATAGAGCAATTAGGCAGAACAACAAAGGCAACAAAACGAAGATTCGCTAGGTTATCAAATTCGTTCACGTGGGGAAAGCCAATAACGGACAATCAACGATAATTTTCGACCTATTTCCACAACAAAAAGCCGACATTATCCACGGACCATGCACTTCTTCTTGCAAGTTAAGCCTATTGAAAACGCGAGCCTCAAAACATCACGATAAATTGACTGACCTAATGGCCTTTATTTACTCTCGTTTGCGATTTAGGTTTTCTTTCAGCTCGCAGACTCACACGTGTGCAAGCACACGATGCGTTGTTCAAGCCTTTCAAAGAGAGAAAAAGCGATCCTTTGCAATTAACATTAAAAAGTGCCTATTTAAAAAAGGTGTGAATCCTTCTGCAAATGACAAATTGTCGAATGTTTCTGCATAATTCTGTATAACAATGATATTTTTCATACAAGACAATGTTAAGGGTATAGAACGAAGCTTCGAAGTAAAATATCCATACAGTGAACTAATTTGAGGCGGCGTGCCTTCCGCATGGACAAGAATCTCTATAGTTTCCAAACAATTGCAAATTAAGGCTGTACTCGATCAATACAAATGTGTATATGTGTGCTATGATATATAGCAACTATAATTAAGTAGGAATCCAAATCGCTATGTGCAGGTGTAGTTGAGATATTGACATGAATGGCTGCTCAAAAAGAACAACATGGCCAGATGTCATAATTCTATGCCTACTTCTCGATAACAATAGAGAATACTCGCGGACTGAAATGATACCTTGAATAGATTAATTATAATCAAGCAATAGAATATTTCTGTTTCCGCGCCCATGATATTTAAGCGAAATTTGGGGGAAAAGCGAACTCCCTCGAATCGCCGAGGACATTCGATCCGAAAACCGGAATGTCGATTAGGAGGAGTGTATTTTCGCAAATTATGTCTCCCCTTAACCACAGATTAGATACGACATATTTCAGGTTGTAGTCTCTGGTTCGCTACGTATAATTTCACGCGAATTGAGTAGATATTGGCATGATTAAAAAACATTAAATCCGTATAAATCAATATAAAATTAACAAGTTTATATATCCATGGCCGAATTGTAAAAAAAAAGTCGCAAAGAATAAAATATGGCAATAGTGATTGATACATTTGAACAGGAGACAAGATTCGTTCGAAATTTACAGTGAATTCTTTCATTTACAAAACTGTATTAGTTTATGTTTTCACGTTACAAGCGATGCTATCGATAAAGGTTTGTGCTAAAGTATAGACAAGCAAGAAAATCAATTTCGTCGTAAATCGCTGAGCTTTGCCGGGAATAAGTCATAAGTGGTGTGAGAAATATACGAAGGAACTTGTTTGGAAGTATTTATGTAATTGTCTACGAACATTGTTTTATTGTATATTTTTGATATTGTATCAAACATATTATGCTTTATGCGAATGAAGTACAAAATATCATTTCTTGTTTGCCTTATTAAAAACTAGCGGCATAATTAGTCATGAATGCTTAATTACAAGTGGGGCAATGAATAGAGGCTAATAAACACACTATATATTCAAGATCTCTTTTAACAAGCGTGCTTACGAGCTCGTTGTATTGGCTAGCAACTTACTATTGTTCCCATCTCAAGCACTTTTGTGAATGTTCAATAGGGGGCGATTTTGGCTAATTGCATCCTACTGATATAAATGGTTTATATATTGAGGGAAAAGCTCATTCTTTCTCTTAGATGGAAAGCGAAGCAGTCTCACCAAAAGAACAAGAAATGACGCCGGAACTTAAGAAATGCAAGGAGGAGAAGTTTGATTTCTACGACTGGGAGGATTGCGGTCAAAGATATGCGAACAACACTCTTAGTTACTACCCAATATCGTGCTATACCACGCCAAGCACATATCCCTCACAACAAACTGCACTACGGTACTCTTTTGATGAGCACGAAGAGAGTTCTGCTAAACCCAGGATGTCCTTCAGTATATCCTCCATTCTTGGGCGACGCGAGGACACTGAAGAGCAAAGATTCCACTCGATAGCACAACACCCGAGGTACAGCTCGGGGAGAGAGGGCATCCTTGCCAGACACAAACCCTCCCTCTTTAGAACCCCACCAAAAAACTCGCGCATGAAACGCCACTTTTACCAAGAAGAAGGAACCACAGAAAACGAAGACAAGATCTTTGAGAAAGGTATTGAAAGGCCACGATTCCCCTGCTAGACTGATTTAAGTGACAATTAACAACACTTTTCTCTTAGATCAGTAGGGATTGTTACAGTTTATTTCTTTAAAGCTGGGGGATCTTGGCAACAGCCTGTGTCCTCCATAACATATATAGCCACATGCAGGCCCTTCGACTTCACAAGAAAACAAAGTGATCAATCTCATTGAGACTCGTTTCGTATATCGGTCGATCGCAAATACAGTTAATTTACGATTTTCGTTTCAAATTTCGACGCAATTTTATAATTTACTGCATTTTTAATCTCGCCGCGAGATTAATTGCGCGTGCATTAGAGTTGACAAAATTACGAGCCGTGCAAGAAAAGCGCACGATTTCTAAATGAGTGATTGTTCCGCTGTTCAAACAAATATTTGTTCACAGTGTATACATCTTGCCTGCCGAGGTAATTATGCTTATGCACTATAACCTTGTCTATATGAGCCCTGGCTCATAAATTGGCTTTTCCAGTGCAAACAATCCCAGTTAAACAACGAAATCGTTTTGAACCAAATCCGCACTAGAATCACTTATATCACAACAACGTATACATGACTCAATTTACCCGATTTATTTTTTACTGCACTAAAATGCATTGAAGCAGTCACGTGTGACTTATGATGCCCTTTTAATGTATTGCGCCAAAAGAAAAGATTATTTGGACTGGATGCGTGCCATCTTATACTGTTAGATATACAAAAAATGCTTGAAATAAATTCTGCTGTAAACAACAGTTGAACAGAAGAGGCGAAAAATGTGTCTGTGTTAGTTTGAGATTTAGTTTAAACACAGAGGAAAGTCTCATAATTAGCCTGAACAGTTGTCAAAATTTTCATCAAATTTAAATTGGACATAGTCGCTGTGTGTTCAGCTAACGAAATATTTTGTTACGCGACTCTTCATTTGTGCCAAATCGCTCGGCGATTTAGGTCGTGTTTACTTTCATTGTCTGTCTAGATTATTCAACTGCTGTTACATATTGTCGCTTTAGTATGGATTTAAAGTAACCTTTGTCATTTATTTGTCGACTATACTGAAAGCCGACAAAAATGAAAGAATAAGTTTCATTATATATAAATAGGTTAGTTCAAATATAGGTTTCTTATTTCAAATCTGCTTGGGGTGCAAAAAAACCAACGGAAAACAAGTTTTGAAAAGAATGAGTAGGTTTTTGAAATGAAGTTCAGTGTAACAGAGGCTCTGAGCGTAATTAAAGCTCGGTCGATTTATACACGAACAAAGAATTCTCGAGAAACGTTAAGTCGACAGCGCGTCGGGCAGAATTAGAAAAGTTTTTTTGAGTTAATCTATTTTCAGGTAATTATGCATAAATAATAAATGGCACATCCTTTATTGATAATGGTGAAACAAATGTTGTTCTTTTATTAGCAAATCGATTTCACAATTTTAGTGATGGCGTATTCATGAAATTTTACTGAAACGCGGAACTCGCGTCTTTAAAGGAGACGGACGCCGCTTGAAAATAGGATTATGCAGCATACGTTTAGCGTCTTTTGCGATATGAATGAAAAAAAAAATATCAAAAAAATAATAAAACAGCATCGAGAAAGATTAAAAGATCATGCCGCGACGGCAAATGGTATATAGCGGGAAATTATATCAATTAAGACAAAATATAATCTATTCACAAATTATCATGCCCAAAAATATAGACCTCCTTAGAAATCAACCTGCTCGGGTTGTCTACATCATATAATCCATGCACTCCATTTAGATCATAGCCTAAATATTTTAATGTTCAGATTTAAAGAGATAGCGACTGTATATAGTATAGTATATAGTGTTCTTTTATCTCAAGCTTATAATAATCTTTCTTTTCTTTTATGAAGTGAAAATCAATGATAAAGCATTTCGTCTTAAATAAATAATTTGAAATCGATTAAGAAATGTCGACTTAAAAAGAGACAATAGCCATATAGGACATATGTTCAATGCTAGCTGGTAATAATTTAGGATCATCGATCGCGTTTCAGAAGTATTCTCAAAACCGTGTTGCCATCCATTTTTGGACAGTTTAAAAAGAAAATAATCGAGATGAAATGATTGATATTGTATTTTCGAACGTCTAGTGTATCATACGTATATGTTACATTTAAAACAAGTAGTCAATGCGCATCTATTATGGCCAGCAATCAGTATGACACGTCACGCTTGTCCTAACTCCTAATTTACCTATATCACTTTAACTTATCCGATGATCTGCCCATCCGGATGGGGCTATCACACGTAGACTGATAACTTTCATCCCACCTTGGACTCGTAAACACACACGTTTTCTGTGATAGCGATTGATTTTTTTTACTCACAATTAATGAGCTACAAAAAAGCCGTGCATGCCTTGCCGGCAAAAAAAATAGCAATGTTTTATACACAACTCGTGTGGGCGACGCCTGCAATTCTAAAGCCAATGGTGTCCGCCTGTCCGATTTCTTAAAAAAGCTTCGAGAAAAATCTCGTAATGACTTGAACATTTTATTGTTTTATTATATCTGTAAATTGATTATATCTCATTGGGTTATGCGGAGAAATTGTATAAACGGCATCTGAATTATAGTTATAGTAGTCATACATTAAATACTGAATAAAATCTATCCGCCGTTAAAGCTACAATAAATACACAAAATAAAATAAATCATTCTTCTTATCGTGCAGGATCACCTCTTAACGAGGACTCAAATTTTACGAACGACGAAAAAGACGAACATTCGTGGAAACAGGAAAAACCAAAGCGCATTCGAACGATTTTCACGCCAGAGCAATTAGAAAGATTGGAGAAAGAGTTTGCGGAGCAACAATACTTGGTCGGCATCGAACGTCGCTACCTCGCGTCTACGCTACGACTGACTGAAACCCAAGTGAAGGTTTGGTTCCAGAATAGAAGAATAAAATGGCGCAAGCAAAGATTAACCAATCACTAAGCAGCATTCATTCAAATTGGCCAATCACTATAGCCATTTTATATGTATATAAATGCAGAGGCATGAGATGCACAGATTATGTAAATACGAAGTAAAATGGTTGTGAATATAGAAAGATTGGATTAAACCCAGTTTGTCATATATATACTGTAAATAATATGTTTGTATAGATTGAAAATATATATTCGTCACATTACTAATAAAACTTCGTTTGCCATTTGGGGTAATTACTAACAAGATCTATTTGGATGAAATCAACACACTTCAATTTAAGTTTTAATCAAGAATGTCTCCAGCAAACTTTCCAAAAGCTTACAACACTTAGTATTTATAAAATTTTATTAATACTTCATGTTATGACTACAATCCGTGAATTCCATTTTTTATTGTAGCAATTTAGTATTTATAATTACTTTATTAATTCGCCGATTAATTGTTTTCGTTTTTACACGTTTTAATTGTCGCAATATCATGCAGACCAAGCCAGGGGTGAGAACATGCCTAGTTAAAATAGAAAAACGCTTTCAGAAAAAGCCCTTTTTGTTTATCTTGACAAATACTTTTTGTCCTTTTTAAATGGTGAATTACAAAACCGAGTCTACATAACATTTAGTTGAAACTCAGTTTAACTCCTATCCGAATCTAATCCGAATCTAATCCGAATCTAATCCTATAACTCAATCCTCTAAACGCACAGAAAATGAGAAATGCTACGTACCTTCATCCGCAAATAAAACTAGGTTTTATTCCCCCGCATTCTTGGTTGCGGCCGAGTCTCTCGGGTAGTACTCTGCTAAAACATCTTGCGGAATTCTCTTCAGCATCTCTTTGGGAAAGATACGAAGCAACGACCAGCCAATGTTCAAAGATTCAAACACGGAGCGATTTTCGTAAGTTCCTGAAACGACGTTGTAAAAAATGAAATGTTGTCGGCTTTAGGGCGCGCTGCATGCGACAACTTTAGAGAAGAAAGATCTCCATGAAAACGCAACAAAGATGGACTAAAAGGGGTCCTTTTAAAGACCAGTTTACACTTGAAATTTTGCTGCTCCTGTGCGATTTTCTTCTTTTGATAGATGTGAACGAGTGTATTAGTTACGGGTGTTCAAATAGGAGCACTTATAGATCAGAGCGTTCGTAACTTATTACTCGTTCACATCTATCAAAAGAAGAAAAGGTATTCGTACCTTGACTGATGAAATTCTTCTCAAACTTCGACAAGAATTCGAGATAAAGAAGATCCTCCGCTGTCAAAGCTTCTTCGCCAACAACAGCTTTCATAGCTTGAACATCTTTACCAATAGCATAGTTGGCGTACTGTAAATCACAAATATGATTGGTTAAGGCCGTTGTCTAGACTCAGGCAAGCACTAGACGTTCTTTACTGCGGACATATATATAGAGATCGCTGTCCATTGCCCGCCATAAACTTACCAGTTGGTTCGAGACATCGGCATGATCACGTCTGGTTCTATCAGGACCTATGGCTGACTTCATCAATCTTGACAATGATGGTAAAACGTTGATTGGTGGGTACACCTGAGTACAAAATCAAATTAAATTAGCACTGCAATCCTAACATGTCCAAAGTTAACCGCCAAAATACAATACCAGTGTTTTATCTTAAAGTGGTTACCTGACGGTTGTGTAACTGTCGATCAACGTAGATTTGTCCCTCTGTGATGTAGCCAGTTAAATCGGGAATTGGATGGGTTATGTCTACGAATATAACAAAAAATCAACAGATTATCATTAATTTTCACTCCAGGAGATAAACCAGTAGGACACCTTTCTGAACAACAATTTTAAAGCACCTACCATCGTTAGGCATAGTTAGAATAGGTATCTGAGTGATGGAACCATTGCGACCTTCAACCCGACCAGCTCGCTACAGAAGAAGATGAGAACAGTTGAGGGAAATGGTTGCAAACAATGGCTTAACATGCAGCCTGACAATTTAACGCAGTCTGTGGTATTCTAAAACCCCACTCCACTCAAATTTACATCAACATAGAGATATTGCAGACGCAGGAAATCATTTCTGGGATAGCCTATTTCTCATACCTCGTAAATTGTGGCTAAATCAGTGTACATGTATCCAGGGAAACCGCGACGACCTGGGACTTCCTCGCGAGCGGCGGATACCTTTAAAAAAATACGCTTGTGAAAGGTTTTACCCTCGCCATTTTGGATATAGTTAGCTTAGTTTCCTACCATTGAAAGATTTACAAAAGAACGTCATGTCATTTTTTTATTAGGAAATAAAACTATACGTCGCCTTTCAATGATCACGTTTTTCAATAAAATATATATTTTTTATATATGATGGGAGTGAATTATATCTTGTACATTGGGTTTACCTCGCGCAAGGCTTCAGCATATGAACTCATATCAGTGAGAATGACCAAGACGTGTTTCTCACATTGATAGGCCAGGAACTCAGCAGTTGTTAATGCAAGTCGTGGCGTGATTATACGTTCAATTCTAAACGAAACAGCCATTAAATTGAGTCAAAAACAGCAACAAATTCTAATTTCCTCCAGCTATACCTTTATGAATGTATAAAATGGGTTTGAGGTGTCTCAACATGTCGAAGAATGAACTGAAAACAATTATTATGTAGATATTACTCACGTTGGGTCGTTTGCGAGGTTTAAGAACAAGCAAACATTGTCCATAGAGCCATTCTCTTCAAAATCCTGTTTGAAAAATCTAGCAGTTTCCATGTTCACCTACAAGATGAAAAACTAACCATGTTCAACTCTCTATGGTAGCTCCAAAACTGTGGAATTGAAAGAACAATAAGGAGAAGTCAACATACACCCATAGCGGCAAAAACTGTTGCAAAGTTATCTTCATGGTCGTCTTTCGTACCCTTGGTAAACTTCACCAAACCAGCTTGACGGCAGATCTGTGCTGCGATCTATGAAAACCACAAAACCACACTTACAAAAATGGCCAGTATTCTCACATATTCTCTCAGGCTGACGGCTGCCTTGTTTGGACATTATTAAAAGAAAAATTTGTATCAAACAAAATTAGCCAAGGGTAACGTTTAGTTGTCCATTTGTTACCCAATAGTTGTCTGAAACTAATGACTTCAATGACCCATGTACACACAAAACTTCATATCTTGCTTAATTCTTTAACTTACATCATTATGAGGGAGACCAGCTGCTGAGAATATAGGAATCTTCTGACCGCGAGCGATGCTAAAGGGTGAGAGAGCCCCATGGTAAGACTCTCAAAGTGATTGTATAAAACTACTGGTACCATAGCAATGGTATCCTCGAGAAGACCTGTGGACTAACCTGTTCATTGTATCAATTGCAGATATTCCTGTCTGAATCATTTCCTCTGGGTAAATCCTGGACCATGGGTTGATTGGTTGACCTAATTGTGCAAGAATGATATGTCTGTTGGTAAAATCTTTTACCATGGTACCTCTGACAATGAATGGTATAAATAATGCAACCCTTACCCATTATATCTAAGAAGTCTTCAGCTAATACAGCAGGTCCCCTATCAATCGCTTTTCCTGAACCATTGAACACTCTTCCTATGAGAACATAGGATAAGATTGGTGACAATTAAGACCTAATTTTGTCACATAAACCAGTTGATATGCATCTTTCCTTCCCATTTTTAGCTGCTTACAGTTCATCAAATCTTACCTAACATATCTTCAGACACAGGCGTCCTCAAAATATCACCGGTGAATTCACATGTAGTGTGTTTAGCGTCTATTCCTGATGTCCCCTCAAACACCTTCAGAAAATCAGCCAAGAATGAAATTTAGCGTGTGAATATAGTGAATTTGAAAACATCCCAAATACATTCCTTTCCTTGACTAACCTGAACAACAGCCTTTGATCCACTGACTTCCAAAACTTGACCACTTCGTTTTGATCCATCTGATAATGTGAGTGTAACAATCTCGGCAAATTTTGGAAACTGAAAGGAATTGGAACAACAATTTTGATCTGATTTGATTGAGATATTGACAAATGGGGCAACTTCAACAAATTTTTGTGCATAGTTTTTCTTTTGCTACACAATTACCAATAGTTTTCATACATTTTGACATTCCAATGTATCAAATTATCATCATATGTAAACATACCATGTCAAAAATTGAAAAAAATAAATGCTTAAGCAATACCTTTACATTATCTAAGATAACCAAAGGTCCATTCACTCCCGATACGGTTCTATAAGCTAAAAGATTCGATATGAACAATACATTAATAAATTACAATCAATTAAACTTCCAAGGTTCTGCTTCCCGATCTACAGAAAACATCGAATTCTACCAAAACGACAACAACACAACTGGTAAAAAAGTTCGTTGATAGTAAGTTTCATACTTATTCTTGGCTGTGAAATATAATCTCGTGTAATAGCTGCAGTATGTTCCTTTGCAAGCGCAATTGAACTTTGTTGCTCCATATCACCGACAGGCGCCATCTTTGTTTCTGGATGACCTCATTCACGTGACGTGCGCGTGCTGCTACATCTTAAGGTGGCTCTATGAAAGTTTCTTCAATGGAACCACCTTTCTTCTTCATTTTCTTCATTTTCTTCATTCCAAAGAAGCTTTTCCAACCAGCTTCTAAACTGCAATGGACACCTAGTTTTCGGCGAAAATTTTAAACAGGATCCATCGTAGAAATTTTACATGAGTAGAAACAAAGCGAGGTGCTCAATCGTTAATAAAAATATTTAAATGGATACAAACTCAGTTTGATTAATATTTCCAGTTCGACCAATGTGTAATTTAAAAGTAATTTGATTTAATTAAATTACCTCGAAATTCATAAAATGAACTAGATCAGAGAGAAGTTAGATAACCCCCGCTACCCAGAGGCTCGCTGTTTAAAACCGCTGTTTTTGAAACCGAATCAAATGATAACTTTTTGCATTCATGTTAAACAATGGTAGCTGCTTATCATTCTCGGGATTTTCCACGATAAACTGCAATTACACGCGGTCAACTACCCATTTTGGATATTTCCCACGGCTAAAACAATGCAAATTAGTCGTTTGAAAACAAGTCATTTGGAGGAACTATTGAAAAACAATGTTCACACGATAGCGCAATAAAATCGTCATTGGCGTGTTCTCGATCGTTTGCGACATTATTGACTTTGAAAAACGGATACATTTAGGCATAAATTGAGATATTATTACAAATAATATTCCCAATTGTTTAAAAAGATGTATTTTTTCAATTACGGAGTAGTTGTATGTTTGTCCTTTGGCTCCATACTGCCAACTCTACGGTAAAACTACATCACCGTTAACCGTTTCACCAACCATTTTCACAAAACATGCTAAAACCTGACCGTTGAAATGGTTCCTAAGTTTCGTTGGCATAGCGAAACTGAAGAGCTGTCAGCCTCTGCCCAGGAGACAAATTGCGTCTTTTGATGATAATTATAAAAATATTCATTTGGTTTGTTATGAAACAGCAGCCATTATAAATCAAATTTGATTGTCTTGTCATTTAAACAAAACATAATTAGATTGCAAGCAGGTGTTGAGAAAACGATTATGCATAATGAAATCAGGCCGCATGAAACTAGAACGACAAGCTAACATTGAATAAAGTTCAAGCCAAAAAAGTAGAAATGAGTTTGACCAGAACCGGTTTTTTATTACACAGCCCCTTAGAAGCGCAACTTAGTTAGAAGTAAACATGCAAATTAAATGAACGCCTTTCCATCAGAACTATGAAGAAAAAGAAGAAAAATCCTGAGAAAAGAATTGGCTTTTGCATCGTACTATATACCACTGAAAAGATCATAAACTAGCCGCCTTATGACTTTGCCCTGTATGAAATATTTAGGTTAATACGAATCCTGTTCATTATCACATATCAAATTATGTTTTCATAGCTAATTATTATTGCATACTCTGTTATGAATCATTATAACAAATTATAATATTTTCATGGACGAGGAACGTATATAAGGCGTGGGGTATATACAAGACTCCCTGCGTGACTCGAGCAACCACGAAGTAGTATTTCAAAACGCAATGAATCAGTTTCCACTCCTTGTAAAATGTCGGATGCCAAAACCCACGAATGAAAGTCGATTTTTTGGTGGTGTTTCCCAGGCTCGAAAGCAAAGCACGATTTTCACTCGAGACGTCTCACGATTCGAGCTAAAGACTCCCCGTTCCCGTTACGCATCGCTAACCTATCCCTATCAATCTCGAGAGGTGGTCACTAAATGTCACAATTGCAGCTACCGATGTTGCAACCAAGAGGCGAGCCCCAGGTGGCCCACGGTTTTACAGAATCCTTTGAAAGAGATGACTGATTCCGATGGAAAACAAGACCGTGTGGATGGACTGTTTCCAGTGCATCAAAATCTCCAGGGAGCTAGAGAAATGGCAGGTAGGATTGTTCATCTTCATCTTTCTAAACATCCATTGAATCGGATGTTGTATGCCTCGTACCTAGTTTCTTCTAAGACAATAGTTGCCTCATAATACATCTGTTATTCTGCTACCACACATTTTGTCTTTTACGGTTCTTTCATTGCCTCCAGGCGGTGACAACAACACGGCATACATGCATATACATACTTATAAGTAACTGAACATCATGCATGCAATCGTATATGAAAAGTGGCGTCGCAAAACGGACTGTTCGATGATCTGATTTCGGATTATAGCGTAGAACTGCATTCAAAATGTCAACTGAGAACGGCTCTTTTTAGACGAACAAGTGAGGGAGATGACAACGGAAAGAGCACTAACAACCTCAACAACAGCAGAAAAGCGAACAAGAACAGCCTTTACACCCATTCAGCTTCTTGTGTTGGAAACGGCGTTTGAGAAGAACCACTATGTCGTTGGAATGGAACGAAAACAGCTCGCAATTTATCTCAAGTTGACCGAACAACAAGTGAAAGTTTGGTATCAAAATAGAAGAACTAAATATAAGAAAAGTGTTCAACAGAGTTTCTCATAATGCCCTACTTAAGACAAGTGAAACTACATTTCAAATAAAACCAGGCAGATATATGTAAATAAAAATGAGTGGAAAAGAAACAAACAAGCGCTAACAACGTTGTTTTTCTGTATGGCATTCGTTATAAATTCAACTTCTGGTCCTTCAACTCTTTCATATTTCAACAGGAAACTCTTTAATACTTCAAGGACTTTCATCGCCACAAATCAAATTCAACACCACAGCATAATCATGTCATGCTTTTGCGTCCCTTTAAGACTAGTTAAGGCAGCATCTGTAAGCAAATGTCGCGGTACCCACCTATTAATGCCACCTCACCTTCCCTCTAGTGTATCGTTTCACACTCAACCCATTCACAGCCAGGGGCGTAACTATAGACTAATGGGGGGTGAATATTCATATATTCAGTTCTGCCCGACGGATTTCTATTGTAAGCTATTGCAATTACAAAAGAAATCCGTAGGGCAGAACATGATATATGAATATTCACACCCCCCCCCCCAATTATCGTTCTAGTTACGCCACTGTTCCGGCAGCAGGTGCACGAATATATATATAAATGAACAGGTGCACGTACGATCTCGAGGAGTGAGATATAGATGAGCCAGTATTTATATTTGTAATTTTCGTCAATTTTAAAAACTGTGCGCAATCGTGGGAATTTTGTTCTTTCTAAAGAAAATTAGAAATCTGAAAAGGGTGAATGAATATCAGATAGATATCAGTGAATAGATATAGCCTAAGGAATGAATCAAATAAGATTTAAGACGACAATTTTTTTAAACTTGCAGTATACAAATTTTGGAGCAAAAATCCCGCAACAATCAATTATATTTGTTCGGTACTGGAAGACGGTTGGAAGACAACAAATATAGATTGCTCAATATATAAACAAAACTTCAGTATGTATAACATACAAATTGTGATTCACGTCTTGAATTAACCAGGTAACTGAGATATTGAGTAGTAGCTACTATTTGCAGTGTTATACGGTCGCCTATTTTGAAATATTTCACGGCCGTGTATTCGCAGGCAGGCTTGGCGTTCATCATCGAAGCTGCATGGGCTGTACTTGCAAGAACCGCGGGCACAGCGTATATCCAGTATTTCTATGTTAGGATTTCCGCCAAAAAACCACAAGATGCAAGATTAAACAAACCAATATTACCATATAAGATGAGGAAGGAAGCAAATATTGAGACTTTGAGTATTGCGGAAGTGAAGTTCGTCTATAAGAAACGTCACAGTTTGCTTTGTCATTCACATTATTGTTCTGCAGCTGAAATCGCTTCCTAATTCGTTGCATAAATGGATTGAAAACTAGGGAAGGTTTTGGTAGAAAGTAAGATTTTTAGAGGGAAATTACACGAAGACGTTTGTCACACGAAGGTATCTCTATGCAATATACATAAAGAAAAAGAGCTAGTGATTCATAAAATTGGATTTTGTAAACAAGTTCTTCCTTTCTTATACTGATTTCTATTATATTTTTGGAGGCCACACGGTGGACGATGCGATAAATCCGAAGAGTCAGATGGTCGGCAAAAACTAAATTAAGCTAGCCGGAATGTAGTGTATAATATTTCTCGAATTAATATTTCTCGAAGAATAATTTTTAACATGCAGCTATGATATCGGCTTTGCTATAGCTTGTATCAATGAGATGATGGAGTTTGTGTATACGTCAAAATTAGGGCATGATATTGTTCATACTTAAAGTATACATACTTATACATATTTTTGCGGATGTATAGTTATAAATATTTTAATTTCGAGCAAATTCGCGTAATTGCTCAACAGATGTGTGATATATACTTCGTTGCAGAACGCATAAGGCTCGGCAAAGATGAAGATCCGGCTTTTATTGTTTTTGTGCTTCACCACAGGTATGTACCATCGGCAGCTGTAAATCGATACCCCCGCCGTTTCTTTTTTTCGCGGCAATACGGTATAGAGTGCATATATGAATGATATAACTTTAGAAATTTAAAACTGAACAAATCATGTCCTAACGTGCACCAAGGTTTGTAAACACATTCCGTCTTGCATCCACAAATACAGAATTTTACATTTAGGAAAGAACCGGACGTTGTATATAGAGTGATACAAAAAACTGGCTATAATTCTCTTAAACTAAAGATGTCGAGAAAGCGCATAAAATGACTTTGATATGGAATGAGTGCGCCATTGCCGCTCAACGTATATCGGAAGAAATACATATTAAATTATTCAAACACTCTTTTTTATCCAAATGTTCCCAAGATTTTCAGCTGCGTGTTCTTGACTTCATGAACTACAATACAAGCAGTTCCATTTTTCTTCTACACATTCATTTTCAGAACTCATGGTGTCAACATTCGTTGACGCTGCCTATCCTTTGAACAAAGATGAATGCATTCAAACGCACAACAAATATCGGAAGAAACATCAGGTTGGTATTATATTCAACCTAAATTTCTCTCAAAATAGCTGCCATTATCATGTCACCATCCCAGTTGCCGCCGGGTCGTTCTTGTAGTACGTTCCATTTTAATTGCCATTTGATTAAATAAACTGTTGTATTTCATAGGCTCCTGACATGAAATGGTCTGCGAAACTAGCCAGTGATGCACAAACGTGGGCGAACTATCTCGCACGAAATAATATTTTCAAACACGACCCAAGTAAGACGAACCAAGGAGAGAATCTTTACGCAAGTTCTGGAGACAGCCAAAATTCTTGTGAACGCGCAACTACAGCATTCTATAACGAAATCAAATACTACGATTTTAATAACCCGGGATTTAGTAAAGCCACCGGACACTTTACCCAGGTATATATACATAATACATTAGCATTAGTTTTTCATATTAAAATTTCCGCCAACTTCACCTTTTCTTCTCAGTTCATCCGGCTCATTGTTGCCTGCGCTTTTATTTTATCTTTCATTTTCAATCTGGACTTCTTTCGACATACATCTTCGGCAATATATGACCGCTCACCCAAAACCTCTTCATCGGCATGTTCTGTTTCACCGTGCAGCTGTGTTTACGGCATGTAGTAAGTTTACTGTCAACTTCCTTTCGAAGGTAGTATGGGTGAAATCGACAGAGCTTGGAGTTGCTAAAGCCGAGAGATCTAATGGCGGTACGGTGCTGGTATTTCGGTACTCACGACCAGGAAACTACCTCGGGCAGTTTGCTCAGAATGTGAAACCAGTGTTCACACCTGTACCGAGTCCTACAGAACCACAACTTTCATCGACGACAATAACACCGACCAGCAACTATACAGAAACAACTGGATCGGCAGCGGGACGCCATAGAACAACATTGACGAGCGTACTGACATTTGTAGTTGTTTTTACATTTTTTGTGAAAATATTGATATAGACATACGTTTGGAACCTTTTACACTAGTGTTGTTGTATGAATATATTGTAATATGCATGCATATATTGGCATTAGACGTGAAATAAATAGTGAAAAAACTAAAACAATTTGTTGATATTTATTCCAGTTCGATTACCTTTGCACTATAATTCGCGGATGTTTATCCTATACGTCTGCACATGCAGGCTAATATATATTCTGCATGCCTTTGCATGTATATGATTACAAACAACCTGAATAACTACAAGCAAATTCAACAGTGTCCATCAAGTGTACTGAAATACCTTCCCTCTCTTTTTTTTCTCGAATCGTGTTTGGCATTTAACCCTGTTGCGACAGGCATGAAGAATGATAACACCAGCTGCCAGATATCTAGCATGCAGGTACGCGCATGCATGCTCTTAGATTGCCATGACACCACATTATACAGACAAATAAAGCTGTGTTTACGTTTGTAATTTTAGCAGAGGTTTAGTCAAGACTGTGTGTTCGCGTGAGAATTCCGAGTTTTTTTTTCAGGAAAGAATCCGAGTAAAAAGACAAAGTGAGTAGTTATATAATATTATACTTATATATGCATCTAGGACCGAAATATTGAAGAAACATCGAGTATATTTGCCATGAGAGTTTTAGAAACAAAATTCTACAATGTCTATGCTAAAACTTAAACTGCGAGACTTGCAGAAGTTGTGAGAATACTAAAGTCGAAGCTTCGAAGCGAGGTTTCCCGTTGGGTTTCCCGTTGAGACCAGAGTTTATTTTTTGTCGTTGATTGATAGTCCGTGCGTGGGTTGTGTTTTGCTTGTTGTTGCTTGACTTGCTTTCCCTGTTTCACATCACGTTCACAAGGCGCGTCTCACGAAAAAAATTGATATACCACGAATTAGGCCTAGCACTGGATGCATGACGGTGGTAAGACAAATAAGAGATAGAAATTGGTAAATAAAGCAGACACTTGACATTCAACATTGATTAAGTAGTGCTTCAAGCGCGCGCTGAATCTAAGAGGTTGGTGTATCGAGAATAATCCAGGTAACTGAGATATGTTTCATCTAAATTCGTAGATGTTTAGAAGTCATATTAGTAAAATTAAAACAAAACAGATTCTGTTATAAATCAAACAGATGTTGCAAGAGAAAACATTTATTATTAATGGATATCTACCAGTTGGACTCTGAAGGGATTGCACGCAGCAAAACTTATTTTATATTTTATATGCGTGCGTTTAGTCTACCCATGCTAATGACAAAAGGAAAATGTTCTAGGTGGAGAAATGTTTTCACTGAACTGAATTGAATATGCCATTATAGTACATAAATGTACATCAACTTTGAAACAGCTGGTTGAAAGCCGCAATTGACATGATGTCAATGATTAATTCGATTGGATCCGGCGTGCGTGCATATGAATATCTTTTGCATGCATGCATATAAATATATTTTGTATCTTGAATATAGCTTGTATTTTTGCAATATAACTCAACGATATACACCGTTTCAGAAAGCGAAGATGAATGATGCTTTGTTATTTTTGTGCTGGACAGCAGGTATATATGCAAGTGAATATCATAAAACGTGTGAATGTACTGTAATCTGAATAAGTACTGAATTATCCATCAGGGGAGTGGCCGATGATATATTGCAAAAATGCATGCATCATCAGATGCTGAAAATTTTCAAGTTCTAAACCTGAGAACCGTACGTTTAGCAGTTTACATCGAGAATAAGAAAAGCATCAATTTCGAATAGACTAGTGCATGTAATTTTCCCGTTAGTACAAAGTCAAAGAGAATAGTTTTCGTTTACGCGCCAATCTAAACAATGCTGTAACAAGGGCACAAAACCCGATCGCTGCAGAGGCGTTAAGCAGTGCACGAGTGTTTCTATTTGAGCCACACACAAACATCGAGTTCATTTCATTTATTTATTCTTTGTAGTAATAGTGACCACAGTTGATGCGGCTTTTCCTTTGAACAAAAGTGAATGCATTGAATGGCACAACAAATATCGTACGAAACATCAGGTTAGTGATACTCAAGGAGCATTGTAAGTGCATGACAGGAGTTTTTAAATAATAGCACGCTCTTTTGACACGACAAGCTGTTGATATGGTAAAGGAATTAAATTGTTGTATCATATAGGCACCTAACATCACCTGGTCCGCACAACTGGCCAGCGATGCACAAAAGTGGGCAGACGAACTCGCAAAAAATAACACATTCGAGCACGACAAGAATAGAGGGAGCCAAGGTGAGAATCTTTACGCAAGCTCTGGAGACAGCCAAAATTCTTGTGAACGTGCGACTACAGCATTCTATAACGAAATCAAAGACTACGACTTTGATAACCCGGGTTTCAGCGCAGACACTGGACATTTTACCCAGGTAATCCACTTTTTATATACCATTGTGTGTATGCTCCTTGTCATCTTCATTCAACTCTTCTCGTTCTATCCCTCGTCTTCATTTAGGCTTCACATATTATTTGTGTTTAGGGTCCCACTTTTCCGGATCCTCTTTCCTTCTTGTTTGTTTTCATTTCTTATCCAAATTCCAAAATCTTTCCTATGAAGAGCTCTCTCGCAGATTATTCTATGTGACATTCAACAGTAACCCATCGGTAAATTTCATTTCAACTTTCGTTCACAGGTAGTGTGGGTGAAATCAACTCAACTTGGAGTTGGCAAAGCTGAGAAGACTAATGGTGGAACAGTGCTGGTATTTCGTTATACACCACCAGGAAACTATCGTGGGCAATTCTCTGAGAATGTGAAGCCAGCCCTTGGCTCAGCATCTCCGCTAACAGCACCACCAACTAACTGCTTCGCACTTGCATTTGGAGTTGCCCTATCAGTTTTAACGAAAGCATTGATCTAGACACTGGTTAAAAGTTGTCATACAGGTGTATGTCGTAGTGAACGTAACGTATTTGTTTATGTCCTAAGAATTAGTTCAGGTTGCTTCGGTATAATGCAGTTAGCTTGCCGAATAAAGCAACAATTGTTCAAAATTTAGTCCTTAGTTCAAGATATTTAATCATCACTAGATAAACGTGTAAAAAATAATGCATCAGTACTGTAGCAAGCATTTGCAGCGATGAGGCACTAAATAATCAATGTAATAAACATTTTGGTGAATAAAATTTGTCTTGCTTCGTGGTCGCACTTGACCAGTACACAAGTGAAGTCTGGGAGGATATACTTAGACAACTGCAGTTACAAACCCTAGATATGATGAGATGGGTGATAGAGAACGTTTGATTGAGGAGGCCTTTCTCGTCTCTCTTCTTCAGCATTCCCAGGGTCCAAGACTCATGCAGCTGACATTAATATTGCAGGCGCACGCGACATTATATGCGCGTCATCAATCGCGAGAACAAACTCATTATTAATGATATTTTAACAACGGTTTCGAAGAGAACGGAAATGCAAGAAATAACAAGGTTGAAGACGCTGGGGATTCAAAAATTAATTCTTTTCCTATGTCTTCTTGCAGGTAGGAATGAACTATGAATTGTTGGGTAACATCACTATAGGTAACTATGATCAGGTATTTCAAAATTAATCGCTCATGTTTTTTCAGGGATGGTTTGTGTGACATTCGCTATGAGTCCTTTGAACAAGACTGAATGTTTGGAATGGCATAATATATACCGAGCTATTCACCAGGTGAAAAATTCTCCCTTTTCGCTTTTCATTCTCCCCAAAATTGGCCGTGTGGGTGTGGAAACGTTCTTCGTTCACCGATCTTTTTAACTTTTTCACCATTTTACACCCCGGCACCTCAATACTCCCACCATTGCTCACAGAACCACACTGGGTAGGAGAATAGATGAAATGAATAGACCTTAAACGTACCATTTCAAATTTCGTTTTTTTCCAAAAAGACACCGAGTTTAAACTGGTCTGACACGCTTGCTGCTCGAGCTCAGCTGTGGGCTGATGACTTAGCAAACCGAGATGCCTTTGAACACGACAGCAGCAGAGGAATGGAAGGAGAGAATCTTTACAAGAGCAGCATCGACAGTCCCACAGCATGTAAAAGTGGAACCTATGCATTCTACAAAGAGGAGCAGTACTACGATTATGATAATCCTGGATTTTCAGTAGCCGTTGGACACTTTACGCAGGTCGTGTGGGTGGACTCAAGGGAACTTGGTGTAGCCAAAGCTAACACATCTAGCGGAGCAATTATTCTGGTCTATCGTTATTCACCGACTGGAAACATCGTCGGAGAATTTGCCGACAATGTCCGACCACCTCTCGGAGACGCTTCAACGTACACAAGATCCCTATTCATCAATGCCTTTACATTTTGCAGTGTAATTGCAATAAACTTGCATATGTTTTAGAAATGTATACACTGACAGTCTGGAATTACGAATTTTTGTAAATGAAAGAGTATAACCTGTATATGTACTTTATTTCTCAGAATACACATCAAATTTCACACAAGTATAACTTTCTATGAAACAAATCACTCCAGTTATTAGTGATTCTCTGCGGCGACCCCACCCGATTCGCCTGTTCATAGCAGCATGGAAAATGTCGACATTGCAACAACGATAAATACTAATGTCTAATTATTAGTAAATAGTAATTGATAAAAATTATACATATTTAAAACTTAAAAGGAGATCGTACACAGCAAAGAGATTTTACATTTATATTACGATTGGAAGAAATAATATTGAATTGCGATAGAGTTAAACTTAAACTTCGAATAAGCAAGACAGCAATTTTATCGCCGACATTTTCCGGCATGGCCGCGTCATCGACAGTGGCCTAGGCCGACTAGTAAGGTTAAAAGTCGTATTATATTGTTCGCTTTTTTTTTTTTACAACACAAATAAATTACGAAAGACTCACCAATAGTAGATAATACGTTATATCTGCAGGAAATAGTTCAAAACTAAAAATGAAATAAAATATAAATCGTCAGAGAAAAATGGAAAACGTTTAGCAGAGAGTGGTTTCGATCCACCGACCTCTGGGTTATGGGCCCAGCACGCTTCCACTGCGCCACTCTGCTTACTTGAAAACTGAGTCAAAATATTAGCAATATAATCCTTACTCGTCACATTACCCAAATTTTTAGAAAAACTCAGAGTTCGTTCTTTTAACAAACAGGGCCGTTTTCAGCCCTCTAAGTACCAATATGTAACCGCAAAATACTACATGAAATTAGGAAGTTTAAGATTAAAAGCATTAGAATAAGTATTTCTGTATTTAGACGCAAAAATATTGCTTAACTTACCTTATGTCCAGGTATGTAATTACGCAATATTTCGGATTTGAAGATGATTGGAGAAAAAACATGTTTTCAAAAATCCTCCACCATTTTATAGCAAAGAGTGAAAGCGCTGTTCTAAGCCTCCAGAGCAACGCATTCATTGGCCGTAGCGAAGGCTTAGCCTGCTAACAGACCAAAAATTAGGACCTTTTGAATAAGATACCCAAAGGAAATTGCATTTAAGTTTGGAAGAAAGTGTCGCAGGATGATCCTCAAACATTCTCTAAACTCTATTCTTCTTCAAACGTGGATTTCGCACATTTTACGAGGGAAAAAAATAAGTAGAGAACACAGCGAAAATAATTTATGTATAATTTATGGTGTATAATGATACACTATGAAAAATGAGCTATAATATTGTATAATTTCTAAGGTCAGACCTATAGAAAAATCTATCAATGCTGCTGTTGCTTGGATCGGCCTTGGAAAAGGTAGAGGTTATTAGTGGCTGCAACCGCGGTTATATTGTCCATAGGATGCCACGCGGTATGCAAGATTTTTTTGTTGAAGTCTAAGCATTCTAAAGTAATTTCGTCCTTTTTTCGTTTGCCAGAAGTGGCTACCTTCTTTAGCTCCAGAGCTTGCTTCGGTTTTGCTCCCTCACGCGATGCTCGAAAGCAAAGATCTTCCTTCGTTTGACAATTAAATATGTGGAAAAAGTTGTTATAGGACCCGGTCATAATGGATCTGAAAGACAGAGAAATTATTGCAGCTGGACACAATGTTTTTCATTTGAAAGTCACTCGAATCTCCAATAATTTTCTTTAGAGCAAAAATGAAGTTATGGAATAAACGACTTACTTATCATCTCCACTCCACGAGCATTCAAATTTATCAAAAATACAATCGTTTTCATACAGTGAACATAACTTGGTTTTTAGGTAATCATGAACGTTGAAAACGTCCACAGGTGTCTTCTCCATATTGAGATCCCAGACCTTGACCGTGAGGTAATCTCGTGTTAACATATATCTACCACTGCGACAAAATCTCACGTCTGATATTGATGAGATGATTTCCGAGAAAAATGATTTGTTGGCTGGATCTTCTGGTTGTTCAAACACTACAAATATAAGCAAACATAGATCTTAAACACATATATCAAACAACTTGCATTTAAGAGGTTTCAAGGGTCTTAATTTCAAGTGGTATTATACACACTTCAAATTCAAGCCAGAAACAGTTGATGGAAAAATTATTCAACTATAGGTCCTCCGGCAGGAGTCGAACCTACGCTTTAGTGATGGTAAAGATAAAGAAATGTGACTTACATTTTGAATGTCTATCACAAAGAGCTGCCTTTCTCATGTCACACAGCCTTACGGTTCCCTTACTGCTACTATAGGCAAAAATGTTACATTCTACAGGGTGAAACTCAGCAGCTGTGATTACTTCAGTAAGCTCTTCCATATTGGCTGGCTTAATGTCTACAATATCTGAAGAATTGCAGTTAAGGGAGACATTTTTCAAATGAGCTCATTTAATTGGATAGATGGCAGGAATTTGCAAGGGTTCAGCATTGTTAACTTTTCTCAGGGGATGGTACAAAATAAGTTATGGTACAAGGGGAATTACCAGGTCTAAAAGAGGTTGCACTAAGCAGTGTCATATGATACTCTTCTTTGTAAAGGTAGGTGGGGAGATGGTCATTTTATAAAACATGATAAATGCAAAGAGAATATATAGCAAATAAATTGAGCACCATGCAATGAAAGGATACTAAAACTTTGATTTGTAATTCCAAGATGCCAAAGATTAATCCTAAGATCATCAGCAGATAGATATGTTTCGTCATCACTATTTATAGATATGGAGTTAATATGATATGTATGGGCATTGGCAAAGATTTTTCTTGGACTCGCTTCGACGGTCAACTCGGAGGGCCTCAGAGTTGGCACTCTTAATTCAGTCAAGTTATCAGGTGCCAACCCTATTCCACGTTCATCGCAGAGATTAAAGCCTTCAGCCCTGGTGCAACGTTCAGATATTTTCCAAAGTTTCACTGTTTTATCTGAAATAGAGAAAAAATTTTCCTTAGTATTCAAATGATTCAAGTCACCACCAATCAAACATGAAATCTAGAAAACTACAAGATGATACCTACCATTTGTTGAGAGTAGAAAATGAGCCTGGTTTTTTCTTCGCAACCATTTGATTTGATTAATTTTTTCTTCAATTTCCAAACTTTTTAGATAATCAAACTCGGGTTCATGGCTTTGAAATGTGCTATATACGGTGTACTCGCCATATCTCGGTGAGCCTTTTGGCTAAAAATTTGAACAAACACATATAAAAGTTCATTGCCGAAGAAACAGGAATTATACCTTTATGTGGAACTTCTTTGTAAGGATGGCTTAACAAATGTAGCTTAACCTTGTGTGTATAATGGCAATAGTATTTTATTCTGCCCAATACTAGACAAATATACCCATTTGTGGACAAGTATTTTTGCCATTGATGGATGAAAGATCCCTTATTTGATGCCATTCATTGGCAATGAGCAAGAACCCCACCCACACTAATTCTGTTCTACGAACACAGGCCTAGTAATATAAGCACTTTGTTTGTGAATTTGTTATTGCAAACATTAAAAAGTTAGTTGCTTATTGTTGGTGGGCGTTTCCTGGTGGGAAATTTGCTGTTCTGTAAGGGAGGGGTTGGGTTGGGTGCCTCAAAATAACCATTTGCCATAACAACATATTCAAATCATGAAAATATTGATATAACAAAATCTTTAAATTAGCTATAACAATGCTATATTTAGTATTTGTTTGTACTGGTCTCTGTTATTGTAAAACAAACCAACTTAAGTCACCATTGTTTTCATAGAATTTTAACTGTTTTGGTAAAGAGTAAATTTATTAAATCACATTATGATAATTTTTTAACACCATGCCAAACCCTCACAGACTAATTGGCCAATTTCATCTCTACTTGTCGTAAGCAAAACAACAGAGATATATCGACTAAATAGTATCAGGGAAACATGACACTTACGGCGTTTTCTCGTTGAAATATCACGATTCTGCCACCTTTGTCACCTGTCGCTAATAACTCTCCGTCGTGATTGAACTCGACTGTTGAAATTATGTCAGCTTTTGGGTAAAGAAATAGTTTTAGTATAGCACAAAAAGGCAAGAATAACTTGCACTTTTAATAATGTATGTACAATCTCATGTATTGTACAAGTATTGACAGACAAAGACACACAAAATTGTATATCAAATAAACTGTACAAATATCGTTATTTAGCCACAAAATCAGCCGATTAACTCCCATAAAACAATATCATTATCAGGTTTCGATGCACATGAAGGATCTACGGTTTATTACCGAACTTTATAAGTTGTAGTATTTCAATTCCTGTTTGGCAAAGTTTGATTAATTCCGTTGCAAATCGTAAACTTTTCCGGATACAAATAAATAAGAACTCTTGCCTACCCTCTGTCACTTCTTCTTCGACAGTTCCTTTAACTTGTGAGAAACACCATTCCACATCATCGGTTCCTGGATGAGACATAAAAGCAGAATTATTTCATGTCGTAAACGAAGCAAAGCCAGTCGAAGGATAGGCGCTCGTGAATTGTCGCACCTACCATCAGCCATTAAGCCGAGGTCCTTTCTTTATTCATAAAAATAATTGACTATAGAAGTAGTAAAATATGTAGAGAATAATATTCTTTGAAAAAAACTGCTAACAAATACACGGCGGGAGAGGATGACGATGGATTTCGTTAGCCGCCATAGCCATAATACTTTTTGAATTTCAATATGGATGCCGGGTTGCTGGAATAAAACTTCCCAATTGGCCTTTTCCTGGTCATGCCATATATGGGCATGACACACCAGCCGCCGGCCACAAGTAATGAACCGTTGACTCACAAGACTAAAGTAAAGAACTTTGTAGAATGATTTTTTTTGCTATAAGAAAAAAAAAGCGATTTCAAAGATCAGCTTTAAAGATAATACAAAGAGAAAGATTTTTATACAAGCTTTGCTCTAGAAGAAAAGTAATTGACGGTTATGTCTCTATTGTGACTGATACTTTTACCATGGTGTGAATGGAGTCGAGGTTAGCACAAGGTTAGCACGTGATACACGCAGTTGGAGGGAATGCGGGGGATGAGGGGGTGTCACCTCTCTCCACCCCGTAGATCAATGCAGGAAGAGTACTCTTTATTTTCATCCGAACAGCCAGAAGTTTAGAAATCGTTGACCTCACAAAAAATTTATGTGAATTGTCGAAGCACTAAATACAATTTCATATGGAAATTCTTCTATTAAATAATCTAAGAGTCTGATGTTACACGAGAGTCTGATGTTACACGAAATTTGATTGGCTCCACAAAACTATCGAGCCAATCAAACTTCGTGTAGCATTAGACGGCACAGTCTTGGGCAACTGTGAACTCAAAACTAAATATAAATGTGCTACCACCAAAATATTCAGTTTCTCCTACCAGACCAATGGAAACTCCTCATAGCTCTATGCAAGCAACAAAATTGAACAAATGTACCCATGGTTCCACAATAGCAAATTCAGTAACCGTCTAAAAAGCATATTACATGTGATCTATATATTTTCCAAAATGTTTACTTGTTACACAGTTTCTATTGTTTTATATGTAATTATCTGTCTCGTTTATGTTATCCTGCTTCGAGTGAAGTGATTGCGAACCATTTCTTAAAATCAGACACAGGCAAGCCATTACAAGATAGAAACACGAATCTCGACAAAAGCTCGCCACCCAAAATATTGGCAAGTTCGTTTACAGCGGGATTGACTTTTAAGAGAAAATCAATTACCACCGTTTGTTTCTTAGATCGTTTAGTTTCTGAGCCTAATATATCTTGAAATATTTCTTTGAGAAGGTACGTGGCAATTTCAATCGACTCACAAAACACAGGACCCACTTTATACCCGTTATCTGGGTTGTACAACACCCTTGCAGCGGCATAACCGACAATTTCATGTTGTTGATCAACAGCCACGCGAGCGTAACTAGTCTGAAGTAAACGCTCCACAAATTTCTCTCGCTTGTAACCAAAAACTTTGGTATCGTAATCAAACAAAGCCTTTAAATCAACGTCGCTGACTTGCTTGATACTAAAATCTGGACTCGCACGGGTAGAAATATAATCTTTTATAAAGGATATAGCCTTTGGGATGTCAACAATATGCTTCTCTGTCGGCCAACGAGGAACGGCTTTAAGAACTGCTCTGTATTTTTCAACCATCTCAGGAACAGAATAGCCAGATACAATGCCATTGGGCTCAGAGCGCTGCCATGTCTCTGTGGTCATTTTCATTCCATAGCTTCGTCCTCTGAAGGCTTCGTCAACCACGAAACAGCCATAATGCCGATAATTATCGTCGTATTTAATCATGGAAGCAATCGCGATTGGTTTTTCGTTCAACTCACCAACATAGAGTGAAGTTGGGTCAATAGCAAGGTAGAAATCGACGTCATGTACGCCTGGACACCAATTCTCCTTCTCTAGCAAATCTAAGAAGAACTTCTTCAGGACTGTAGACGATTCAGTGATTGCTCGAATTTTGAACTCCACACCATTGCTAGTCATATTTTCTAAGAGTAATTGCTGTTTACTTCGCTAGCAGCGAAAGAGCCCACGGAAATGAGTTAAATTGCCTCAGGCTTAGAAGCCTTAGCTTAAAGAATGTTGTTAAATGCAGAAGAAATAGGCTTGCAATATTTGTATGCTGGATACTTTTGTATTGCGGAAACGCTTTCTAATTAATGATAATTAATGAGGTTTGTCCTCAGGATATGATTTTTTTTACTCACCAAAAAACCTACTCATGCAAGTCTTGCTGCCATTGCTCACATTACCTTGCAGTTGAGCTTGCGGCTTGCATTTCAACGCCTTGTTCCATCGGTTTGAAACGGTGCATTGATTGGTTAGCAACGCCTTGTTTCTAGGACTAAAATTAAATGATAATACATTTCCAAGATTATGACTTTTCTATCATACATAGGAAATGTATCACTGTGGTATTACTGAATTTATAAACTGTTTCACACATGTCGAATTCTCTGATCTACACAACACGCATTGCAATATGAGAAAGTTCAGCAAAGCGGATAGGACGTACAATGTTGGATGATGAAAAAAAGGTGAAAATTTTTCGTCACCATATTCCAACCATATGTTCCAACTATGATGCAATCTCACTCGTCCATCAAAAGTTGATTTTAGCCTGAGGAAACAAGGCGTTGCTAACCAATCAACGCACCGTTTCAAACAATTGAACAACGCGTTTGAAATGCCAGCCGCCAGCTCAAGTGCTCATGTCTCAACTCTCAGCTGCAAATGGCGGTATAGGGAGAAGATGTCTCAATAGTTGGTGAATTAAACGGGAAACCTAGGGCAGGCTAGAGCCAGATTTTCTTATAAAAAAGCTCCGTGTGACGCCTTCTCGTTGCAATTCTGATGCATAAGTCATACTGGAGTCTAGAGAGCAGGCAAGGAGGAATTTTCAAATGAAACATTTCACGGTTGCGCAATCGTAAAACGTGGCAAAGCATTTCTAACGAAATTGCAATATTGAAATTTGTTCTCGTCAACATACCCTCGGTGTTATTTGGAAGGTATTCTCAGAGACTGATTTAGAGGATTATGAATGCCGGTCATTTCGAGATTCGAATGATCACGGAGTCATCATCGACAGCCTTAAAAAATACTTCATGGAATTACTAGAGAAAGAGGGTTGGATGCCAGGCTTAAATGACATCGATTGCTACCTTGCCCTTGACCCAACTTCTCTCTATGTTGGTGAGTTGAACGGAAAACCAATCGCAATTGCAGCTATGTATAAATACGACGATCAGTATCGACATTTTGGTTGCTACATAGTTGACAAAGCCTTTAGAGGTCGAGGCTATGGAATGCAATTGACCGCAGAGGTTTTGCGACAATCCGAACTTAACGGTATCATATCACTATATTCGGTCCAAAATATGGTTGAAAAATACGAAAAAGTAATGAAAGCTGTTCCACAATGGGTGGCGGAAAGGCATATCGTGGACATACCAACGACTTTTTCCTTCCTCAAAGATGCCATTTCTTCCAATGCAAGTCCGCCATTTAGTATCAAGCAAGTCAGCGACGTTGATTTGAAGGCCTTGTTTGATTACGATACTAAAGTTTTTGGTTACAAGCGAGAGAAATTTGTGGAACGTTTACTTCAGGTTGGTCACGCTCGCGTGGCTCTTGATCAACAAAATGAAATTGTCGGTTATGCCGCTGCAAGGGTGTTGTACAACCCAGATAACGGGTATAGAGTGGGCCCCGTGTTCTGTGAATCGATCGAAATTGCTACGTACCTTCTCAAGGAATTATTGCAAGATTTATTGCAGTCTGGAAAATCTACCAAACAAGCTCTGACAATAGATATTCCTCTGGGCAACCCAACTGCAAATGAATTTGCTAAAATCTTGCATGGTAAAATTATACTAAAATGTGTATTTGCCTGTTCAAATGGTTTGCCCAAGTCTGTGTTCAAGAAATGGTTTGCAGTAACTTACGTTGAAGCAGGTTGAAACAGAACATATTTCATAAGTACACTTTGGGATTTTTAGAGCAATATTATAGCTTTGTGATTATGTGCTTTTTAATGCAACATTGGACTGATTTGAGTACCTGAACAGTAGTTAGAGCACCTTAAAACATTGAAATGCACCTTAAAACATTGTCCTTATTTGTTTTTAATGTAGGACTTCTTAAAACAAATGTGCTAAAGAATTAATAAAATTAGGCACACAAGGATAGGTGGCACATATTTATTTTATTACACCACAAAATTTCATGTCAGGATGACTGTTCTTTCCTACAAGAAGAAAAAATTACAATTACTCTTGGTGGAAAACTTAGTTATAACTAGTTACCATATAGATAAATTTGTTTTATTCTAATGAAATAAAAAAAATTTTTAAGATATGCTGTGGTACTTACTAAAAATGCTCATTCAACAGTAGCCATAGCAACATCTTCCTCTGTGTGTTTCCCTTTTCCTTTTTCTGTCAACCTCTTTCTGTCCTTTCTTTCTAAGATGGCTTTACGATCTTTATCCAACTTCAGTTTGACAATCTCAACCTTGCTAGGATGAATACCGACACTTACGGTCGCACCATTTGCCTTGTCTCGTTGGATTCTTTCAATGTGTATGACCCATTTTTTTCGGTATGTCTGAATAACCTTGCCAACCTGTTGACCTTTGGGCAAATACATATCACAAATGTTGATTATATTAAATGAAAAAGTGTATGACTCAGGTGAATGAATATTGTGATGGTGCTTAGTACTAGGAGTACCAACTGGGAAAATGGAAACTTTGCTTGAAAACCATGCTCAAGCTAATTTTCCAGCTTGCCTAGTTCGAAACTGGGAGTAGCACCATTGACACATAGACATCACAATTCACAATCTCTGTTTTGATATATCCTTCTAGATTTCTATATTCTCCCAGAAGAACTATAAACATACTTAACAAACTAAACAAAGTACTAAATAGTAAATAAAAAACATATCTGATATCTCTCTAATAAAAATACGATATAAAATGCGGATAAAAATTGTAATAATGAACTATTGCCTGTGCCTAAATTTGCAGCCATACACAGAAAAATGAGGTAGCTATTATAGAAATATATATCTAAATACCTTTGTGATGGCCACGTGTAACTTGAACTTCATCATCTTTGCGAATGGGTAAAGAACGTACGTTATACTTTTGACGAAGATCTTTACACAATGGCGCACTCATCAGCTTTCGTCTTACACTAGAGGGCGCTGTGAAATAGGCTTTGCGGCTTTTTCGCCGAGAAGAACTCACATTTTTATTGTATTTCATTTTGAATCAACCTTTCCAAGATGGAGGTCGGGAGAGAAGAGAACTATCCCATCATCCTTTGCCCACTTGTAATCCACATTAGGTCCCATACTTCCAGGTATGAACACATGTTCACGACCTCTGGGGACATCCAATTATTGAAGAATACGAGTATGAAATTTTTTCATAATTGTAAAGTTTGCCTATTTACGGCAATGTCGAACTTATATAACCAGGGAGCAGCGTGGTAGCGTCTTCAAATATGGTATAAAAAAAGAATCGAAATAGGTCTACTACTAGCCTTTACAAACTCAGCCCGGGCTGAAATTTCAGCCTGGTTTTAAAATAATTCTGACGTGTCATAAACACAGCCCAGGCTGAAACTTGCCATGTAATTGGCCGCGGTTTGCTGGGCTGAAAAGACACCATGTAATCAGCCCCTCAGGCCTAGGTTATACGTCGCATTTTAGTCGCGTTGAATGCAACTCTAACAATAGATAATAAACCCCATAAATCTGATTGATCATCTCATTATCTATTGTTTGAACTGCATTCAATGCAACTAGCCCTAAGCACTCGGCTGGAACAAATGACTCTGAAACAAAGAAATACAAAGATATTCACAATGCGCATTGCAAGTGGGTACTAGCACGCAAACAGTCAACCTCTCCTTGCTCGTCGTTGGAAGAACGAAAATGGCCAACGATAACGTTGATAATTTCCAGGTACGAACAATAACTGAGTCATCAACAGTCTTGAAGAAATTCTTCATAGATTTATTAGAAGAAGAAGGCTGGTTTCCTGGTCGAGATGACATCGATATCTTCCTTGCTTGTGATCCAAACTCTCTTTATGTTGGTGAGTTGAACGGAAAACCTGTCGCAGCTGGTGCTCTGTTTAAGTATAACGAGGAATACGGGCATTTTGGATGTTATGTAACCAACAAAGATCACAGAGGAGGAGACTATGGTTTTAAACTGGCCGCAGAATCATGGCGACGATGTCAACCTATTGAAAATTTAGGTGGCTTTTCTGTTCTCGATATGATTGAAAAGTACGGAAAGTCAATGGATGCTGTTGCCCACTGGCCGATGGAAAGGCATATCGTGGACATACCAACGGCTTTATCCTTCCTCAAAGATGCCATTTCTTCCAATGCAAGTCCGCCATTTAGTATCAAGCAAGTCAGCGACGTTGATTTAAAGGCATTGTTTGATTACGATACTAAAGTCTTTGGTTACAAGCGAGAGAAATTTGTTGATCGTTTACTTCAGGTTAGTCACGCTCGCGTGGCTGTGGGTCAACAACATGAAATTGTCGGTTATGCCGCAGCAAGGGTGTTGTACAACCCAGATAACGGGTATAGAGTGGGCCCCGTGTTCGGTGAATCGATTGAAATTGCCAAGTGTCTTTTGGTTGAAGTTTTTTGACTTTTTCAAGACATTTTGCATTCCGGAAAATCTGCCAAACAAGCCGTTGTGATAGATCTTCCTCTTGGAGGCAACCCAGCCGCAAATGAGCTCGCAAATATCCTGCATGGTAAATTTATACTAAAATGTGTATTTGCCTCTATTCATGGCCGTTTGCCTAAGTCTAATTTTAAGAAATGGTTTGCAATAACTATGGTTGAAGCAGGGTAGTATGTTCGAAGCATATTTATTCGCCATATTTTATAGAACATTTGAATAAGGAACTATGATTTTGACAGATTGTGCTTGAGATATCCAATGTAGCTGAAAACTGTATTTTGTGTTTTTTTTCTAAATTAACTGCACGGTTTCAGAAAATATGTGTTCAAGAATCAATAAAATAATCAACAAAAGAATAATGTGTTGTATATATCACTTTTCATGCACTTTTAGCGTTTCTCCTAAGGCTAGTTTCCACTCAGGAAAATTCTCCTTTGGATCGGACAGGACAGGACAGGACAGGACAGGACAGGACAGGACAGGACAGGACAGGACAGGACAGGACAGGACAGGACAGGACAGGACAGGACAGGACAGGACAGGACAGGACAGGACAGGACAGGACAGGACAGGACAGGACAGGACAGGAAAGTTTCCTTTGTATAAACGCCGCCTGAGAACTCACCGACAAAGGAAATTTTCCTGTCCGTTCCGATCCAAAGGAGATTTTTCCTGAGTGGAAACTAGCCTTTACGTTCTTGTAACTGAGTTGTAAGCCCGTCATTACAAAATTGTTGCATAATTTCAAATTGATGCATATCTTGTATTGTCTGCCAAAAAATTGCTGACGTCAATTACTGACGAAGGAAGGCATGCAAATTTGTTTGAAAACCTCTCAAAGTATGTAGAGAAGATGATGCATGAAAATCCCGTGGTCAGGGAGGGGAGTCTCTTGACAAAGCTTTTTCGTTTGTTTATTTCACTTTTATGTGCAGTCATAGTACTCTTAAAGGTCAAGTTATTGTCATTCGGGATTTTAAAGCGCTCGAAGAATCGAAATAGGTCTACTACCAGCCTTTACAAACTCAACCGGGCTGAAATTTCAGCCTGGTTTTAAAATAATTCTGACGTGTCATAAACACAGCCCAGGCTGAAACTTGCCATGTAATTGACCCCGGTTTGCAGGGCTGAAAAGACACATTGTAATCAGGGCCGTAGCTAGAAGCTTAATTGGGGGGGTGCATATTCATATATTCGTCATATGCCCGAATGATTTCTTTTGTATGCTATTGTTCCTATGGTATATGAACATGAATATATGAATATACACCCCCCCAATTAAGCGGTCTAGCTACGGCCCTGATTGTAATCAGCCCCTTAGGCCTGGGTTATACGTCGCATTTTAGTCGCGTTGAATGCAACTCAAAAAATAGATAACGAGATAGTAAACCCCATAAATCTGATTGATCATCTCATTATCTGTTGTTTGAACTGCATTCGACGCGACTAAAATGCGACCAGCCCTAAGCACTCGGCTGAAACAAATCACTCTGAAACAAAGAAATACAAAGATCTTCACAACGCGCATTGCAAGTGAGTACTTGCACACGGCAAACAGTCAACCTCTCCTTGTAATTCAGGGCATCCATAATTTATTTGCATATTGCTTTCCTTGCACAGGGATGGGATTGGTGAGCAGAGAGAAACAAAGAACTTTTGAAAAGGAATGTATAATTTATGCAATTAATAATTACCCTCTCCCCCATAGTGGAGCACTTTTCTAAGAAAATTTCCTTAGAAATGGAAACGCTGCCTTGTATTGGCTCCACTAAACTATTGAGCCAATCAAACTTCGTGCAAGTTGTAACATCAGACTTTTCGCGTTTGACGTCATTACTGAAAAGGTCAAGTGAGCACTAGCACGCAAACAGTCAACCTCTCCCTGCTCCTCGTTGGATGAACGAAAATGGCCAACGATAACGTTGATAATTTCCAGGTACGAACAATAACTGAGTCATCAACAGTCTTGAAGAAATTCTTCATAGATTTATTAGAAGAAGAAGGCTGGTTTCCTGGTCGAGATGACATCGATATCTTCATTGCTTGTGATCCAAACTCTCTTTATGTTGGTGAGTTGAACGGAAAACCTATAGCAGCTGGTGCTCTGTTTAAGTACAACGAGGAATACGGGCATTTTGGATGTTATGTAACCGACAAAGATCACAGAGGAAGAGGCTATGGCTCTAAACTGGCCACAGAATCATGGCGACGATGTCAGCCTATTGAAAATTTAGGTGGCTTTTCTGTTCTCGATATGATTGAAAAGTACGGAAAGTCAATGGATGCTGTTGCCCACTGGCCGATGGAAAGGCATATCGTGGACATACCAACGGCTTTATCCTTCCTCAAAGATGCCATTTCTGCCAATGCAAGCCCGCCATTTAGTATCAAGCAAGTCAGCGACGTTGATTTAAAGGCGTTGTTTGATTACGATACTAAAGTTTTTGGTTATAAACGAGAGAAATTTGTTGATCGTCTACTTCAGGTTAGTCACGCTCGCGTGGCTGTTGATCAACAACATGAAATTGTTGGTTATGCCGCTGCAAGGGTGTTGTACAACCCAGATAACGGGTATAAAGTGGGCCCCGTGTTTGCTGAATCGATCGAAATTGCCAAGTGTCTTTTGATTGAAGTTTTTCAAGAAATTTTGCATTCCGGAAAATCTGCCAAACAAGCCGTTGTGATAGATCTTCCTCTTGGAGGCAACCCAGCCGCAAATGAACTCGCAAATATCCTGCATGGTAAATTTATACTAAAATGTGTATTTGCCTCCATGCATGGCCGTTTGCCTAAGTCTAATTTTAAGAAATGGTTTGCAATAACTACGGTTGAAGCAGGGTAGTATGTTCGAAGCATATTTATTCGCCATATTTCATAGAACACTTGAATAAGAAATTACGATCTTGACAGATTGTACTTGAGATATCTGATGTAGCTGAAAACTGTATGTTGTGTTTTATCTCTAAATTAATTGCACAGTTTAAGAAAATGTGTGTTCAAAAATCAATAGAATAATCAACAATGTGTTGTATATCACTTTTCATGCACTTTTAGCGTTTCTACGGTGGCCCACAAATGCAAACACAACGCAATATTAACTAAGCACGACGGTGTATTTAGTAAAGCTCAACAGCAAGTAAACTCGAAGAAATATCGATCGGCCCATCACAACACAATATTTGCAAAACACAACAATAAATTCATGAAACACAACACAATATTTGCAAAACACAACAATAAATTCATAAAACACAACACAATATTTGCAAAACACAACAATAAATTCATAAAACACAACAATAAATTCATAAAACACAACAATAAATTCATAAAACACAACAATAAATTCATAAAACACAACACATTCATAAAACACAACAATAAATTCATAAAACACAACAATAAATTCATAAAACACAACAATAAATTCATAAAACACAACACAATATTTGCAAAACAAATGTAATACTTCATGTATAATAAATTATTAATAATACGATATCCAATGGCGAACCAGTGAACCGAACTTCGACTTGCTTTTACTTTCCGAAAATAGTATATTAAACCATGTTTTGCTCAGAATGTGGCAGACCCACGGAGGCAACAAATAAATTTTGCCCTACTTGTGGGCATAAAGCAGTGGAAAAGGGGGAGGTCTCTTCCAAAAAAGACGGTAAAAAAGACATAAAATGTCTCACTTTTGAGCAGTTTGCTGCAAAAAAAAGGCAAGAAAGATCGACACATTTCAGAACGTCGTCCAAGACTAAAAAAAAGTCAAAAGATACAGAACCTTTTGCTTTAATAAACATTGGATTAATGAAATACATCAGCGCTGATACAACAACTCCAGTTCGGGGAAAATCATTGCCACTGAAAGTTAAAAAAGATGCCCCCTATGCAGAAGTTTTCACGATGGCGCTAACAAAACGGGAGGCATATGATAAATCATTTGATACCAAATTGAGTTGGAACCTAGTATACCCTGACGGCCAACCTTGTTCAACTCTTCCTGGACAAGAAGAAGAATTCACATTGAGGAAGTATAAAGAAGACTTGGGGAAGCCATATAATAGAATTACATTATATTTATGTCCTGATGAACCCGACAATATGAATTCAGAAGACATTGGCAGTGATGATCACCATCAGTATGATCGTGATCAAAATGTCAGGTAAATTAATAAAATATATTTCTATAAAATTGGAAAATCCCAGGTTTTGACCCTAATGAGGTAAGGGGAAGTGCTGCCTGTGCAAGGTGCAGCCAGGAGGCTATAAAACACGTGTTTTATAGTCAACTTTCTGTAGAACACGTGACCTAAATCATTTGAGAAGTTCATTATTTGCAGAATAAAGGTTGAGCAATATTCAGTGTGGTTTTACTGAGACAAAAGGTGTACTATATAATATGAAAAAAATAAGCTAGTCTTTATGATGACTTGAAATGACATATAATTGGTAATATATAAATTAATTAACAATTATGCACCCCAAAAGTTACAACTGAAGTTGCCTATTGTTTAGAGGCTAGTTAATTGCCATCAGGCCCCTCTCCTTTTAGCACTTTGTTTAATTATGAAAAAAGTGAATTACTTAGGTTGTTTTTTCCAATTATTGCTTTATGGCTAATTTGGTGATTAAAATAATTACAAGATTAATCACTAGCTTCATGGATGTATGTAGCAGCACTCTGTCACACTAAATAACTAACATTGAATTAATGTTACTAGGAAAAAGGAACAAAAAGAAAATGACACTGCAGGATATATTGGTCCACAAAACAGGTAATCAAAATAAAATTGTTAATATTTTAGCAATAATATATCATGTATATAGTACTTCAATCAAGGTCATTCATGCTAATTATATGGCCTCATTTCCCTATAGTGATGATGGTAAATGTCCCATTGAAATTGATTCAGATTCTGAAAGACAACTTGATAGAATCAATTCTAGTAACAGTGTACCACCAAGTTATGGCGCAACACAACAACATGATAAGAGCTCTAGTTCCAATAATAATATTGTGCAAAGTAATGAAATTGATGCATCTTCATCTGATACAATGATGTTGCTTACTGCTAATGATGACTTGCTGTATGCATCTTTGCTTTTTGATGAGAATATGCATTGGAGTGATTCAGAAAGCGAATATTTACAGGACCCAGCAGTACCATTGGAGATTACAGATGATGACAAATCTTTGCAAGACATACTTTCAAATTTAAATACTCAAATTAACTCCAATGAAATATCCAAGTTTAATATAAGTCGAAGTCATATTTGGGAAGGGGCTGTAAGAGGCCTAAGCAGAAAGACATTCTCTCCAGCAAACAAGGTCTCTGTCAAATTCACAGATGATGTTGGGAATGCTGAAGGAGCTGTCGATTCTGGGGGCCCGATGAGAGAATTCTTCACTCTCATTATTGAGTGGATGTTATGCTCTCAGTTGTTTTGTGGTAGTGAAAGGGGAAAGTGTTTGTCAATTAATTCCAATTACCTGAATAATGACTTTTACTTTCATGCTGGTCAGCTTATAGCAATGTCAGTAGTACATGGTGGGCCTGGTCCCAGATGTTTCAGTCAGTCTCTCTATGATGCATTGACAATTGGGGTGCAGAGAGCATCTGTAGATGTAGAAGATGTCTATGATTTTGAGCTACAAGGCTCTCTTAAATCTTTTGTAAGTTCCCCAACAGTTGAAGAAGCTCAAACTGTAATATCAAACAGCAATTTAGAAACAATTTTTGATCTTGCTGGAACCCTTGAGGTGCTTAAGACAAAAGAAGATGTTTTTAATGTTGCTAAAAAAACTGCTCATTGGTTTGTATTGGAGAGGGTGCAAGCATCCCTTGAGAGGTTTAAAGCAGGTCTTAGTGTTCTTGGTGTTTTTGATGCAATGTGTATGCATTATACACAGTTTAAAAGTGTGTTTTGTTATTCAAGTACAGAGTTTAGTGCTGATACATTCGGCTCTATCTTTTCTGTCTTGCGAAGTGAAGAAGGTTCAAATAAATCTGCTCTGGAAGGTTTAGTTTTATCGCATTGGAATGACTTCTTACAAGATGTGGAAGAGAAAGTAGTTGGTGGGTTGGATTTCCCGGACATTCTTTTCTTTGCTTGTGGATGTAAAGAGCTTCCCCCTTTAGGGTTGTCTTTGGAGCTGTGTTTCCTCCATGCGCCAGAAAAAGATGGTTTGCTCTCTAAATTTCCAAAGGCCAACACTTGCTCATGTGAATTACACTTGCCAGTAGTCCATAGCACATATGACGACTTCAAAAAGGATCTAACATTAGCTTTTCTTAACACTAAAGGTTTTGGCTATGCATAATTGAGAACGCAGGATGTACATCTAGCCTATGTAAAGTTTGTTCGTTTTTGCATTTTTCAATGATTGTTTATAACTAACTTTTTTGACTATATGCATAATTGCATGCAAATGTATAGTTATATGTATAGTTATGTAAGTTGTGTTATGTTAAAATGTTTTTTATTCGCATTGAGCTTCAGCAGGATTAAAACCAACGTCTAGTTTGCAGTGACTGTATTCCAAAAATTTTTTTGGCCACGGAAATTTCCTAATATAAGAGATATAGTTATGGGGTGTGTCCATTTTAGTCCTGCTGGTTGCACATACATGTATATAGTTACAAGTTACTTAACTGATTACTATGCTTATGGCTATGTCATACGGTTGTGAATAGTTGTAAGTTGTTTTATTCAAATTTAAAAAAATCCATTTTTGATTCAACGAGTATGAAACTAATTTTCTTCCACCCGAGATTAGCCTGCGTCGTCGATGAGGCGATGTTTTCTTCAAAAATGATATTATTAATTAATTGTAAATTACAAATTGTAATGTTCGCATATATAAGTACATCGATCAGTGGTGTTTATGCGAAATGCATCAAGTTATTGTATAACAATAATGCTTCCCTCCAGTTTGATGGTAGTGTTAAATTATTGTTTTCCACGAGATAACTAATGTATTCACCATCATCGTCATCATACAATTCACAGTATTCAGCCATATCGCAAAGGTCTTCTTCAGAAACGACACACTTGTAATCTTGGTAGCCGCTATTTTCAGGTAAATAATACAGCTCGTTTGGCCTCCCTGGGATGGTGTCATATCGGGATCTGCGGATATAGTGGCTGTTCCAATTATCTTTTACCGAATCAAGATCTGCCTGTAAAATATCTTTGAAACAAAACCAAAGGCATTCCATGCTTGTTTCATTTGCGGTATTAACAACATTTCTTTCCACTAAATCCTTTAAGAAATTTATCCACCATGTGGATCTGTCGTGGCGAAGGAATGACCACCATCTTTCAATGCGTTGATTGGAATGCGACGATCCATATACATGTGCATTTAAACCTGCTTGGTTGTCATTTCCTGGGGCACGAAGGTAACACTGCATTGAAGCCATGACTCCGTTCTCGGTGCCGCAATCAGTTCGTAATATTCTTGGGCAACCATTGGTTATTTTCACGCACTCGTAGAAAAACGATGCAACATGTGATGGATCGTTGTTTGTTCGACAAACCTTCAACCACATAACACGACGACTAAACCCGTCCACACAACCGTGAATCGGAAAACCATACGGCTTTAGCTTGTCATACCCGTCTACATGCCACGCAAAGTTAGGCCCAGGATTTACATAGGATCTTCTTCTAAGTCGACGAGTTCTTCTTAATTCGGTTCCCTCTGGATCGATTTCGCGCAGAATTCTTTCGACATTATTTCTGGGCGTTTGAATTCCATATTTTAGACGGAGACTGTGCCACATCGCACGATACCCTCTCATACATCCAGGACCATCTAATTCTTGTTGGACTGCTTCATAAACGACTGCATTGGGGGTATCTGTACCTCTTCTTTTCAACCCATATTCTGACAGCCTATTTTGCAGAGTTCGAATAGAAATTTCGATCTCGTGCCGGTTATTTAAAAACAAAATAATTGACGAATAACTAAATCCACGATGAAAATAATAGCGTATAAGAAGTTCTTCCTTGTTTACAGCAGATCCACATTCTGGACAAAAGTTCATTGAGGTTAGTTCTAACTCCCGAGAGCAGTACAAACATTGTATACTCCCATCCATTCTGTTACATAAACGAGCTACATCTCTGCTGTCAATATGTCCTCCTCGATTGTTTTAAGAATTTTTCTTTTACAATTAATTGTATTTTATAGTGATAACCTCATTCAGTATAACACGTCGTGGCTGCATGTGTCGTGTTTAAGGATTTTTTTGTTGTGTTTTGCACTGAAATATTGTGTTGTGTTTTATGAATTTATTGTTGTGTTTTGCAAATATTGTGTTGTGTTTTATGAATTTATTGTTGTGTTTTGCAAATATTGTGTTGTGTTTTATGAATTTATTGTTGTGTTTGCAAATATTGTGTTGTGTTTTATGAATTTATTGTTGTGTTTTGCAAATATTGTGTTGTGTTTCATGAATTTATTGTTGTGTTTTGCAAATATTGTGTTGTGATAGGCCGATCGATATTTCTTCGAGTTTACTTGCTGTTGAGCTTTACTAAATACACCGTCGTGCTTAGTTAATATTGCGTTGTGTTTGCATTTGTGGGCCACCGTACGTTTCTCTTACGTTCTTGTAAGCCCGTCTTTACAAAATTGTTGCATATATAATTTCAAATTGATGCATATCTTGTATTGTCTGACATTAATTACTGACGTGGCGTGCAAATTTGTTTGAAAACCTCTCAAAGTATGTAGAGAAGATGATGCATGAAAATCCCGTGGTCAGGAAGGGGAGGGGAGAAGAAAGACTAGGGGCCTAGGTCTGCGGGTACGAGATTACTGAAGACTAATGGAATTAAACACATCACACAATGCGCTTCATGTATAATCAATAATATATTGTATGTATTTGAATGAACGTTAATCCTATCTGTGACTTAAGGTGAATAGGAATTAGGAACATTGTGACTTGCGATGAAGGGCTGTAGAAAATGGTACCAAAAACATGTACGAAGAAAACTAATGCTATCTATATATTTGATGAGGTGCCCAGTAAAGTTGATTCTTCAAATCATGAGGTGTCTTTAAGAACGCTTGGTGTAAATACGACTGTTTCAGTTTATAACATTGTCAGAAGCCATTCAAGTGTTGTGTAAAATTTTACAAAATCAGCGAAATGCTTTTATCGAACAAATGAGAACGTTTTCAACCAAATCATTTCTCTTACGGTTTTTTTACAACCGTTATCATTCCCTTTTGACTTCGATTGGAAAAATTATTATTTCTGGAGCAGATATAGTGATATTTCCCTTGGCTTAACTGTAAGACCAAACCTGGGTATGACGCTGGAGCATTGTTTAACAAGTTGTTTAACAAAGGTTTGCCTTTTATACACGTGAGGCAACCGTAGTAGCCAACACTCGCCAAACTTACAGCGGCATCATCCATGGTTTTCGTCTTTTCCGCGCTTGACCAGACTAGTTTCGCACCAGAGAACATAGTCGAGTTCTCGAAGGGAACTGGGTAGTTGTCAATTGGATCCAGTACTTCAACGATATTACTGCGGTCCGTACCTGTGAAAAACGCGATGTAATCGTGAGCTTAACGGGACACCAGATATTGAACGTAATACAATTAACTTATTACAATCATTACAATTGATTGGGGAAAAGTATAGTTCATTAACTGAATGTAATTAGACTCATCTTCGTTCCCAGGTTTTTCGCGTAAACGCAGTATGAATTCGACTGAGAGTTTTGTACAACTCGATATCAGCTTTGTGTAATACTACATGACGTACCTGCTTTGCCTTCCCCTGCGTCACCAGCCTGTCCATCCCCAGCTGGATTGCCATTGTTGTGCGAGTTTGAACCTGAAAAAAAACCCCCAGGATATTTGAATCAACAAAGATTACAGCTGGTTCCTCAAGAGATGGTCTCAGTCGTGCTTCCACAAGAGAGGACTGGGAAGGAGCTTACGATACGCTGCCTACGCACGAAGGGTATGCTTAAATGAAAGGAACAACGACTCGGAGGCGGCCAAAATTCAATAGTCTTATATCATACCTGTCCACTGAATATGAAGAAGTTCATTTTCACTCATCCTCAGTCTGTTTGGTATGAAATCATACTCCACAGCCGGATACGTCTGCACGATGTTTCCACGTTTCCCACGGACATTCAGGTTGAAGATCGTATCCGTATCCCTGATTTTATTCGCAATTCGTTTCTTCAGTTTGAAGACATGAGATCTATCTTGAAAGGTGCGGCCGTATTGCGCGGTGTTGATCGCAAGTCTGAGAGGTGTCTGAGCTGCCCCGATATCCACCAGTTCGTTCTGTTGGACCGGAGAGATCACCATACCCACTCTAAAAAAAGAAAAGAGCTTGGTTAGAAAAAACAGAGTTGGCAATGAAGAATCGGCGATTTTAATTGCGGTGATTGAACGTGCAACACCGCGAAGCTTATCAGAATTGATATGCTTTATTTTCTTGACACTTACAAGTTTTGATTGTGGACTGGGTAAATGGATCATAATCGTCCGTGATATGTTATATCTGCAAGATAAACGTCCGGTGATCAGCGATAAAACTAGGGTTAAATTTCGGGATTCATCCAATGAACTGAATCACAAATTCCAAACAATTAGGTCTAAATCCTTTAAAGAGTCAAGCAACAATACCTTATTCTAAAAATGCAACGCTGGGTTTTCCCGCTAGGGAAATGAGGTAGCACCCAGGTATAGTTCAATGGCACACCGTCACGGCCGTTGCCAAGGTGATTATCACGTGACCACGGGGCAAGTTCACAATGTGGTTTATCTAAACCAACCAAGCACTTTGGTTGCGGTTTCTTCGTGTCCAAGTCTTGAGTTCTGTAAGGTATTCCCCAAATGAACGGCTGGTCTTTCGTCCTCGCGCCTTCACAGGCCTCTTCGGTTCCATGCTGTGGAGCCTCTTCCAAGTAGTTACTAAACCCGAACCATTCTCCTCCGCCATCCGCGCACGCTTTGGCATTGTTGTACTTCGAGGCATGCCTGTACCCACCTCCATTATACTTTTCCAAACACTCGCCTGGAAGAAATAGATAAAAAATGTTTAAATCATGCCGTGTATGGACCGTTGGTGATAAGTTGTGACGGTTATACGGGCCTCATACCTTTGGGTTTCACATTAAAACTCTCCTTTTCATAATAGTTTTTGCATAATTTCTCATCGTGAACCAAAACTGCGATATCTTTCCAATCGGTAGGATGCCAATACGGGTAATAATCCCTTTCTTCCGGACATTCGTATCCATATCTTTGACCTCCGGGGTTCTGTCTCGTATATTTACTAGACTCACCGCGAAGTTTCTGATCAGCGGTAAACAGACCTAAAAAACGGCAAAATAATAAAAATTATCATAAGCTATCCTGAAGTGCTGCTTTATTGAAGTTTTAGCACAATAGGTTAAAAAGTTAGTTACTTGTATTTTCAAATCAGTGATCTAAACGTTTTTAAAACTACTTTAAATTTAGGGATTTAAAGACTCCCGACTCCCGAAAGACAGAGCGTGCCCCACTTCCTTCGCCCAGGGGTAGTCCCTCTTCTCAACGCTACAACAAATACCTTTATTTCTCTGTCTTTTGTCGCATTTATCATACCATTCCCAGGGTTCTTGCACAGCTCTATCGTTTTTCACATTTTGATTTTTCCTGGTGTCTTTTTGGTTCTTTGCATTGAACTTTTGATTGTTGTAGTCTTGAGTGTTGGTAGACTTGCCTTATCCAAAACAGATCAGCACTTAGTGACGATGAAACACGAATGATTCAAATAATTTTATCAGACGAATAGACATAATTTTATCAATTTAAACTAGCTCGTATAATATTTTATCTATATAGTTATTAATATCTAGAAATCTAGCCGGTTCACGGCACTGACAGTGATTTGGGAGTTGATTTTTAGCTATGCTGCAAGCCACGGTGCAAATAAAATACCTTTTTCCGGCTGAGGTAATCACACTGACGTATGTGGACATGTGTCGTTTGCAAAGTTCCTGTGATTTTCAACATCACAGCTGGCCAAAACCTCAATTCATTAATTATTGTGATGAAATTAAATCTTCAATGTGCAATAGAATTAAAATATTTACTAGAACAACTTCCCTCAAATTGAAAAACACAAGTCTTGTTTCAAATCGTTAAAACACTTTGCGTTTTATAAAGCTTGTCATATAAATAAGTTATGCTTTAATTTGTCAATTTAAAAAAACGCTAAACATTTATGACATATCTTGCGGTGCAAACTGTAAACAATGCTTTGACAAAGTTGCAATTTGCGTTTAAATTCTTATATAACCGCCTCGTTTCCAGAGAACAGCCCTTGGGCCGAACGAGGTTGCTGTTAGAATAACGTCAAATTTGCATAGTGCCACAAAGTCAAGCTGGCCCCTGCCTGCAGACAGATTAGATAATTTGTTGCAATTTTCCTTAATTATAGATTGGAATTTCAAGTTTCTTTGCTGAAAACGATTTAGAAATTAAGATGCAAAGTATTTTAATCACCGCTTTTGTTACAGAGGTTAATAATTAAGTCATTTAAAAGATCTATCAACTATCAAGACACGAGTAATGTACTTAGGAACATTGAATGACAGTTTAAATTAGAATTCGTATTTAATTGCCAACGGAAAATAGCGAAGCCGGATGAGGAAACATCACAGTTTTACACGCAATTAATCTAAATTAACGTTCATAACAAATTATAAAAGCGTAGATATCTGATCGAATGCAACCTGTGAACGTAGATAAAACTCGTAACAGCTTTGCAGAATGCATTGATACTTAGATAGCGCTTAATGCAAGCTACGGTCAGTAAACTCTTATCTAGCGATGGCATTTTGACATTAAAAAGACTGATGCATTTCAAATTTCATATCAAATTTATCGTAGAAAGTGGCTTTCCTCGAACAGCTTTGAGAGACCGATGGAGTTTAGCTATCACCAAACCCCTAAATCCACGTAATCATCAAGATAGTGACTGATTGGAAGCAGAAGTTTTAGGGGCATACCAATCTCAACGATCAACGCGATTCAAATTAAGTTCGGAATTCGGACTGAATATCATTTTTGGGTCTATAATCTTTATTAGTTCGTTGAACTTGTGACCGCTGTGCGTGTGTGAGTATAGAATCATCGACTGGTCTTTTCTCCAACATTCTTGTCATCAACATGACAATCTGACACGCGGCTTGTGTTTTCAGCTGCAGAGAAAACTATTATCAATCGTGGTTTCTCGGGTAACACAGCAGAAATACACGTCTATTCAGAGCTTTTCCCACATCAAACATCCCCGAAGGTAAGTTCTTCACCTCAGTATATATATCTCTAGATTCGCCGCGTAAGAATTTACTACAGCTGAATTTTCGATTGCGCCACGCTGCGTCCATTGTTAAAGCAATGCATTTTTATTGCAAGGATAATTAAATGCAGGATTTCCGTGTATTATCGAGATTTTTATGGCCGTGGGCACAAGAACATTCAACAAAGTAATCACAGGTAATCGTGTTTTTATAGTACAGCAAAAAACAGTGTACAGTACGATGTACACAATCAAGGATTTTAGCTGAACGATTCCCGTCGCGAAAGCGATCATGCTGTCTCAAGCAGCAAATCAAATTGCTATCAATTTAATTACCCTGCGAAAGAACCTTCTGTGTAGACCAAGGAATATCTACACTAGATTCCACAAATCTTGCGTATTACATCATTTGACCCTCTTAAAACTCGCTTTTTTTTTAAGAACGCTGAACCGAATTCCCGAGAATAAAAGACGCAATTTTGAAAGAACACAAGCTATCAGGTTTTCATCATCTCTCACTGTCAATTTTCACAACAGACGGAAGTGGGGACAAGCCTGGATGGCATGGGATTGAATGGATAATATGTAGGCGAAGCAAAAACGATTTAAGGCGTTGAAAAAAGAATATAAAAGAAAACCAACATTAGAAACAACACTCAGCCAATAATCTGCTTTGGTGTCTTTGCGAATAGTTTAAATAGCAACCCAGTAGCCAGGCAGAACTGTCGAGAGAGGGAGCACAGATTGAGCTTGTGAGTTGTGGGCAGAATACGAGGAGTTTTCGTGAAACGAAGAGAAGTAAAGGGTCAAGTCGATCATGCAGAATTTGAGTTGTAATATCAACCACACTAACAATAGCTGTCCTGGAAACGCAGGTGCTATGCCCCCAAATCAGTCTCAGACGTACGTTATAACCAGCACGGTGTTGCTCAGTGTCCTTATCCCTGCGATTATCATTGGAAATGGTCTGGTTATTTTGGCATTTGGAACGACTAGACGATTACGAACAACGACCAACTACTTCGTCGTATCTTTAGCATTTGCAGACATCATGGTCGGCCTGCTATCTCTACCAATATTCACAGTCGTTATCTATAAAAACACACAATGGTTTATAGATAACCCCGACATGAATAATCTATGGAAAGCCGTTGACATGATCACATCCATTGCAAGTATAACCAACTTGATGTACATCAGTATTGATCGTTACGTCTGTATCCAGTATCCCCTCAGGTATGGAAGTATTTACAGCCTCGAAAGAGCTTCGCATGCCAAGAAATACAGCATGCGGTTAGACTTCAAAATGGCGCGGGGTCGTGGCGCGGTCGACAATAATGGCGATAAAGACATGCCGGTGGAATTTCCCGCACACCGCAAACTTCCATCGAGGCTAAATCCTGACACAAATCCCCAAAATGCTAGACTTGTTCGAATAAGCTAGTCTCGCTCAAAATAGAGTTTAGATTTTTATAGGCCATTCAAGGTTTCCCTGGATATACCTATCAAAATCTAAAACCATTTTGAGCGAGATTGGAGGAAGTTTACCAAAATACCAGCTTTGTATCAGAATGAAAAATAGCGTGGACCTGCGCGGCAATTTTATTTCCCATTGCTTGGCCTAACCTCCAGATCATAGGTAGATCATACTGCATAGTTTTTGAGCCACAAATTAATCACTGTGGACCGGGACTGTCTATAATTCTCGTAAATAAAGTCATTTCATCTTTTTCATCAGGTATTACGGAATGGTGACAAGGAAGAAAGTAATTGTGATGATAATCGTAAGCTGGATGTATGGCGCGCTAAACTTCACCCTGATACAAGCGACGTATAGAAGGCGAATGCCTCGCCTCGATGTGAACCTGGCTGTAACGATTCTTGCTTTCATAATTCCTCTTCTGGTTATTCTTGTCATGTATGGAAAAGTTGGGAAGATTGCGTTGAACCATCGTGTTCGTATCATGGCTATTGATCAGGAGCAGAGAGCGGCCCAAGGCTATCAAAATTCAAGCCCAAACGACCAAGAATCAAGCCGGGAGAATGGTCAAGACACAGACAAGGACGGCCGAAGAACAAGTCATAAAAACAAGCGAATTATTTCGTTATTGGCGGAGCTTAAAGCAACACGAACCCTTGCTGTTGTGGTCGGAGCTTTTGTCTTGTGCTTTATCGGTTATTTCGTGATTTTGCTTCACACTACGATATGCCTCAGCTGGAGAAGCTTGAAGTGTAAGCCTGCACGAACCGAGGTGGTCGTGGCCATGCAATGGATCAAATATTTTAACAGCTCACTCAATCCGCTTATTTACAGCGTGATGAACGGTGAAATGAGGAGGGCAATGAAGAGATTGGGTAGAACCGCACGATTATCACAGACTGAATCTACGCTTGAAATGAACTGAATATAAACGCATATAAACACGCCATACAAAAGGGAAAAAATTACGAAAAAGACATTTAGACCAAAATTATTGTACTTACTCGAATAGACGCCTCCCTCAAATAAACGCCTCCCTCAAATAAACGCCCACCAAAAATTTAATAAACGCCGCGGGTAATTACGATAATAAAACCAATATAACGGGACATTAGGCAAAGCGATGATGTTGTATACTTAATATAACAAATGTCTCAAAAATCGTCCTTTCAGTTTGACATATATTAAAAAACTGTATTAGGTTAAGCATTTACAATTATATTTCCGAATTTGGAACACACATGCTTCTTGATTGGTGTGAGTTAGAAAGGTGTTTTTTTTAAAAGAGTTTATTAGAGAGAGTGCTTAGAGAAGGGTTTGTTTACTTTGTTAGTGAGACTAGATGAGGTGCATCAATATTAGAGGAGGATTTAGAAAGGGGTGTATTAGAGATAGAGAAGGGGTGTGTTGCATTAATTAAAAAGGGTTACATTAGAGAAGGTTTTCATTAGAGATTGGGTCTATTACTGGGGAGTATACAGAGGGGGGATTTAAAGAGGACCAAGAAGTATCTATTAGAAAAGTCTAGCAAACAAATAGAGAGTGAGTTTATGAAGCAAATGAGTAAGGTGCATACAACAGTTGATGATCCAACAATGTTCAACTCACCATTTCGTATGTTAAATTTTCCAGGGTTAGTAACATCAGGTTCGCACATGTATTGTAATACCAGATTACAGTTCAATTTATGTGGGTCTTTATCCTCACTTCCACCACACCCATGCTGGTTGGTCCATTCAATTGTCAGAAATGATTTGCCTTCGTTTCCTTTTCCTCTATGCTTCGGTCCACTTTGGAAAAACTCCTGACAAGCGATAACAAGACATGGGTTAACACAAAAGTGCATCACAAATCGAATGCAATCTTCTCAAATGCCTCCTCTTACCATGTTGTATTGGTCAGTTTCAGAATTTGCCGCTTGAGCTTTTTTATCCCCAACATTATAACCACCTCGATTGTTATTCTAGTAAAAGATGTAGAAAGACTACGTCTATGGAAGGAAAGATTTTGGAAAGAATATTAAGTCCTCCCAAAATGAAATACCTTCGCTTTTTACTTCCGCACACACCCAAACAATTGTTGGTACGCAAATTTAGAAAAGGTCTTTGGCAATATTTACATTTTTCAAGACACATCATGTGATCGTAAAATACTTTATAAGCAAGAGATAATTGTCGTTTCAATATTTATTATACTCAGTGATGCACAAAAACATTACATCATGATCTAAGTAACTTCGAGTTATCCGAATGTATTCTTACCTAATTTTAAAATTCTTCTAGCATATTTCCGCTTAGCGTAAAATTCAATATATACGAAGTTAGTATACTAGTAAATCTACAGTTTTGCTATTTAACTGTCGTCAAGCATACGACAAATTAATAATAACAAGAAATAATACTAAACATACATAAAGCAATTTTTAAGACAAACTTCGCTATGGAATACTGAAAGTACATGTTTCTAAAATGTAGCATATACATGTATTTAAATGTAGCAAATTAATACATTTCCTCACAAACCTGGGAGTCAAATACTCGATTTGCGTTCTTCCGATTCGCCGACCTCTCGTTCAGCCTGTTGTTAGATCCTCTTGCGAATGTAATATATCGGCATTAATGATATTGATTTAAGTCTCTGCACAAAGAACGTTGCTACGAACTTCATTATTCGATTATTTCTCCGTGCATGTTTGCTCGCCGCCGTTGTCAGAGCAGAACTGGTCAAAATTTGTCAAATAATTGCGACACTTTAGAAAGTGTTTCAAAATGCAAATTGATTGAATTCCGGTCGTAGGCGGAAGTGATAAGGCATACCATATTTGGAGAGAAATACACAGGCTTCCGTGTGCGGGGGTTCACCTGTTTAGGCGGGCCCGGTTTGAGCCATGTTTGAGGCCCTCTCGTCATAAATGTTGAGCAAGGTTATTAAAAAAAATTACCAACTTCCGTGGAATAATCACAATCATCAATTAAGAAATCTGTAGGATTATAATTTGTTGCAATACTGGGAAGTTTTTCATACTTTTACCAAATATCTGTTAGAAAAAAATTACGGGTTATTTTCTGTGTTAAGCCTAACAATATGAATGCACGTAAAAAATAGTTTCTCAGTTCAAAGATATATGGCTGACATTAGTTATTAAAATTGTGTATTTGCTTACTAATTTACCAGTAAACACCTGAACTGGTGTCTTGATTTTCATATATTACACAACCAGCTCAGTCTGATTCTGTGCCCAATTCAATTTGAAAAAATAGAAGTTTCAATTGCATATTCAAATTAAAAAAAATATTTATCTTTTTATCTTCACTTTTCCAGCAAATTACGTCTTCTTCGGGGTTTTCGGTGGTCTGGGGGGTGCCTGAAAGGAAATGTGCGTAAGTCAGTTTGTGCAGGTAATGGGAGGGTCGGAAAACTGGGGAAGAATTCAAGGACCATCAACACCCGGAATGATGATGCAAATTCGTGATACATCCCCAGGTAGCCTACGCGTACTTGTGTCCAGTTTCATATTGCGCTCTGTGAGATCGACGTTGCGTGCGTCACAGACAGCAATGAAAAACTGAACAAGGAAAAGCCTGGAACCCAATTACCTCTCCTTCAGGTGTCACCGCCCTCTGCATTGCATGCTGCGCTGGTCCATTTTCTATATTGATATCAGTCGGTCGAGCCATCGTCGACTTTCGTTCGCGTTCGGGTTTCGGAGGCGGCTGTTCGTCGTCCGATCTTGGTGATCGTGATAGTGTTGGCGACTAAAATGCGATATTAAAGAAAAAATGAAAACGTTCTCGGGACACAGATACTGCATAACAACTTAAACTGATGTCGTGACCGGGGGGGGTTAACAGAGGGAGAACGTTGCTTTGGTGAAAAGGCACCAATTCACGCGCGTGATATGTGTAGTCATAACTGCGCTAAACTGCGCTATACAATGTGCGCAATATACTACGCCCGATAATGCAATTTACCCGATCCAATTAAAAGTGTGATACATTTGAGAAAATAACCCCGTCAGAATTTATGATCATAGCTCAGGGAGAAAATGAATTCTTGAAATAACTTACGCCTTGAACTAAAACGTTAGCCACGGAGCGTCTTGGTAAGGGTGGTCCTTTTTCCGGGCTCATGGACATGTGCTTTTCAGGCAATAATGGCGGTGCTCTGTAATTTCAAAAAATACTCCGTTCAGAGGAAAAGCATTGATTGGAGTCGAATATCAACAAAACGTCATCCCTGTCTTTTATCCAAAATTCAACGAAAGGTGAGAGGATTTTGAGGTATTGAAATAAGTCTTTACGAGACCAAACAACCACATGCTATGCTCAGGGTGATTACACGACTGTCAGGATCATGTTATATACTCATTTCAATACTTCAAAAGTCGTCTCACGCTTTGCGTGAACTCGACTAAGAGGGATCATGTGAACATTCTCTTACTCCTCAGGTGTCGGTCCCAGATCATTGTCAATTATCACCGTACTCCTGTTGTGTCCGCCGACGGTGCTTCCACTTCGTACGGGTGTTGAGATCCTTTTCTGTCTTTCTTTAACACTGTTATATTGCTATGGAACAATGATAAGATGATTACATTACTTAGTAGGCGATTGTGGCACAGTCCAGTGGCAAACACATGCACTGACCGCATTAGGTTTATGTTACCAGAATGAAGTAACATGGCCTAATTATTACTTCGCAGGCTTACCCTATGGAAAGGAGGAGTCTTTTTCTTTCTCGGCGGAATAAGCGCCATCAATTCCACGAATCGTTTTTCCAACTGGTCGTGGAATGGTCTTAAAGCGTCAGTAACAAGCTCTTTGTGAACAGCCATTCCACTTTTCAGTATGTCATACTGAAACATAAGCACAGTAATTTCACCTAATTGTGCACGTCACTATATCTAAATTGCTTGAAAATCCCCACATTCTGCTCGGTAGACAAGTCTGCTTACAGTAGACACAATGACCAAGTGAAGGAATATCAAATTCATCGATAATCCTTCAAGTTTGTGCGGGATGAAAACTTTCACCTAATTCGTTTGTAACTCAACGTCTCGACCTCTCGACTTTAATGCATACACTCGAAAAGTATTAATGACAGCAAGCTCAATTTAATCTACTTCATAGTCAAAAGCCCAGTGTTGAGACAACCAGACTGCTGAAGCTCCTCAACGTCTCTCCTACCTGATCAATGATCAACTGTTTCAATCGGTCAACGCTATGTGCATCGTTCGGGTTTTGCATTAAAAATTCTTGCGAAAGAAAAGCCTAACAAATACGGAGAGATGAATTGATCACAATTTGTATATACAACGAGCAATTTCTTATCGTTTTACACCTCTACAAACTAAACAACCTAAAGCTACTTTTAAAGTTTGTTGCAAATGACGTAGTTTGCGGACAAAGAGTGTCCTGATTGGCTAATGCGGCCAGGCCACAGGCCAATCAGGAACATGCCCGCGCACTACGTCACAGCCCAGACATTTTATACAAGTTTATAAAAAAGCAGGTTTCCTCACCTTGGTGTAGTTGGCAATTCCTCCCATCACAGCGGCATCGATGACGCCATTCAAAGACATACTCAACGGGTTGATATTCTGCTGAGGATTTTTTTTATACCTGGAGATCAACGTTTTTAGTTCCTGGTTCTTCTGTTCCATCGTTTCCAAAGCCAGATTTAGAGGTGTAATTTCATACTATACAATAAAAAGAAACACTAAGATTTCCAGGAAACTTTTTCTTGGAAACAGGTAGGAATAAGGCTCACAATTCTACTTCATCCTTAAATAATTTAGCATAAAAAATTCACGTAAAATGCCAATCATTAGACTTGAAAACTAGGCTTACTCTTGATATATGTGTCACTTCAAACCAACAAAGTATTCCCGGGAAACGATATTTTGTTTGGAGACAGGTTCGTTCCAACCACAACGTCTGCAAGTTTTAATAAAAAGGTATTTATAAATCAGTTGCTTGGAAATAGATTTTCGTTCGCCGAGCCGCGAATTAAGAAGATTCGTATGCATCTAACGATGGCGCAGAGTAGACGCGAAACGAGATACAATTCGAACAAACATTTCCAACATTTCCTGAATGTTGTTCGTTGCGGATTCTCGTAGTGAAATCCCAGCCAAATTATGGCTCGGAGAAAATTTCAAATAACGAACTCACAGCAAACTCGTTATCTTTGTCTTTTTTCCCTTTATGAAAAGGTCTATCATACTTGAATTGATTCACCTCGTTTCGTTCATAAAACCTTAAAAATAAATTGATGAGTATTTGCATGGGACACTTAACGAGAGTCTAATGTTAGGATCACAGAAGGAATGCGAGGGTGACAAGAGGAATAATGGGTACACGTACTGCGTAATCTGTTCCGATATGACTTTTCCTTGGTACTTTCTTCTCTCAATAGGAACTGGATCGACTAGATTGATTTGAAGATCTTCACAGAAGTTAAGAATATAAACTACAAAAATGTTCGTACACAAACCTTGCGTTCCTCTTAATAAAACATAAACAATACTTAAAGCTGGGCACAACGAAAATTTGTAAACATTTACAAAAGGATACGCTGTTCGTTCGAGTTTTTAATATCTTCACCAGGTGGAGTTAGCTTAGTCATCACCTACAAACCAGAAACATTAACAAGTAAATATTATATTCACCATGCACCGAAACTTTGGAATATATCTGACAGTTGAAATACCTGGGCTGTTGGGAAATTATTTTGTATTCGAACTGTGAAGTCCCCAATTTGTTCGTAATCCTTTCCTCGATAGATAAACTCTTTGTTCTAGTAAAAGATAAAGTTTTTTCTTAGTTGGATCCCGAGAATCGTCCTATGCAGACATTACCTCTATCCTTCCCGTGAACAATCGCGCCACTTTCTACTTTATATAAACGTTCATATATGCAAAATTCTCACCCGCAAAAACGTGGGAAATCCTTGACCATAGAAACCAACTCTGAAGTACGAAGACTCAGCTCTTAATTTCGTCACGATATTATCAAAAAATCCAGCCTCTTTCCGCTGTAAAAAATCATACACCATGTTAGTTAATTCAATGATAAGATGTATAGTAATCACGAAGGTGATTCAGCTCTCAAAACACCGTAGACTGTGCTGCAACCTTCGATCATCACTCTCCACCGCTCTGGTACACAGCATACTGCTTCACGCGCGCCCAACTTAAGATCTTCACCAATCAATGCAGTTATGTCAACAAGCGCAACACAAACTCACCAAGATTTGACCAAGTTCGACATACTGAAACGTCTCTTTCTCGTATTGTTCAGCGAGTTCTTTGCAATATTTAATCGCCTCCTCCCAAGTCTACAAAAACATAACCGTCGATAAACGATTTAGCTTACCGATATCACAATGCATGCATGCAGGAAAAACCAAAGCACTTAGCCTACGACTTTACCTGTCCTTTGTTGAAAAGTTCAATGATCTCTTTAAATAATTTTTCTTTCATACACCTCTGAGTTTCAGCCTGAAATTTCCCATGGTCATCTATGCTGATAGCATCGTCACTCCACTATAGAAATTGAAGGTTTGAAAGGACTATTTACATAAAAGCCTGCTTAACCAAGATTCAACGAAGGCGTTTGGTGATTTTGAGGTATCAAAATTAGTCTTCCTGGAACAAAACAAATACATGCGATTGTCGGGTAACTACACGACTGTCAGGATATTGTTATATACTCATTTCAATGAAGTCGATCATCTCAAGTTTCGTTTAATCTCTGCATATATAGCATAGCAAGATCGTGTGTGAACAGCCCCTTTACATTTGTAACCAATAATCTTCTATAACGCTTCTCTGAGAAGATCAGCATAGCGCATGCTCTGACTAACAGTAACAAAGCTATCGTAACGTACTAAAGCGCATTCATACCTTCAATATATCAGCATGCAACAGCAGAGTGAAAGCTGCTTCAGTGTAGTTTAATACGCTGACGTGGAGTTCATATAACTTGTACAGATACCTTAAAGTAGACAAAATAACGCGGTCAGGTCTAGGCTGATAATATTGGATACAATATTAGTGCAATGAAGAGTTAAACCAGGTCTTTGCAATATATTAGTACGAATGACAGAAAGAAAAGATTTCATAATCCGTTCTTACCGAATATACATTTCGTCACGCTTAATCTCCTTATAAAAATTCTAGAAAACAGAAAACTTAATTCAGTTGGAAGGATTCTTAAACTTTCTCCTGCTGAGCAATATTTCGTCCTTTTTCCTAGCTTGCGTGTTCGTCAAAATTCATGGTGAAACAAAGGCTGGGTTTCTAAATCATGGAATCTTTGTTTAAAACACATACCAACAAATTCACGATGCAACTCATACGATTGTCAATACTATCATCGCTGTTCAAAACAGTCCGATAGTCCAACAATTTCTCCAGCAACGTTGTGATGGTCTCAACAAAACGTTTACCATCGTGACAAAGCTTCGGGTTGACTGAGAACAAGCTGGATAAACTAAAAAAGTAATGAAAGTTTTGAAAAATGGCTTTAAATCATATACTGTAAAAATTTGTCCAGCTCATAGTCATATGAATTCGCATAAAACACTTGTTGTTTGTAGTTTTCACGTATGTACATACATCTGTCCAAATAGAGCCTTGTACTCTTCGTCCCCCCTTCCACTTTCAAGAATAATATCCAATTTTCTTATGATCTCATTTTCAATCTGTTTCATAAATTGATGTACACAAATGTTAATGCCAATGAAGTTGCACACACACACAACAATGGAATACAAATTCTGGAGAGAAATTTGAAGTGCTTATTAGCTGAAGATCTTACAATTTTGAGGCTATTCGTATCACTCACCTCTCTGAAACCACCTTTAGCATTGTTTTCACAGATAATCATGTCAAAAAAGATGGGAATCGTGTCTTTTCTTATTTCTAAAATCAAACGCAAGAGGAAGTCAGCCTACATTCCACCTGAATTCTGGTGTGGTATTACCGATTATCGAATAATTGTGTTCTACGATTTTTACAGAACCCACACATATACCTTCTTCAGGGATTAAGGTCATTTCCAAGAACGGTCCAACAAGTCCGGGAATAAACTTCGTTTTGTGACTCCCTAATTACATTATAAATAATACTCAATTAGAATGTAGTTAATTGCGACAAATTAGGGAAATGGAATTTATTTACAAGTAGAATTACCAAGTTTTTGCCACATATCACGGATTTTCAGAGCAACACTTTTTCGCATATCGCCATATCTAAGAAGAATTATTTAAATCAAAGCGTATTCCTTCGCTTCATTGACATTATTACTTCATTTAGTTACTGTTCAGAAATGAAGGAATACTCCGAGAATACACTTCGGTTTACAAATGGTTGAAATGAAACTTAGATGTCTGGAGTATTCGTAAACTGAATCCATGGTTTTTAATTATAAATCGTGGCTTATGACTTAGTTTTTTTTGCCTACTTTGATAAAATTTTGCTTCTCTTCGTTTCGGTAAAATTTTCCAAATTTAAAGGTCCTTGGGTGATGAAGGAGACTGACAACTCGAAGAAACTCGTCCACAGCTATTGGAAAAAAAGAGGTGCTCTTTGTAGGAGAGTAAGGGAGGCTGAGAGATGAGTGGGAAGAAGTGGTAGGGAGGAATGGTAGGAGGAATGCTTAGGGTAGCTGAGTGAAAGGTAGGGACAAAGAGTGGGAGGGAAGGTAAGGGGGCTGAGGAAAAGTGGGGAAGAAGGGCAAGAAGAAAACATTCTTACCTGAATATTAAAACCGTCAAAATCTAAGAAATTGGTTTCGAGCGCTCCTGAGAAATAATTCAATGCCCTCACGATCACACTAAATTAGAATAATTAGAAAGCAAGTTGTGACGGCAAAGTTTGAAACAGTGGAATTGGTTACGATTACGAAACCAAAGATTGCCTTGTTTAAGAATCAACATTCACTCACTTATTTTGTACCATAATCATCGTGACCCAATCTTTTTGATAAAAACTGTGCGCAATGATGTCACGAAAATGCATGAATAAAGTAATCAGGAAATCCTGAAAAAACGAATAGCAAAATGAATGATAGGAATCGCCCGTGGAAGTCTTCGCTATACGGGTTATAACATGAGTTCGTCTCTGCGTGTGCATGTAGCCGCTTTAGTTCCCCAAGAATATAAGGAGAACTTAAGATATCAAGCTTACCGTGAATCTCTCACGATCCTCAAATGATACGACGTACAAATCGTAATGTTCAATACTCATGAGACTTAACAGCGAAATAAAACAGGCGAAGTATTTCCCCTAAACAAAAAAGAACATTCGTGGAAACAGCGCATCCTAAACATTACCTGCATTCGTTTGTTCAACTTTTATACTCTCACCACAATGGACACTTCAAGATTCCCGTTGACAAAAACAGCCAACCGCAAACGGCAAAGTTAGGCTACGTATTTTCTAGTCAGAGATATTATCTGTTGTCTTGAGGTTTGTCCATGAAAATTGAAGCATGCACATGAACTGTGAACTATAGGCTGTGGAAAACCGCACGCAGGATCAAATCTTAAAGTCTCTAATACACTGTATGTATTGCATATACTCACAGCATACTGCTCGGTTCTTTCAATTCTGATGACTGCATTGAGGATTGGATGCAGCAACGTCAGGGAAATCGTATGAACATCGTCAAACGTTTGTCCCTAGACACGAAACACAAATCTATCGATCACAGAACAAACTAAAGATATTTGCATGTACATCGACTGGGAGTCGGGGACACGTGAAAGTTTGTTAAATACATCTGAATGAAAGGACTGTAAATCAACACAATTCCAAATGAAATGTCAGATGAAACTTACAACATTTTGTTGATTCAGGGTGACCAAAAGATCTGAAATGATGTCCGCACAAACTTTCATCTCTGATTTTTGTATTAAGTTTAGAGAGAGTTCTCGTGTCAGCATTGGCAACAAAATATGCCGAGACACTGAAACAAAATGAGAAATACACAGTCCGCAATGATGATCATTTCTGACTAGGTGAATATTACAATGACCTAAAAATACAACGGTCTAAAAAGGTCAAGACGAATGGCACTATGCTGGAAAAAGCGAATTAGTGTAATGGCTGGAATATGCGCAAAAAGCCAAACATATACCAGCCATCCACTCGTTAACATCTATCGAAAGAAGATAACAGTAAAAATCAACCATCTAAAAGCGTCGATTAGCCAAATACTTACCTTCATTTTGAAACAACTCGCTCTTCACCATATCATGAATACACGTCAACTTTTGGGAGTTTAGGCGACCCTGAGGAATGTTGGTGATCAAATCTCGAGCAAATTCCCTGAAAGAAAACATTATCGCTGTCAATTTCAGTCACACAACGCTGCCACATGTATTTTCTAAGGAAAGTTATTGTGTTAGGGAATTTGTTCTCTTCGACAACGCCGAGGCAAAAGGATTCTCACCCTAAAAGAACGGGATCATAAATCTTCAAAGCATGACCAAAAATGGAAGGAATATTCTTCAAAGCTTGACCCTTATAAAGATACAAATATTTGTCAACAAAAGGACAACTTGAGGGTAAAAAAAGGACAACTAAAGGGTAACAAAAGGACAACTAAAGGATAACAAAAGGACAACTAAAGGATAACAAAAGGACAACTAAATGATAACAAAAGGACAACTAAAGGATAACAAAAGGACAACTAAAGGATAACAAAAGGACAACTAAAGGATAACAAAAGGACAACTAAAGGATAACAAAAGGACAACTAAAGGATAACAAAAGGGCACCTGAATTTTGAGGGTCTCATTCTTTGTGTCCATCATCATAGCGACCAATACCCGAAAGAGTCTGTTCAAATCATCTCGAAATTTCTCCGGATTAGGGTCACTCGATGTCCTGTGAAATACACGAATTGTTTAAGTCCTATTCCAGTAGAGAAACTTCACTGCAAAATCCTTCAATCGTTACCTCTCGTACAACAGCCTTGAGCGGATAATCAGTTTGAAAATGTACTCAATCGCCTGAAATATACGGAATTAAGTTTATTCTTTCGATATTCATGACCTTGTTCAGAAGAATTCTGAAGAGATACATATTCTAACTAGTGTGCTGAAGCCCTTTATCAAACAATTGCACCTATAGTCTTTTTTACCATCAATTTTATACACCCTCCCTCTCCACCAGATCTGATCAGACATCATCTTACCATTACTGGGTAAAGGATAGTACAGCCTCTAACACGGTAAATAATCTATGAGTTTCACACACCTTCATTGTCTTAAATATGTAGTCGAACTTGACCAAATCCAACTTGGGAGAGCGGCATTCAGTTATAACCATTACGTATTGAGTTATGACACATATAAGGGTACTATATTTCAAGAGAAGAAACTACCGTTGAGAAATACGATCCGTTAATCATATGGGAAACAAGAAAGAAAACAATGTTTTCCGGGGTGTCCAAGCACCTCTAAAGAGCATGACCATGTAGGTAAATGCAATAATATTCCAGTAAGGTACTGACTATAATTTAAACATCACATTGCAGTAGGATTTTGGACTTACTCGTAAGCTTTTGCGGCGGAGAATAAATCAGCAATATACGTGTCTAAAACTGGTCTAAAATGAGAATACTTCTTGTCTGCCAACAGATTGATGACAAATACCTTTGAAATTATAAAGGAAATATCGTTAATCGTTTCAATTTAAATCTCACTGGTTTTTTTTCTTCACAAAAGCCGTATTAAGATTAATCAATGAGAAGACATAACAAGAGCTACCGAGTTCATAGGAACCCTATATGGATACTATTTATACACTAACCAAATCGTCAAAAACTAATTTTCCATATTTGTCCGGACTTTCCATTAAAATGGCGAACAATGCATCGAAGATGTCTTGTAAAAACTGAAAGAGAACGAAAATGCAAACATAATGATTTGGTAAAAAGCACCGAACGATTTAGTCGGTCATTATAAAAGACTTTGCTATATATGTATTCATTATCAATGCAATGCAAATCGTCACTCCCAAACCTTCACAATCTCTTCGCCCTTTACGTTCGTTACTTGGGGCAAAATAACCCGCAGATTATTCATTTGAGACTTCCATTTCAAGAGACCCAGTAAATCGACTAAAAAAGAAAAAAAACACTTTTACCATGTGAACAAAAGTGCTTGTGTTAGGAGCATAATAGTTCAGTTACGAACACGCGAGATGCTTCATTATCTATTGTTTTAATGCGTTTGGCACATGAGAAGTTCAACGTTTTCACAGGCCTAAAACTTCCCATCACTCACAAGACACTGCAAGAATCTGGTCTGGAATTTCACGTACCATTTTGGGTGAGTTTTGTTGAGCACAGCAACGATGTGATTTGAAACGACTCTTTATGGCTCAATGTTAACTGACCAACACATAAAGCATTAGATTTGCTGAGCGTTCCAGCAGGCAGATGAAGCTCACTTTTCAACGAGGGCAACTTGAAGTAACTGTTGTCTTTGATTTCTTTCGTATCACACTAATAAGAAAAAATTAAACGAAAAATAAGACGCTATACAAGGAAACTGGCGGTTGTAACAAATACTGTTAAAAGGTTAGGTTTCTGCACTCTGTTTTAAGTTATAAGTGTGACAATTGGAAAAAATTTATCAAGGAGTATATGTACAATTCCTTATAGTAAGATATTTAGACACTTAGTTCATAATTAGGTTCTTATAATTAAGTAATTAATTCTTAATAAGTAATAAGTAAGTAATTAGTTCTTAATCAAGTGATTAATTAATTAATTGTATTTAATGCAAACTTGCCTTGTAAACAACTAAATCGTGATCACCATCAAGCAAGGTTGTTCCATCTTTCACGTTCATTAATCTCACATAAGCAAAATTAGTAATTTTCTGACCTTTGTCTTTGTCTAAAATAAATATGCAACTGTGATGTGCTGTGATGAAACAACTAATGATGCGGTCGTATTTTATTGATAATTCAATCTCGCAAACAGACAAGTACAGTTCTATGACTCTATTAAAACGTACCGAAATTTGAAGAGCGATGTTTAAAAGTGAATGTCAAGTGTGAAGAGTAGAAGTAATCAATCGGGATAACCAGCTGAAATGGAATCAAATACGATCAAAATTAGATACGTCCCAATATAACTAGGGAGCAGCGTGTACGCTGACTTCTCATCGAATTGTTAGGACAAAGTCAAAGATTATCAGCCATCATGGTTCTGGTTGAATGAATGAACAAACCTTGACAGTCTCGTGCCATTCTGGTGTGAGCGAGTGTCTGTAGACACACGAACGATATTCTGTTAAAAGAGGCTCCCCTGCACCCAAACTGATTACGTTCTAAAAAAATTCATAATTCGTGAGCTCGACACAGCAACGAAACCGTCTTTTGGATCAACTGTCTTTATCTCATAATACTCACTGGCACAACTTTCCCTGATTGGTCACAAACGCGCATCGTCATCTCGACATTTTTATTTGCAGTCTTATCGCCTAAAAATACGTCCTTTTAAGTTATTTTTTCCCTCAAAGCAGTCAGCAGACGATGATCAACGTCTTGCAGTGGGAAGAGACTGATGAGCTCAGCCCGATCAGTGCCCGTCCCAAAAATAGCAAAGCATTAATACCTTTGTCAAATTTTCCTGCCACAATCGTAATAAACATGTCGTTACGAACATCACCTGGAAAACGATTTTATAGAAACAGTTAGCCCGCGATGCATGACATCATATTGTGCAGTATAGCCGAGGAGTTTCGCTTAACACAAAGATTATACGATAAACTAAAACGAACACTGTGACGGACTAGGATTTGTAGAGAAACAGAACCCCTCTGATGTCGAGAATAGCAAATCTGGCATCAAAACGGGATCAAAACCTCTTGCGAGAATCATCCATTAATGACTAGGCACTCCGCTTTAAAGAACCACCATGCAACACCCCCCTCCCGCCACTCCGCTCCCCGCTCCCCTCCCCCCTGCTACTCATGAGAACACACAAACAATCTGCATCCACCATTCTTACCGGGCATAATGACCTCAGGAAATCCAAGTTTCCTTGCGATTGAAGTTCTGTTGTTGATTATTGCCGGATTCGCTAACGCAGCCTGAAATATTTTTAAGATATCCATCAATGGCTTGTCATCGGAAGTAATTTCTTATCGCGACGTTTGTTGATTGTAAAATCCTGTTGTTCTTAGAAAAGAGTTGTTTACCTGATCTTTATCGCCACGTAAGAGTCGCGCTGAAATCCAAATACCTGGATAACAAAGTAAAAAATGACTGTTAATACACTTGTATGTTACTTTCATATCGCATTTGCAAGAAAATGCTGTCACGGAAACGTCTCACACCTTGTCCTTTCGAAGGATTATCAGCATTTGACCGAGAGATGGCTTTCGTGATCCATTGATGAAGATATTCGGTATTGTCGATCCTAAATGTGCCGTGAAAGGTTTTTTAGAGGTGGATATATTTGAATTTATATTTTGAAGATTGTTGTTTGAGTAAAGTTCGCAAACTGCCCGTGTTTTGTACGCTCAATTCGTGTTTTATGATATCCCAAGATTTAAGCGGTAAAAAGGATGATTTAAAAGCTATCTCTAACTGGAAAATCAACTATTTCCATGTGTTCCAACAAGTGAGCTACAAGTGAGACTGCATGCATGGTCTTGCAAGCAAAACGACAACAATCTGATGACATACGTAAGAAGAGGAAGAAAACGTTCTTTATCCTCTTCCATTTCTATTTTCCTGTGAATGAAGTCAGTCACGTCCAACACTAGAAACACAATTCAATATCACGAATATTTTACATTAGACTTTCAGGGAACCACCAACCATGAATGAAAAAAAAATGAAATCCACGGTGATGAAATCTACGCCACTAATTCTCTCACCTGCGACGCCGAAGGGTCTTCTCAAATCCTGTGTGAGCTTCGTCTTCCTACTCACAACGTCTTTCAATTCCAAACGACCTAAAGAAGAAAACACCATTGACTTAAATATTTGCATATTCAGAGACCGATGATCGCGCTGTTTCATAAGGCTGGTGTGACATACCAACTCGAACAATTTGGCAAACAACATAAATCTTTTCCCGTTCAAGGTCTTTGCTTCCAAGATCCTTTGAAAAGAGATGAAAGCTCAGTTATAAGTTGCGGAAGAGATGCATGTACCAAGTAATTTGAAGTTTCCTCAACTTACAGTGAAAAGACAGCACATGTTGTGAAGCTTATTTAAATCTTTTGGTAGGCCATGTTTGTCCCAGGATACCAGGTAATGTTCACTACAAGACAAGAGAGATATTAGCGTACGAAAATCATGAGCAGTGTAGTTTAATAGACCTTAATTTCAATCTGAAATGAAATCAATTCTGCGAGCCGGAAAGGTGGTTGGTTGAACCTGAAAAGGTGGATGGTTGAACCTAAGAGAATCGTAAAATGTTTGTGAAATCTGATCTTCCAACTAACAGTCTTACCTTATGAATCGGCCTTCCTTTCCATTCAGGCCTGGAGGCTCATACAGGGTGACAAAAACATCAGCATCGTCTCCGATATTGCACACAACGTTTTTTATGTTGATGTAGAGAGAATGGATAGGATTGGAGTAAAATCGAACTTCTGGGAAACTGGTTTTGGTTTCCTGAAAAAAATGGTGTGGTGTCAAAATAGACAAAAAGCGTCACATATTTCACGGCCCCGTTATCGCAATCAAATCTCTAACAAAATAGAAAGTTGAAGTGTTTTTAGAATTTTACCTCCTCACTAATACGAGTTTGTGTGCTATCGTGCTGTAAAGTAGAAACATACTCGTCATTGACGGGGAGACACACGGAAATTATATTTTTTGTTAAAGCAACTAATGTAAAAGTGTAAAACATACTCTTCTGTAAAGCTCAATCACACCAGTGACATCTGGGTCAAGAATATTCCCGTCTTTATCACGAACAACAAGATCAAGGTCTAGAACCCTACAAATCAAGAGTTTCACCCAGATTAAAAAAACAATGGCTTTAATCGACATGACTGCCCCCCTTCAAAATGCTCTGAAAATATAACCAAGGAGCAGCGTGGCAGCGTCTTCAAACAACTTAGCATCAAATGTGGTATAACAACTGCCTAAATAGACAAAACACTTCTCGACGTTTCGACCTGAGGGCCTTCGTCAGGAAGTTAGTGTGAACATAAACTGTAGTTAACAGTGATAACTAACTCTCCTGACGATGGCCCTCAGGTCGAAACGTCGAGAAGTGTTTTGTCTATTTAGGCAGTTGATATACCACATTTGATGCTAACTTGTTCTGAAATAAGCTAATAATAGGGAGAATACTGTCACACCATTAAAAATTTTTATTAAACGGCAAGGGGCAAAAAATAGTCATATTTTCTATGACCATTAATTATAGCCAGAGTCCTGGGGCCGGTTGTATGAAAGCCGGATAGCGCTATCCACCGGATAGTGGTTTTTTCAATCGCTTCAAAATCGCCCGTTATTTGCTACAACTTTGATTAAATCTTAGTATTCCTAAATTGAAGATCCTCTTTAATAATTGTTGCTTTCAAGCTGAAATTTTATCGCTTTTCGAGAATTTTTAGAACGGTTGAAAAAATCACTATCCGGTGGATACCGCTATCCGGGTTTCATACAACCGGCCCCAGAGATAGATAAGAACTCGATCCAGACTCCCAGCATTGGAAATTTGTTTCCCGCCAATACTGCACCATTCCGCGCTTCTTTTTCATTTTGTGTAAGCATGGCCGACGAGCCGCTAAAATATCGCACGAAAAACTGAAGAAAAAGGCTTTCGTTTCAGTGCAATGAATGCTTTTCCACTCGATAAGACAACGAAAAAGGTAAATTGAGTATTCTTTTGTCTTCCTGGTCGTTTTATAGCCATGAAAAATGAGTGTTTTAACGGACAGTTACAAATTATGCTTTCGAAAGCATTTTAATATAGTTCATTGCGACAAACTAGGCAAATATGAAGAAAAAAATCATGTTTAGGCTGACCTTTAAAGGTTTTTGTGCTTTAAAATACGTTGTAGGTTGCAGTATTTATATTTGTACGTTTATTTTTGGAAGAAAAGCGGTGTCTTGGAGACGCGCGTTTGAAAAGAAATCCGTCGCATTGCCTTGTGTTTATTCTATATTTTTACTTGTTTTGGAGTCATTGAAGTTAACTTAATTTTATCTTTACAGGTTGGGTGGATTATACCACCACAGATCTAAATGAAGTACAAGTTATGTCCAGAGTAAATCCAAATAAGAAAATCAAAAATGACCTACAAAAAGTCTGTCTTCGCCATTAAATATATCCAGGTAAGGCAGTCTCACTCATATTTTACCTGTTGCCATAATCTATTGCAGCAGTAACCTTTTGTTTGAGCTTGGAAACTTGTTCCTTATTAAAAATATATATAAATTTAGGTGGGTCGAAGGAAATAGAATGTACTTGTATACAATCAAGCCAGTGGTGGGGGGGGGGGGGTTGAAGGGCAATGTGTATTACCAGTATGAACCTGTTCCTAGGAAGTAGGGTCTAGCAAATAATTATTTTTCAGTGGAAGGTGTAGTCCTTGTAAGGATATAAAAATATCATTTACCACAGTGAGGGTTCCACCTGATATTTGTCTTCTCCAAACCATTAGATCATCCATGTGTTTGGTAATCAAGTTGAACAAGTCCAGATTTTTCTCCTACAAAGTGTATTTTTGAAATGGTATCTTTGAAGTGAACAAAGTTCAGGAAAGGAAAACTAATTCCCTCTGAAGAAATTTACAAACCAGGTACAAATGTTTCCACATTAAACCCCATTCTCTCAATACACTGGTCATTTCTTGGATTAAGGCAGCATCTCTTTTACTATAAATAAGATTGAAAAATTGTTCCTGAGATTTTAATCTTTAGTTCTAACACCTTACAATACTACTTACTTTGATTGCATATTCCAGTCCTTGGTTTTGATAAATGACGCTGGAAAAATTCCCTGAAAAAAATGACATCCTTAATGTCAATAAAGCCTTTTAAAGAATTTTTTTGAAAAATACATTCAATTGTTGCTTTACCTGAACATTGCGGTTCCTGACCTTGCAACCCCGGTACCACCCTGAAAATTAGATAAATGATTAGATAAATAATTAGATAAATATGTAGGAATGAGATGCCTTTAACAGCATTCAAATTATAGATCTTTGCACATGAAAAGTTTAGGGTGTAAAGTAGTTTGCAAACAAAGAATGTTTCTCATTGAGAAATTGGCTATGCTAGGTAATTCTTTCTGTACAAACTATGACATGGCATAGACATGTCTCAGTTTGTAGATATGCATAGCTGTTTCAGGCAAGAATGTCTTTGCCAGAGACACATTTGCAAAATGCAAATTTTCAGGAAATGATTGAATAAATATTAAAAGGAATTTCCCACTTTTTATATGGATACACTATTCAATATTAATGCCTAAAATTGCAAGTGTTATATTATTAATAAAGATACCATGTGTAGAAGTATTGTACTTCGATATACAAGTACAAATGATATCTCGTTTATACTAGACCTTGTTCGCACAAGGAAGTGAACAGGCAACATGTTGTTTTAATAAATGTAATTAAATGTCTCTTCCGTAATGTCGACTCGATCATAATAAACAGTATTTTCATAATGAAAGATTGAGAACTCTAACCTCCGCACTCTTCGACGATTTTGACCGTTTCTCCGATGAGTAGCGGCAACATATAGCGGCCAGTTCCATCGAAGTTGTAAATTGCTACAAGGAGTGTAACATAGATTGATTGGCGACAAAAATGTGCATGTGAAGAATCTTAGGAAGTCTATTTAGACTAACACCCTACCAACTCCGAACAGCGGCTCCGCTAAAGGCATCCAACTTGACGGTCTTTTGGGTTGATCTTGAGCTTTCATACTTTAATCGATCTTCTTTCAACCTAAGAGCGGGTTGTTTTAACAATACAGGGTAAATTATGCCTCACTTTCCATCAAGACCACCGGACATTTTTGCTACAGTGTTTTGACATTCGACTCAGCACACGCAAAGCGCGACAGTCCCGCGCGCACGGGCTTGCTTTTTCTGTTTTCACAATGTTTCCAGTGTGAAAACAACTTTTGTTTCCCAAGCAAACTTTGTCGACATTATTAAATATTTATCGACAAACAAATATATTGCGAAGAATTAAAAAAGAAAGAATCGCGAAAAAATTGCAAGAGAGCAGCTTCGTGTATTAATATAATGCCACAATTTGCTGGCTCGGGAAAATTTACATAAAATGTTTCTAAAAAGAAACATTTCGCTTCGCAACATTTTTACAACAAAGGATATAAGTGGAAACACTGCTTCCTGTTTTTACTCCAATATGGCGAAAATAGGAGGGGTTGCTTTTTTCTAATTTTCTCTTTCAAAACCACGGCAATTCTTGGATTGTACAAGACGTGAGTTTCAATATGCTACAACAGATTGTCACCGGGCTGAAGTCCCGCAGTTCCGATCAGAAAATGGCGGCTGCCAAGCGTCTGCAACTACATGTCTCCACGGAACTTCGTGAGGTTTCAGCCGAACAGTCGACTGAATTTATGGAAAATTTAATTCATAATATATTTGAGATGACATCGAGCTCAGATGTGAGCGACAAGAAAGGCGGTATTCTTGCCATCATGGTCTTGATCGGCGTGGATCAGGCAAATGCTACGAAAATGCCGCGATTCGCAAATTATTTGAGAAATTTATTGCCATTCAACGATCCTGCTGTCATGCAAATGGCTGCCAGAGCTATGGGTAGATTAGCGCTAACCGGGGGGACATATACCGCAGATTACGTCGAGTTTGAACTAAAACAAGCCTTAGAATGGCTTGGCAATGAACGAAATGAGCCCAAAAGGCACGCGGCTGTTCTGGTCCTCAGGGAAATGGCGTTAAACGCTCCGACATTTTTCTTTCAACAAGTGCAACCATTTTTTGATAATATTTTTGGAGCCGTGCGCGATCCCAAGCAAGCAATCCGTGAAGGTGCAGTTGAGGCACTCCGTGCTTGTCTCATCATTCTCGCCCAACGCGAAACAAAACAAACTCAGAAACAGTCATGTTACAGTCAAATCTATGATCAAGCAAAGAATGGTTTTGAGGATACAACAAGCACAAAAGAGAAGGGGATGATGTTGACAAAAGAAGATAAAGTTCATGGTTCATTGTTGCTTATTAATGAACTCCTTCGGATATCTTGCATAGAGGGTGAGCGACATCGTCAAGAACTGGAGGATACTTACTCAGAGCATTTAGAAGATTTAACCAGTGTAGATAAACTTGGTTCGTCACCCCTCAAGAGCAGAATTCTTCAGCAGAGCAGCAGTCAATCCCAACATCACCTCGATATGACTTTGACCGGAAAATCCATCAATGATACGCATCACTGTCACAGTCGAATCTGTCGTGAATACCTTGAAGAAAAATTTGATGAGATTTGGCGTTGTGTCTAGGATGGTGTTCAAGTTTAGAGGCTCGCGTAATTCATTGATTCAACAAGCACTTCTGGTTTTGTTGCCACAACTGGCATCGTTCAGTCCTACAAAGTTTGTCCATAGGGGATACCTTAGGGAGACCATACCGTATTTATCTGCAGCATTCCGACGCGAGAGGGAAAGATCTGCAGCATTCAAAGCAAATGGTCTCATCATTCTAGCTGTTAGAAATCAAAGAAAAGACCTTGAGCTGTTGGCAAAGATGACCTTAGAACAAATCAAACAAGCGCTACCAATGAAGGACACTGGTCATAAATCTAAGCGTCAGCTTTCTGTAGACCCAATGGTGTTTGCTTGTATTAGTTGTCTTGCCAGGGCTGCTGGAAAGAGTATCTATAACCCTTTGAAAGAGCTATTACAACCTATGCTTTCTGTTGGTCTTAGTCCAGCTTTGACTGCTTGCTTATGTGATCTTGCAAGAGAATGTACACAACTGAAGAAAAGTATCCAGGATGGTTTGTTGACAATATTGTCACAAATTTTGAGAAGTCGGTCATCACGAACAACTCAGCCAAAGAGTTCAAGCCAGCCAAGTACTCCAGCTGGAAATGCTTTGTCAACCGACCAAGCGGAGACATCTAATATTGTCCTTGCTTTGAGAACACTTGGCTCTTTTGATTTCGATGGTCATCAGCTGACGCACAATAAGTTAATCCGTCACTGTTCAGAATCATTTCTTGCCAGCGAGAACAAAGATATTCGCATGGAAGCTGTGCGAACATGTTCTAGACTCCTTTCTCCATCAGTCAACCCGATGATTGTCCCCAATGCTCCACTACCCACAGGTCCGATCAGCCCAGCGTTGGAACAGCTTGTTTCAGAAGTTTTGGAGAAACTTCTTTTGGTCGGAATTACAGATGAAGACCCTGATATCCGTTTCTGTGTTCTCTCTTCTTTGGATGAACGATTCGACTCTCATTTGGCCCAAGCAGAATGTCTAGAGCAACTCTTTGTTGCTTTAAATGATGAAGAATTTGAAATTCGCGAAGTTGCAATTTGCACTATTGGTCGTCTCAGTGGTTTGAATCCTGCGTATATTATGCCAACATTAAGGAAAACGCTCATCCAGATTCTCACAGAACTTGAGTACAGTGGTGTGGGACGAAACAAAGAACAAAGTGCTAAGATGCTGGGTCATTTGGTCCGCAACGCACATCGCTTGATTAGACCTTACATGATCCCGATCCTCAAAGCTCTGATTCCTAAGCTTCAAGACCAAGATCCAAATGTTGTTACAAGTGTGCTTTCAGCTGTTGGTGAACACGCTCAGGTATGTGGGACGGAAATGAAAAGATGGCTTGATGAGTTATTTCCTATCATAATCAGCATGTTACAAGATGCATCATCCTTGTCCAAACGTGAAGTCGCTCTGTGGACATTGGGACAGCTGGTTGAAAGCACTGGATACGTGGTTGAGCCTTACCAAAAATATCCGAACCTTCTTGATGTTCTCTTGAACTTCCTCAAGACGGAGCAAGCGTCTAGCATCCGCAAGGAGGCTATCCGAGTGCTAGGTCTTCTTGGAGCATTGGACCCGTACAAACACAAGCTGAATCAAACTGGAGGAGTCCGTATCGATTCTGGTGTCAGTCAAGATACAGGTGAGAACGTAGAATCCACAGACAACACAACAAGTGAAATCTTGGTAAATATGGGAAGCGGACAACTTGATGAGTTCTATCCCTTGGCTGCAATTGGTGCCTTGATGAGGATCATGCGTAATCCATCTTTGTCGCAGCAGCATCCAAAAGTAATCCAAGCCGTTACTTTTATCTTCAACAGCATTGGTATGAAATGCGTTGCCTACCTTCCCCAAGTAATGCCTCCATATTTGACCGTAATCCGCACTTGTGAAGCAACTCTACGTGACTATGTCTTCCAACAACTGGGCATGCTCATTGGTATCGTGAAGCAACATATTCGCTGCCATCTTGACGAGATTTTCACCCTGATCAAAAAGTACTGGACAATGGACAGTTCACTTCAAACCCTCATCCCCCTTGTGGAAACAATATGCGTTGCAATGGGTGGCGAATTTAAGATCTACCTTCCTCAAATCATCCCACAGATCTTGAAGGTTTTCATGCATGATAACTCTACGAACAGGAAATACACTTTGAAGCTTCTGTCTGCCTTTCAGAAGTTCGGCTCCAGCTTGGATGATTATCTTCATTTGATGATTCCTCCCGTGGTGAAGCTCTTTGATTGCAGCGACATCGCAAACAACGTACGGCGGAGTGCTCTTGAAACCATTGAGAAGCTTTGCGAGCAGCTTGATCTCACGGATTTTGTGAGCAGAATAATTCATGCTGTTGTACGCACCTTGGACACGGAGCCGGAATTGCGCGGACCAGCGCTTGCTATGCTCTGTGCCCTTGTCAATCAACTAGGGAAAAAGTTTATCACATTTATTCCAATGGTTAACAAGGTTATGCTGAAGCACAAAATTCAACACAAAAGGTACGATGTAACAGTGGCCAGAATACAGCGGGAATCCTCGATGTCGTTTTGGGGTGATGAACCGTTTCTCGCATCTCCAAGACCTTCTCATAGCTCGCAAAGCTCTGAGTCAGCTAATGTCGTTGAGGCTGGTTTCAAGAAACTTGCGATGGGTGTAAATGGTTTACAAAGGGTTTGGTCGTCTGCACGATGCGTCTCCAAAGATGATTGGCTAGAATGGCTGCGTCGTCTAAGTCTCGAGTTTCTCAGGGAGTCGCCTTCTCCTCCGCTCAGATCTTGCTATTCTCTTGCACAATCTCATCCACCACTTGCAAGGGATTTGCTGAACGCATCGTTTGTATCTTGTTGGTGTGAACTTCACGAAGAGATGCAAAATGAACTCGTCAAGAATCTTGAGCATTCCTTGAAATCTCAAAATATCCCTGAAGTGACCCAAACTCTGTTAAACCTGGCTGAGTTTATGGAGCATACTAATATCGGACCGTTGCCTTTGAGCGGTGAACTACTTGGCCAGTGTGCATCAAAGTCCAGAGCTTATGCTAAAGCTCTTCATTACAAAGAACAGGATTTCCACAATGGCCCTACAACTGAGACACTTGAAGCGTTGATCAGTATCAATAATAAGCTACAGCAACCTGAGGCTGCGTATGGTATCCTTTCGTATGCCATGAAGGACCATGGTCCAGACATGAAGATGAAAGATTTGAAAGTGAAAGAGCGATGGTACGAGAAGCTTCATGAATGGGAGAATGCTCTGCAAGCGTACAAGAAGAAACTGGAGGAAGATCCTGAGGACATTGAGTATACTTTAGGAAAGATGAGATGCCTTGAAGCTCTGGGTGAATGGGGAGAACTCCATAAAGTCGCATGCCGAAAGTGGCCTGATGTGAGCGACGACACCCGTAAGGATATGGCACGTATGGCAGCCGCCGCTGCCTGGGGGCTTGGTAACTGGGAAAGCATGGAAGAATACACGTGCCTTATTCCACGCGAGACTTTGGACGGAGCATTCTATCGCGCTGTAATGGCCCTACACCAAGACCACTTCCAGCAAGCTCAGACGTGTATCGACGCCGCAAGAGATGTCCTGGACACCGAGTTGACAGCAAGAGCTGGAGAGAGTTATAACCGTGCATATGGGGCTGTCGTGAATGCCCAGATGCTTTCGGAACTGGAAGAAATTATTCAATACAAGCTTATACAAGAACGACAAGAAACGATCAAGTTGACTTGGTGGAACAGACTGCAAGGATGCCAGAAAGTTGTTGAAGATTGGCATAAAATCCTCCAAGTTCGGTCTTTAGTTTTGAGTCCCCAAGAAGACATGCAGTCTTGGTTGAAATACTCCAGTCTCTGTCGCAAGAGTGGCCACTTGGCGTTGAGTCATAAAACCTTAGTTATGCTTCTTGATAAAGATCCCTCAAAGAACCCAAATGAACCATTACCTACGACCTATCCCCAAGTAACCTTCGCCTACATGAAGTATATGTTCCGTAACGGACAAAAGGAGGACGCATTTCAACATCTTCAGCATTTTGTGCAGACAACCTTGCACCAGCAAGCTTTGCAATCAATCAGCCCACAGGATGAACAGAAGAGACAGGAACTGTTGAAGCTCTTGGCTCGAGGTTACTTGAAACTCGGTGATTGGCAGACGGATCTTGGTGGCTTTAATGAAGACACTATCCCGAAGATCTTGAAGCACTACCAGGCCGCTACGGAGAACGATCAGACGTGGTACAAAGCGTGGCATCAGTGGGCCTTCATGAACTTTGAAGCTGTTTTGTATTACAAGAACCGACAGTACATGAGCGATGATCAAGATGACCCAACAAAAGCCATGGCTACGAATCCTATCGTCAACTATGCCGTCCCAGCTGTTCACGGCTTTTTCAAATCAATTGCTCTCTCCAATCCCGGGAATAGCCTTCAAGATACACTTAGGTTACTTACCCTTGCTTTCGACTTCGGGCAGTTGCCGAGTGTTTATGATGCTATCGTGGAGGGAATGAAAACAATTGAAATTGATACATGGCTGCATGTTATTCCACAACTTATCGCTAGAATCGATACTCCTCGACAGTTGGTTGGTCGTTTGGTACAGCAGCTATTAACGGACATCGGGAAACAGCATCCACAGGCTCTGATATATCCGTTAACCGTCGCCTCGAAGTCGTCAAGCTCCGCCAGATACAGTGCAGCCAACAAGATCTTGGATAACATGTGTGAACATAGTCAGGTGTTGGTCCAACAAGCCTTGATGGTCAGCGAGGAATTGATTCGAGTCGCCATCTTGTGGCATGAACTTTGGCACGAAGGATTGGAGGAAGCCTCGCGACTTTATTTCGGCGAGAAAAACGTGAAAGGAATGTTTGCTGTTTTGGAGCCATTACATTCCAAGATGGAGCGCGGTCCGCAGACTTTGAAAGAAACTTCATTCAATCAAGCACATGGCCGTGATTTAATGGAAGCCCAGGAATGGTGTAAGAAGTATCAGCGATCTGGAAATGTTAAAGATCTCACGCAAGCGTGGGACTTGTATTATCATGTTTTCCGCAAGATTGCTAAGCAATTGCCGCAACTTACCTCGCTTGAGTTACAGTACGTCTCACCGAAATTACTCATGTCTCGAGATCTGGAACTGGCCGTTCCAGGTACCTATGAGCCTCACAAACCCGTGATTCACATAGGTCATGTCCATTCTTCCCTGAATGTTATCATTTCCAAACAACGACCAAGGAAATTAGCCATCACCGGCAGCAATGGGGCAGAGTTCATGTTCCTATTAAAAGGTAAACAAATATAAAACTCAAACAAATTAAACTTCATTTAAAACCATCTATTTATGTACAGTCAATAGGTGAATTTTTGAGTTATAACTTTGCAATTTCGTTGTTGGTGTTATTTACCATCTTTTTGAACAACAAAAATCTATCTATACAGGGCATGAAGATCTTCGTCAAGATGAACGTGTCATGCAGTTGTTCGGTTTAGTAAACACTCTATTAGACAAAGACCCGACAACCTCGAAACGACATTTGAGTATCCAGCGTTACTCGGTCATTCCACTGTCTACAAACTCCGGTCTCATAGGATGGGTCCCGCACTGCGACACACTCCACGCACTTATTCGTGACTACCGCGAGAAAAAGAAGATCCTATTGAATATAGAACATCGGATCATGTTGAGGATGGCCCCCGATTACGATCACCTCACGTTAATGCAAAAGGTGTGTAGTCTACTGTCCATGTTGCAGGATTCATACTATGGTTTGATATAAGTTAGAAATGTAAACAAACTTACTGATTGTTCTAAAACGAACTCCCTCTTAATCGTTGTAATTAAAGTAATGGTTATAAATTAATTTCACAGGTCGAGGTGTTTGAACACGCGCTAGCAAATACACAAGGGGATGATTTGGCAAAACTTTTGTGGCTGAAAAGTCCAAGTTCTGAGGTCTGGTTTGACCGTCGTACAAACTACACCCGCTCATTGGCCGTCATGTCCATGGTAGGCTATGTTTTGGGTCTTGGTGATCGACACCCTTCAAATCTTATGCTGGATCGACTTACTGGCAAGATTCTTCATATTGACTTTGGCGATTGCTTCGAGGTCGCTATGACACGCGAGAAGTTCCCGGAGAAAATCCCCTTCCGCCTAACAAGGATGTTGATCAATGCAATGGAAGTTACAGGTAAGCGTGATTCTCACTGATGTTACGTGATGGTGGTAATTTATGGTGAATGATGGTGACTGATCTTGGATGGTGGTGGGATTTATGGAGGGTGAGTTCTGGGTGATGGTCATTTAAGGGTAAATGATGGTGAGTTGTTGTGACATAGTAGCGGTGATGATTGACACTTTTATGCAATTTATTCTTTACTTACTTTTTCCAAGGTATTGATGGTAATTATCGTCTGACATGCCAGCGTGTGATGAGCGTTCTTCGTGAAAACAAGGACAGCGTCATGGCCGTGTTAGAAGCCTTTGTTTATGATCCTTTGCTCAACTGGCGTCTCATGGACACCATACCCAAAGCAAAGAAATCAAAAGGACGTTCCGACTCCATCGCGGACAGTGGCTCTGACATGTTAGAAAGCGTTCAACATGAAGTACCCAACAGGAAAACCGCTACCAATTTAGAGCAGTTGCATTCCATGGACAAAGAGAGCCATGAGCCTGAAGCGTTGAACAAAAAAGCTGTGTCCATCATCAACCGTGTTCGCGATAAGCTGACTGGAAACGACTTCTTAAACCATCCCGTACGCGATGTGAAGACACAAGTCGAGTTACTGATTGACCAAGCGACGTCATATGAAAATCTGTGTCAGGGTTACATTGGATGGTGTCCATTTTGGTGATTTTATATATCCATATGATAACACTGAACTATATATACTTCTGTTCAGTTATTGATGTTACAAATTAAGGTAAATTAGAATGCCTGCACAACCAGCCACTCCCAATTAAGAATGATTATGTGTTAATAGTTTATGGGGTGAAGGGCGATATTAAGAGTTTGTTATGACTGGGGTTTAGGGTAAACACTGGGACTGTTGCTATAACTTGATGATTTACTTCTAGTAAGAAAATACCTTTAAATTCGACGATGATTTTCCATTAATTTTGTTGGCATATTTTTGTCGCGCTTTGCTGTGCTGAACTTTAGGTACAAATTGTGCTCGGCAACTTTTTTTACTTTTAGCAGTTGTTTTTGCAAACAAACAACTTTGTGCAACTTTAAGCTAAAGTTAGCTTAACTTTAACACTAATCGTTAAACGGATAAATTTGAAATAGAGTGATTTTCTGATTGCTCGAATTCTTATTTAATTTAAAAGTCTTAAAAGAAAGGATTAGATAAAATAAAAAAACTTTACTCCCTCGCCGTCAGCACTGATAGGCCAGTGGTAAGGCTATGGCCTACAATTTAGTATAAGAATCCCTGCATCGTTTTGAACCACTCTCGGTTGTTTCCAGTAACAATGGAACTTAATCAGAACTCTTCTTCTAAAAGAAAGCCTTAAAAATTTATCCTCCAAAAAGGGATCTCTTAACTGGTCCACCAGAAGCAGGTCTTATTTAGGCTTAGGACGAAGTACAGAATCTTCTCCAAGTACATTACATAATTCGTTCAATCTCTCTTGCATCTTGGGCACTCCAGAAAGTTGAGATTCCAATTGTTGTTTTTCCTCATGTAATGTGAGTCGCGTTGCTGTATCCAAGACCTCCCAACGCCAGCCTCCTTCACCGTCAAATTGAAGCAAATGTGTGTGGAATTTCCTGAAAGAGTCAATCATATGACGGGTTCACCACCTGTTTACAGGGACATCAGATAAGGTAAGCAAGAAAATTAACTTGACCTGTTCATATATTTAATCTTGATCTAATAGATTTAATCTTAATCTGCCCGGTAGTCACGGGCAGTGTTCATAGGACTGAATTAAATTGCATTTCACAGTGATACTTATTCACTTTGAAACACAAAATACTTGTATAAGAAAAATAGTTATTTTCCTATTTTTATAACAAAAGGTGGACTAGGTGCTTTTTATTGCACTTTGCAAAGAATATCCACCAAAATTGTATCCAATGAAGATACTAGTCCAAATCCTGTTCGAGACAGCGAAAATGTTTCGTTGTTTTTACATTTTAAGATTAATATGAATTTCATATCTCTGAGAAAGGTTCTGTAATAGAACTGAAACGCTGTATGTCCTCGAAGACGAGCGCTAAGTCGTCACGAAAATTTTGTGTATGCACTTAATAGGATGATAGAACTCGCTATGTCTCCTAGTTTGTTTGATAGCCAAATTGACGGAGCAGGGTTTCTTAATAAAGTTACCCGAAGATGCGAGTTCAAATCCCGCTTGAGACAACTAAAATTTTGTTGTTCTCTACAGTGTCAGGTTGATATGAATTTCATATTTTTACGTTTAAAGAGTAGCTACTGGGTTAGGAATCAGTTGAAGTGGTGGTTCGCCACTACCACCTGATCATTTCTAGTTAAAAGTTTAGTAGTTTCGTTCGCCGGATTGCATCAAACTAACCACAAAGATGCTCGATGTGAAATAGTCAACAGAGTAATGCCAAGATCTTTTGCAGCTTGATATATCTTTCCTTCCACATCGATACTCACAGCGCTTGTACATTCGTCCAGCAATGCAAACTGTGGCCTGGGTAAATACAAAGAGACAACAGAATGATTGTGAAGATCTATGGCGCATTTACCTTAACAAACGACAATATAGACAACGACAAACTTCGCACCTTTGATAAAATAATCTCGCCATTCCCATACGTTGTTTTTCACCTCCGGATAGGATATCCTTCCAATCACCAGTAGCATCCCAACCTAGATCCAAAACAAAATGTCAAGACAAACTGTCACGAACAAAGCGTAAAATCCAAAAATTCGTAAAGGACAAAACTCAAACGGGCTCGTAGAGAAAAAACCCACTCGACTTTCGTTCTGGGTCAACAAGGTTTACATACCTCCTTCTCTTCGCACAACATGTTGTAAATGGACAACACCAAGAATATCTTCTAAATCTTCATCTTTTAGACCTTTCTCTTCCATATCAGCTCTAGAGTCCGGATAGATGACTTGATCACGTAAAGTTCCCAGCGTCATGTACGGCCTAAGAAAGACACGCAGTTTGTTTCAGAAGAAATACTGGAAAGCTCAATTTCCTTACCTCAATTGCCATCCTTACCTCTGAGGAATATAAAACATGTGTTTGGGATGTGGTCTGCTCAATCGTCCATTGTAAATAGGCCATAATCCACTGAGAATTCTAAACAATGAACTCTTGCCACAGCCGTTTGGGCCAGTAATAAGGAGATGCATGTCTGCTTTAAGCTATACAAAGTTTAAAATTCACAAGCTGATAAAATTCCTTAAATGCTTTTGCCTTTTATTAAAGCCATGTTATAATAACACCAGTTGTTACTGGTTGGAGTAAAACTACTCCCCATGGAAAGAGCGAACCAGCATATTCACCATACATAATCTAATGGATAATTTACTTTCCACCCAAAAACTTTCCATATATACCTCAAAAGATAACTTTGAGACAACCACATCACCACAAGGTGTGATTATCGGCACTTCTGAGAGATTGATGTGATGTTCAGAATCATAAATCTCTCCTCCTGGCAAGCTGGCCACATCAACAACCTCTCCATGTCTGTGATCAAGGCTGATCTTGACCATATCCTCATCAATCATCATCAAAATCTGAGGATGCTGTTTCCTCAGAAGGACTTTGATTCTCCAGAGCTTTTGACATACTCCGACAATATTTACCCCCCTTCAGATCTTCAAACACTGTTATCATTTCAGACACACGGGAAGTATAACCAGCCAGTTCAGTGATCTGAATGAGGAATACACCACTTATTGAATGTTTAGCAATTTATACAACAATGCAGAAGAGAAGTACCTCTTTATAGGATGACATTATCCTTTCAATAGCATCAGCTCCAGATACCAAGAGTTGTCTTGATGTGGTGAAAAAGCGTGCTCTTTCACCAATACCACCATCACGTTCCCCTTCTGTCTCTACAAAAACAGCAACAGAGTTACATTTGCTAGAAAAGAGTTACACTTGTTAGACAACACAGTTTGAGATTTCGCACAATGGCCACTAAGAATCTCTGGATTTGTATCTGATTATCTGGTAATAGGAATCAAGATGGATTGAACTTACTGCTTCCAAACATCACAGGGAATGCAACCATAACAAAGCCAGCAGCACCCCAGACATACTTCATCAGGAACTGTTCTAACATGATGTACCAAAGACGTTTACTGAAGAGCAGCTCCATTTGAGAAGCAAGGGATTGATAGCTGTTCCATAACAATGAACATTCCACCTAGAGATTGAAAATGTAAACATACTCTAATATGGATATTTTTCAAAGTGGGAGACCTCATGCAAAGGTAGACTTCCTCATGCAAAGGAAGACCTTAGAAAGTGGCCTCTAACCTTTGCCCCATCATAAAATGCAATTTCCTCAGCATTTGTAACAATACGAGAATGTACAAAACGTAGATTCCCTCTGCGCTGCGACTCTTCTGCTACCAGCTTACCAAACTTTGGTGAGGCTACTCGGAGAATCTGACCTGATACTGCAATGACAACTGCAGCAAGCGTCAAAGGTAGACGCCCACTGGAACCTTGTTTCCTTGCAATCCGATCTAAGGCTACAGAAACCATCACCGCATCTAATATAGGTTTCGACAGATGGGAATACAAATGTGCAACTGAACGACAAAACAACCTCAAATCCTCAGTCAGTCTTTCATCAGCATTACCTATGCGATTATCAAGATTTCCTACTCTGTAGTAGACCTGACTTGAAAAGTACAAATTGTACGTGTACTTAACCAGCCTTGTCCGAAATGCAAGTGCTAGCTTGCTTTCTAAATACCGAAGCATGCTGTTTGTGAAAGTGGCAGGAAGAGCCATTCCAAGCCACTGCGAGAGACGTATTACAAAGTTTGTAAAGTCCCTTTCAACGACCGTCTTCACCAAACGACCATCCAAGGTTGCAATATAAATGGATAAAAATGTTCTGACGACAAGACACGCTGAATGCAAGGCCAACAACCCGAATTCTTTACACCAAATACGAGGAATAAAAATTTTTAAAAGTTTGTAGAATTGTCTTAAAAACTCAAAGTTAAAGGCTGGCGTTTTGCCTTGGGTGTTGTCTTGGGCAGATGCTTTGCTGGTGGCAAACTTTTGATGGAGATAAAATCGCAAATATTTTATAAAACAAGGCCCATATTTCTTTGCAAGAAATACAACAGCAACAGACCCTGCGACCAATCCAATGGTCTGGTATTGTTGCCTTGGCCTGCTGAAAACTGGCATTTTTTAAACGCAACCCTTCTCATCAGATTTTTTACTTTGCGTCCGCCATTTTGAAACGTATCGACTCGATCGGATACGCGACAAGTGGAGATTTTCTGGTTCTCCAAATTTGCCTTTATTATATTTTGTATCGCAGCCAAAAAAATTCTTCAATATAATAGGTAGAACTCAAATAACACTCATGAAAATCCATTTTTATCCATTGAATTTTCATATACATTTTAATTTTTATCCTAACTCATAAGCCTGGTTCATTATATTAGTTCCTATAATCAGCTACCCAGAATTTGCTTCTTACAGACAGAATATGTTGCGTACAATTGTCTGCTGATAAAACGAATCACCAATTCGTACCATAGAAAGTAAGAACCTGGGAAAAGTGGTCTTACATTTAGAATAGTCTTAAACAGGTTGTATATTACATGTTTACATATAGGCCCACAATTGCAAGTCTATACACTTCAAATATAGAAAATAGTCTTGTTTTGTTGATGCCTTATACATGATAGGAGTGATGAATGATAAAAACATGTTATCTTGAGGCAACATTTAATATGCAAATTTCAACCTGAAAGGACTGTCAAGAAAAATAGTTTCATTTTAAAAGAAAGAACAGTAATCATTGTATACTGCATTTTACCGTGGACACAAGATTGTTTAAAAGGATACAACTCTGAGACCCCTATCCATTGGATTGGTTAACATGAGTCCTAGTGGAACAAACACATTTGTGTTTTGCTGATTTATATATTCTGATAATCTTTTTAAACACTAGAAAAAATAAGATGATGAATATATATAAGCTGATTATACAGGACTTCAATATAATCATGAACTTGGAAAACTTTAAAAATTCCTTCAACTACAGATATCCCGTTGTAGGATAACTCTAATATTAGTTTGCTGTAGTTTATATTGAAGTTTATATCCATTTGTCTTATATTGTGCATGCATTATAATAAGTATATGATTTGATTTTATACGTTAACAAATTATTTTACCAACAAAAAATATAATCATGAATCTAGCTTCTGCATAGTAGTAGTTCAGACTGCTGAATTACCTTGTTGTAATGTGTTTCAAAGCAGAGCAGACTGAGATAACCTGTTAAACAACCAAGGCAATTCTCAAAATACGATGCTGGACCTATTTTCTCTGCATCGTCCATTATTTCATTTATGCCTTGGATTGTATGTTGAAAAGCCTGTTCATCGATCTAAATAAATTTAATCTCGTTTATAAACGGCAGTGGCAAAATATAGTGACAAGAATAAACATAATCTTCAATGCAAGGTTTGCACACCAAAGTGGGTGTTTACAGTTCAACTTCAAAATATCTAGGATTCAATCTTGAGATTCAATCTGGAGATATTCTAGTCAGGATTACATGCATTGAATTTCTTGATCAGAGGGAAGCAAATTCCGAACGTTTTGATAAAGTTTCACACAAAATGAAAGTACTGGATATTGTGCAATACGGATTGGAGATTCTCAGTATCTCAGCCACAGAAGCTTTCTAGAAGACCAAAACCGACAAACTCCCAAATTTAGCAAGCAATGACAAAAATCTAGACAATATACACATATATTATGCATGAACTCGTGAACATTGAACATTAAATCGAAATTAGATAATTTCATGCTAGCCTTCAAAGATCATGACACAAAAACAAAGTTACACTTCACTCAACACTGTTTCATCAGTATACATACCTTTCCATTTAACTCAACGGGCATTTCGGTCATGAAACGACAATTCGTTCCACGGGAATAATCGCGTTGTACAAATACTTTTATGACCGTATTTTGAGCCATGTTTTTCGATGTTTCAACGCGTTAAATCGCGATGTAGCTTATCTTCAACCAACTCATAAGTCTTCAAAGAGAACCATCAAAGAGAAAAGCTTCAAAATACGACAATAGTTAGATATATTATTCAGAAAAAAACAGTGATTAGGAACAAACCAAAGCGATATTTTCAGCAGCCATTTTGACAGCTAATGACGTCATAGCCTGAAGGCGGTGGCCATATAAACATCGATGAGAGGGTAATATGGGAGAACCAGGGACTATTGCAGTATTAAACCTATGAAACCTATTTGAAATTGTTGATCTTTTCAGTCGTAAATACTACTAAGTAGGGACGCCATCTTTTGGGGACATACATTGTTTTACATTAGAGAATACTAGCATAAACTATATGGCAAATATAACATGTCCAACCTACTTAAACAAAATATTAGGATATTTAAAATTTCACAACCAAGACTCACGCCTGACGCGTCTGCATTCCATCTCTTCAACGTCAGCGATACTCAACTCTTCTTAGTTCTTGTTGTACTTGTAGCGCAATGTATTCAAAATGTGGTACCACTAATATTCAATAAATTGTTTTTATGAAGTTTTTTAATCGTAAGATTTTGAAGTTTTTGTATAATTTAAAACTAATTTATTTAAAAAAAGTGCAACTTGCTCAATCATTTTCGCCATTAAGTTGTTAAGAAACAAAGGCCCCATGAAATCAAGGTAAGCCAACATTGTACAACACAGAAACATTTACGGAACCATTATTTAATTGTTTAAGTTAAATTTTACATTTTACATTTCACATGACAAAACTGAATGTCTAAAACTGAATATTATTCATGTCTTTCTACGTTTTTCGTCGGGTGATATGATCGTATATAACCAACTGTACGTATTTAGGCGATTCTAAAGTAACCCGCGCTGAATTATCGCCAGGTGAAGGAGCTTTTGGATCAACATTCAAAACCTTTCTGTCTCTTTTATTCTTAAACAAGAGTCCGCTTGCGTTCTCGGCAATGACTTGGTAATTTGGGGTCGGATTTGATGTCGCGGTCTGTGTTTCCCAATTGTAAAAGCTGAGGTCAGATGGTCTTGGAAGAAGTCTTTTTCTTCCGCTAAAATATGGTTCAAAATCCTCCACTTTCAGTCTATGGGCATAGTCAATGTATCCAGAAATCTCTTGGCCTCGGGAATTTTTATCTCGTATGAATATGATGGAAGTCATTTTGCCACTACGATTCGCTTCTTCGCGTTGAGCGAGCGCCTTCAGAAACGGATCTTTCAGCTCTTTTCCAAAGCTAGCCAGCGTTTTTTGTTGGCTTCGTTTCGATAATCGACTCGCTTCTGCTGCTTGTTTTCTCGCCTGGAACTCCTCGCGTTTAAGGACTTCCCCTGAGCCTCTGTAGCCAAGTTCAACCAATTGTCTTGCAAGCTCTTCATCCTCGAGGTAATAGAGATCAAGAGGCGTTATTTGGCTGTCTAAAAAGTCCTCGTAAGTAGCAAATTCAGTGACAATATTGTCCGTCGCTCCCACAGTTTCGTCCTCCATTTTGTTTTTGCATCAGTTGCCATGGAAATACGACATTTTACGACCGAGTATCGAATATTAGCCGAGAAAAAACGGAGAATTGAAGGAAGACGACGAACTAGACAATACAAATAGGAAGTTATGTAATGGCATTACGTCGTGTTGATTGGGTCTGTCGATTGTTGAAAGATTGACTTATTGCTGCGCTGAAACACGTGATTCGCAGCTACGTGTGTCAACCCACGTGATTTATCTGAAAGACAATTTCTGCCCAAGGCTACTCTGTGGGGTGTTCCATGTTAGCGTGATTACAAAATATTAGTCAAAATCGAATAATCAATATTCACACCCATATACATGGTCCTCGACAAAATTCTTCCTTTCATTTTTATTTTGATGTAAATTTATTTCATTTTGTACATGTTTAAGTACTCAAGTGACAGTCGAATGATTTAACTTCCTAAAACACACACACCAAGCTTTGCTACGTCAACATTGCGCGCAGACTGGTCGGCTCACCTGAGTAATATCAGTGTGTTTGACAAACCTATATAAGTTGATAGCTTTTTTGGCTTACAAGGGCCAAAATTCTTCAGAATACTCCACCGTCAAAAGACAAACTGTAGAAGAATAACACTTCAAGTGGGAATCAAACCAGGGTAAAAAAATAATAAAGTTGACCTTATGCGCAAGGCCACTGGTTTTACTGAAAGGCTTTGCGTGCCGCGATCAGTATATTGCGCAAAATGCGGTCATCAGCTAGAATTTTGTGTCCTAGTGACGCTATAACACTGACTCCCACAAAAGGTTGGCAATATTTAGCACGAATGGAAGTAGGTATGGCAACCTCCGGTAACATAAGAGCCTCTTTGTTCCAGCTGGTAAAATATATGCGTTAATTAAAAAGAAAAGCGTATACAGGCCAATGCTAAGTTCCTTCATCCGCACTTAAAATTCTTTATTTTTAAAGACATCTTATGCAATCCAATAAAACCTAAAACGGGTGAATGAAGCATCTGTTTATTCAGACCCGATGAAAGATTGTGTTTAAATCAGCCGAATGACGTCATACGTGCATATTGTCTCATCCGGTTACCTTGGCAGAAGTTGAATGTTGCTCAAGGGCAGCGCTTGAGTTATGAAATTTAAAGAAAGTGAAGCAGAATTCTTTTTCAAAAATTGCTGACAAAATTAATTCCTCGAGGCTTTAGACGGATTTAAATGTAAAACAAAAGTAAGCAGAGCGAGATGTTAAAATAATTTTCCATTCCAGTTGGTTTACGTAATATCTCGCTTCTGATTGGCTAAAAACCTTTCGTTGCTATTGGCGATTAGTCTCGTGATTCAGCGACTGCGGGTAAGATATCAAAACAATAACAAACCCGAACAAAATTTTTACGCTAATTTTGTTCAATGCTGTTGTCTTTTAAAAATCTCTTGGAGAACAGACAATAGAGAGGTCTAACGAAGGATAACACTCGATGTATTCCGAGTGGAGAACAAAAACGGTAAGAGCATTGTTGAAAACGTAAAAGCTGCTCAAAAATACAGATATCTTTCGCGGGTTTTCTTGTTGAACTCTTGTATGACATCGCGGGGTTTTAGGGGCAAAATGGAGGGAAATAATTGAAACATTAACGTGAGTCTCTGTCTTGATTTTTAGCCTGCTTGGGAGGGCGATATCTTCGGCAGATTAACACCACCTCCAGAAGATATACTTGCGATGAAAAGAGGCCTTTTGAACTTTTCCCCAAACATATTTGAAGAAGAATCGAACTGTGAACAGACTTGTACTATCGAAGAGGAAGACTTGCTGGATCTGGAATTTGATACAGTATGTCCACGCGATGTTTTTGGCTTCAAGTGCGGGCCTACGTTGGCCGAACTGAACGACACAAGATCGCGTTCACCGCTAATAAACCCTGAAATGAAACGACTACATCAGGTAGCGATTTTAACCGTAGCTGACACAGACGACGAACCTATGTGCGAGGGCACATCCGCGGAGAAGGCACAAAGCGGCTCTGTGTTAGAACAACAACTTAGAACACAGCAAACGGCTAGTGTATATCATGAACAACACTTGCCAGGCTATAGCAAGTGCAGCACAGCTGTGTCATCGACTGTCAGTAGATCTGAGAGTATACCAATACCTATTAAGAGAGACCCAAAACTTGCTCAAAGTGTTTGTCTTTCTCCCCCCTCTCCGCAAGAAAGAAAACCTTTTGGATCTGAGAGAAAGCCATTTGAGCATTTCTACTCAACGCAGGGCGTTCAGCAGCACTTCAGTGCACCGCAGTTCACTACCAGTTATTCTTCCCATCGCGGGGAGATAGCTAGCTCGAGTTATTCTGCAGAGACCGTTTCGAGCTCTCAGCTATTACAACAACAAGCATCTCAAACATCTGCCTCGCATGAACAGGTAGCAAATCGTGCGGCTGCGAATGCATACCAGAGCGAAAGCGATGAAGACGATGAGATAGACAGTGAAGTCGAGGATATGGAAGAAGAGTACTGTCCATTTCAAAAAGAGGGTAAAATACAAACTAGACGAAAAGGAAGAAAAAGCGAAAGCGAGGACATGGTGCCTAATCCGTTGAAATTACTGAAAATAGGCCGGGAGTTGGACAATTTGAACAAAATAATAAGTTCTCTCAAACCGATCAACGAAGTGCCTCAGCATTCTCGGGGGCGGTCGAGAAGGGAAAAAAATAAGCTTGCTTCAAGGTATGTAAACAAGAAATGTTTTAAAATCATTATCACTGACCTTGGCTACACTGCTCAACCGGATGTCGTTTGGTCTACCTTTAGCACGATTTCCCTCTAATTGTTCCTATTCGTTCTCTGAAAGCCAAAACAAGCCAAACATTTAGCAATTCTTTAATAATGACAAAATAGCAACAGATTTGGCATGTTCTAGAACGAAAATTGCTACTTTTTGGATTCTAATTTTTCGTAATTGTAATTTTGGAATACTCTGAGGGATATTTAGAACCATTTAGAACGATTTAGAACAGCATTTAACGAGTTCTTTCCAACGATACTTTCCCACGAGTAAAACAGCAAAACCAGCCACATGTAAAAACAAATTTAAAGCTACTTTGGCGCACACGTTTATTTCATACAAAAGTGCTTAGTCATTGTTGTTGTACATCAAATCAAAAACATAGACGCACTTTTCAGCGATATGTCCGTCTGTCATTTCCCGCAAAATTTTCCCGCGAAATCTGAACCAAACAATTACTATACTCAGTATCTAGAAAGCGGGTAGAAGTTTAAAAATGACTGAAGAAATACCTAATTATGCCGTTAATAATATTGTATAGGTAAAAATGATACATAACAGATACAACAATGCACGTTTTTATGAAAAAAATGTAAACATTGTAGGACTGCACTACAAGTTGTTAGACAAGGGAAATACCTGCATAACATCTGGCAGAGTGAACTTGTTTGGGGGATTGTAACTGTTAAACTTCATCATGATATAAATCTAGACTGTTTGAAATGCAGTGAAACATTGTTTCAGGGAAAACCCTTCCTGAAAATAGAATTTGATTTTCTCTCACGCGCCGATTTAGGTAGAAGGGAACAGAATTTATCGACCGAGATTATAAACCTGTTTTGCCTTTTTTGGGCACATTAACACAACTTCCTTTGCGATTTATATTTCTCGAAGGCTGGCAGACTTCTTATATAGGCTTGTAACAACTTTTTGGGTCGATGTATATGACAAAAATTTTTCCCTCAGATTGTTTGATTTTGCAATTCAAAGGATTTATTTAAAACTATATTTTTTTAACCTTTGCGGTCCTCATGAGTGAAACTTGTTATGTAACTGAGGAAAATAACGTGGGAGAATATTCCCAAATGTTTTCGTACAATTGAGAATTTTTATCCATTCTGGCTAGTAGATCGCTTCCCATCGATATAGTGTTTCCATCATGAAATCAAAACCCATTTGAAGACGTGTTAATTTATACCTCTTATCAGCTTACACGTTCACAAATAATGCAAGACAGCTTCTTTGAGTGGGAAGCTTGAGAACAAGGTTTCATTTAAATTGATGGTTTAAGTACTTTGGGGCATAACATACACGGCTTTTATGAGATAGAAATTCTTATATACCTCTTGCGAATATAATTAACCTGTGTGTTTGTTAAGATTTTATTGCAATACATTATTTATCTATCTTGAAAAATGTAGCTATTCTTTTCAGAAAGTAAACATGAATACGTGTTTAATGTGGGCGCAATATAATTCAAAAATAAATGTATGCAGACAATAGTCCTTTGATTAGAAGAATGATGACAATATACACTCATGCTTGAACATAGCCTTGGCAACGAAACAAAGATTGACTAATGTTTGTGGTCAAAATAGCTAGTTTATTCTGTAGCACAGTATCTCCCATATTATCTTGTATTGTGAAGTACTTTACACGCGAGGTTTTAATATACAATCTCTTTTATCCTTGTTCAAATCGATCACTACCAAACAAAAGGTTTAGATCACAAATCTAATTTATATATGCAAACAACTATGTACGAATAATAGAATAGTATATAGCTCAAAAAGAAGAAAACACACAAAGGAGAATATGTTCTATAATAGGAAATGAGCAATGGATTCTCTAAATAACTAACAAGATATACTAGCGATGTGATACGATCTCAATGCGGAATGATTAATTTTTGGTCTCACCAATGTGTCTTAAAATTACTAAAGAACTTAGCGATTTTTGACAGGTAATAAAAACATTCTTACTATTTAATGATATCAACGTGAGTTACGTGATTCTGAACACGGCCGGTTTTATTAAAATTAGATATACAAGTGTACTCAGTATTCATGAGAACAGCACCGACGAAAACTACCGAATTATTTACAGCATACTTAAGATTTTTCAACGTTTTTAGGGCATGCCGTCTGAAGAAAAAACAACAACACGAAGCAAACAAAGTAAAACTACATGGCTTACAAAGTGAACAAGGTTTGTTTTTAAAATTTGTCTTAGGGGTTAAACTGAGAACGACATTGTATCGACCCACCACTTGACATATGTGATTTAGTAGACAGTCCCTGAGGACGCGACGCTATTGGTTCATTTCTATAAAGAAAGCATAATTACTGCTGGTCGTATTAAATCACATACACGTCAAGATGTTCGGATTCACTTTTGAGAATATAATCATGTGGTCTGATAATTCTAAAAGTCACAGCTGTTTGCCTAAATATTTACACATTCTTCATCAAGGTGTTCTTCCCTCTTAGAAAATCTGATGTTTTTAATCAACGATATGAAAAATGAAATTGTAAATCGGGCCCAGTACCCAAGAAAACATGGCAGTTCTTTGAGTGAGAAGTTCAAACATATGGCCAAAAAAGCTTTCGGTAGGTGCCTGGGGTTTCTTTCTTTCTGAGTGATGTTATATCGAACTAATTTATTTCGAAATAAAACCAACTGGAGATAAAATAAAACATAGTTGAACGTATTAACAAGGTAGTTTTCCTTGACACTATAGATCAACCAATCGCTGGTCATACTTCAGATTACGTACGCGAGGTTTTGCGAGAGGTCGCTAAAGGTAACAAAACAGGCGGACTAACTTTGCGAAAGTCTGATGAAACATAAAGCCAAATGATTCAATCAATGAAAATCAATATATGCAGCAACGAGTCTAGGGCAGGAATATCAGTACTTATAATTACATAATCATGCCGAAACTAGTAACTAGTTCAGATTATATTTCCAAAGGAAATTCATATTCAAAATACTAAAAGTAATTCAGTATATTGATGCAAGAAGTTATGTGCATGCACAAGGTCATCGACGGTATATAGTTTATATAGACGGAAAACTGCGAACAGAAGCGAACAGAGACATTATCATTAGATACAGGAAAAAGTGCAAACCTTCCTATGGTAAGTTAGTTTAGGGTATATATAAAAACCCGAGTGTAGTTAAAATTTTGAGTGGTAAATGCATGTTGAGTTTCATTGCAACTTTTTTTGTTTGAATGAAGAAACTTCAACACATTTATATTTGGTTATTCTTTAAACCAATAATGTATGAAATGCACTTTGCAAGAGGCTAGTTTGTTTATCCTAGGCAGAATATAAGGCGCACTGTATATTGTACAATAATGTATATAGATAATTATATGTATGTAACAATATGTAAAGAACACTATCTATAAATAACGTTTGGCTGCAGGCTTCAGTTTCCAAGAATTTTCACAAAAATTTTGTAATAATAATGTAATGGGGGTATACTGGTTATAAACTCATGTCAAATATCTCTGGTGTGAAAAATTCGATATAATTAAAGATGTGAGGAGTTTGTCTTTTACTATTTTTTATTTTTTGTTGAAGCTAAAGGATTGGTTAAGCTTGAGGATTAGTGAAGCGAAGCTCATATTTTAGAATGTTGGTACAGCATGTTCCAGCATTAAGGCGATTCTCCATTAGGCGATTCTCCATTAGGCGATTCACCCGCGTGGGCAAAGCGGCCTTTGGAATTTTGCCCATTCGACCGTGACCGGCCTGAAAAACAAAGCGCTCTTCGGACGTAATGGAGAATCGGCTTTAGAAAGATGCCGCGACGCGAGGTATATTCTAATGATCGTTGCATGCCAAGTATTTTAATGATGGCGGGGTAATATGACTAATATCCTTTGAATCCAAAGAACCCGCCGGGACTTGACTGACCTCTGTCTTAATTAAAAACTTTCATAATGAATACTCTCGACCCTTCTCTCTTTAACCCCAGTGCAGCAAAAAAAATCGCTCGTGAATGTAATCTGTTTTTCCGATAATATAATTACCAACAAGTTCTCAAATTAACCTTGTCGGTATTGGCATAGACTAAACTCGAAGAACAAAATCAACAAATCATGTCTTGTTGCATTACTTCATAATCAAAGTCCATAAAGACAGAAGATGATTATCCTTCCATGATAATAAGAACGTGACTTCCTCAACACGCGCAAAAAGCATCCAAGTTATTTTTTGGCCGACTGTCAAAAATTCCTCACCCACCATTTGTTATATATATGTCAATGTACAAGATGGAAAATGTTGTAATGTGATCAAACCTTAGCCAGCCTTGTTTCGCACATAATCTTCTGCCATTTTCTTGACGTTTTCCACCGTTCTATCGTCGCCATATTTTTTTTCAAAGTCGAGATATTTTTTAAAGATGAATTTCATCTTCTTCGACGGTAGATTGAAAGTCGAAGCTTTCTCGAGCAGCCGCCTTGAGTGACAAAAGGCAAGAGGTTAAAAACCGAGTGCAAATGTGAGATACACGAATACAGCTGGCAAAGAAATTCCTTTTTTAAATCAACTAAAGGAGCCTAAGGTTTAGGGTCACCTTAAGAATGTGTTAAAACACAATATGAGTTGCCCAACCCACCTCGCAGCGGTCAAGTCCTCATTTTTCGCCAAAACATCAACATACATCGACCAAATATCCGTTCTTTTTGGATAACTCGTTAAAATATTGTCCAGCAAAGTCTTCCCTCGTTCCGGTTCACCGTGTTTGAATTCAAGCATTGCAAATCTTGATATCGTCTCGACATCTGCAAACACATAAACAGCGGCGTGCGTCAGCAGTGATAAATAGCATATATCCAGTGGCTACCCCCTACAGGGGCTATTGTCACAGCGTCTATAAATCACTAAAGATGTCAAAAGCGCTCCCAGGGCCTTATTGTTTTCTGCTAAGTAAATGCCCAGCAAGATCTAATGTTGTGGATTCAATAGTGTTTATGCAGTAAAACTTTACATACGTTTTCGTTTCTCCAAACTTTTGAGGCTTCGCTGAAGAAGATTTCTCGCAGAATCCAGGCTGCCTCGTTCCATCAGAAAAGCAGCATAGTCAGTCCACATCTTCTTACTTGTCTTAAAACGTTTGATCATCGTCTGGTACAGCTGCTCAGCTTGCTAGAAATGAATGCAATTCTTTATATACCGAGGCTCACTGGACTATCCGCAGTGACTTGGCCAAACAAATGCGACTCATTAACCCAAGACTTTTGTTGTTTTCGTTTTGTCCCACAAATTAATGTTGTGCAATGAATGGAAAATGAATTTAAAAATGCATTATGAATAAGACAGAAATAGTAACAATTGTACACTGTTGTCTTGTACTTGAAGACGAAGAATAGTATTAGAAGATATATTCACATTCTTTGCTGCTACATAAGTGTCCACCATTACCAATACACAGAAAAAACTCCATTAACTTGTATACTAACCTCAAATTTATTTGAGCCAACGTAGATATTAACCAACTGCTTAAACACTTCTTTTGGTTCATTCTGCTCCAATGCTCTTTGAAATACTTTCACGAGGGAGCTCTGAGTACCGTACGAATTTTCCAAGTTCAACAACGCGATCCAAACGTTGAATTTCTCCGATTCTTCTCTGCAAAATGGTGATTTAAGAGAATAAGCCAGATGTCACTTGTCTATGATTATGTTTATAAAAGAAAACCAGGCAGAGATGGAGACTATCAGTGATTTAGGACTCATTTTGATTTACTGTATATTTTGCAATCTATAGAGTGGTACTCGCGGATTGGTCGACTGTTAAACACGTTAAATCTAATGCTCTTAATATGTAGTCGGGAATGCAAGTTGAAATACCTAAATGAGATAGATTTGAGAGCTCGTTCGGCCACAGTTCTCGCTTTGTCAATTTCAGTTAGGTGGAGGTAAAACGCCATGTATTGTAACCATAGTAACGAATCGTTTGGAGTCGAGATGAGAATGCGATCAAAATCTTCAGCGGTTTGGGGAGTCTTGTCTTTATTGAGCAGCGCTTGTTCCGTCTAGAAAATATAAAATCAATCGGGGAAATAAGATGAGAACATATGCTGGAGTTGGCATGTTATAAGATATTAAAAAGGTAAACTTTTCAAACCTTGTACAGAAATTCTTCTTCCGCTTTTTTGGCCGACCTTTTGGCTCGTTTTGACTTCTTTCTTGCAACCTGTTAAAACGATCTTACTTAAAAATGGTCTCCCAATTCCTAAAGATCCTACTACGGTACTCATCAGTTACTCTACCTGAGTGCTTTCTTCGTCTTCGCTTGTGTCATCTTCGGAATTAACCGCTTCATTTTCACCTTGTTCTCGGTCATCGCCGTTCTCCGCCGAGTGCCAGTTAAACCCACCAGGGATCTGTTCAATGAAAGCCCAATTATTAGACGGTGCGATGCAGACACACGAAAATTACCGAATGTTCCCATGTTCCAAGTACAATACCTTTAGAGTTGGCTTTTCTTCGACATCTTCGTCATCCTATGATTCAGAGAAACTAGATTAGCTGAAACCAACGATTGTATGAACTTTACAAAAAAAAGACAAACCTGGGAATTGTTATCTTCTGAAGATACATTGGGAGACTCTTCTCCGGACACATCATTTTCAATACCCTCTTCTTCATCTTCACTTTCTTCATCACCTGTAACAAATCAACCAGTGGAAATCATTCACTAACACGAACGCAAAACACAAGAGTTTTAAAAACTATCCGGCTCTTATGTCGCTGGCGTTGTTCAAGCAAACCTTTTCGAAGTTTCTTCAAAACTTTTTCTCCTTCATCGTCGCTGTCCGAAGCATCTTCTTCTTCATGTTGTCGTTTGCTGTTAGTTGATTTACTTTCCCGCCTCTCAGGTTTGGGAGCAGGATCTGTGTCATTCACGTCTTTGCCTTTCAGAGACAACTCAATGTTGTTGTTGTTCGGATCGATACTGAACGGAGAAGGAGTAGTACACAATAGTTTACCTCGTTCCATTGAAAGCAAACCATATGATATAGTATATATAACCTTAAAACTTTTCCTTTAACGAGTTTTCCAAGAGGAAAGAGTGGTTTCCAGTTCTTTACAAAATAATGTGACAGATTCTTGATTTGCACTCGTGCTACGATGCTTCTTGAAAGACTGGCAGAAAAATATTAAAAATGAAGAATTTTATATCAACAATAATGAAAAATTATTGCTGGTTTTGCAACAACAGGCTTTTTGCAAGTCGTACAGCCTTGGCTGCCTTGAGTTCTTTACGCAATGTAAGACAACAAACGTCATAATAATATACCTGACAAAAACACCAACATCACTAACAGCTTTAACATAACCTCTAACAATATCTCCCTCTTCAATATCATCAAAACTTTGAATATCTTTATCAGATTTCTCTGTCCGTGGGTAAGAAAAGACAAACGTTAAATATCAATTAATAAAGCTTTTTACGGAAGGAACGTCCCCTACCGTCGTCGGTAGTAATTCCTTTGGTCTTTGAAGCTCTGGTTGAAAGATCGAATGGACCATCATCTTTAACAGCCAGAATACAGCAACTAGGAAATGAAAAATTTAACACTTTGGACAAGAATAATATCAGAATTGTACAAGAAGGATGGTAGAATAGTTGACTTACCTTAGAAGTTGATTGATTTTGAAGTCTTCGGTCGGATTTTCTTTGAAGTCATCACGGACATCAGTAAGAAACACTGTACCATGTTTCAAATGCGGCAACTGGACCGCGAGGCCTTTACAAGGTAGAATCTTGGTGATCTTTCCAGAGACAATGCTACCTTTCTTCATCTCACAATCTAAATAGAGAGAATTGAAAATAACGTTATGCTAAAGGTTTGGAGGATTTCATTGAAAATGAAATGGAAGGGTTTCAGTTTTTTCTTTTTACAAACCCGACATAGTGAGTTCCAGAGATTTTTGTTCGTGGTTGACTTTCAAAACGGTACATTGATGTCCTGAACCGACTTTGAAATGGCTTGTCAGATCTTTTAACACCTTTAAAACGACAAAAACTAATTCTTATAATAGTCTCAATGATTGAAAGCATAATGACATTAACTCACCTTTGTATCTGTCGAGATATCAACAAGCGTGACTCGACCATTCAGAGATGTTGACACAACCATCCATATATCATAATCTCGTACCTACAACCAAAACATGAAAGCCAATTATCTTTGTAATACCTTTTTTTTTGCTTCAGACTCTCCAACTCCACGGCAATAAAAACGTTCGACTCTAAGCGAACTTACTGTTTTGACAAAACAGAAAATCTTTTCCCCCTCCTTATATTCTTCAAGTTTTCTTTCAAAGAACTTTCCTTCATTATTGTTATTGTTACCGTCGTCTTCCCTCAGCTGACTGCAAGGAAAGATCAAGCAATGATGACGTCAAACGCGGAAAGCTGAGGTTTGATTGGCTCCGCAAAATTGAAGAGCCAATCAAACTTTGTGTAACATTAGGCTTTCTGTGTTTGACAGTAAGAAATACCTTGGTCTTGCAGATAGCTCAGCGTAAGCCTTCGTAAAGTTACGATGTGTGATTGGTAGAAAACTGTAAAGAAACACAGGGTTTTAGCACAACAATAAATAAATTTTCTTTGTAAGCGCTCTTGGAGAGTAAATCCACTCAGAATATTATCTTATAATGATCTAATCCTGAATCCTGGTCTAACCACACTTGTTTGCCTTTCTTCTCTTTTCTTTCCGATCCTTTATCAATCTTAATTTTCAGTATAGAAGAGTGTACAAGGAAAGAAATTCTCACTTGTGTTTTGCTGTATCGCGAAATCCCAGAATCTTCACTTGTATTTTTTCACCACGAGAATAAACAGACATGGGATTTTCGTTCTGAAAATTTATTGAAACTTAGAGAATAATCCTGGACCGGTTGTAAGAAAGAGCGATGGTCGTAAAACGAATTACCTCAGATACTTTATCAGCAATCTCAGTTATAAAAACACGTCCCTTCAATTTTTTCCCACAGAACTGGACATTTATCTGCACACCTTTGATGGAAGTGATCCTTCAACAACAGATGCGAAAGTTTAGACATTTCGTGTGGTGATTGGATACAAAATAACGGATTACGCGATTCTCAATCAAGAACCGTAGATATTTTCCGTGTTTTAAACTTACAAAGCATGTACAATAGCCCCTGGCTTGATATTTTCTTGACTTTCCTCGTTTATATTAACAGACAGAACTAAATAATCACGCTTGTCCAATTTCGACCGTACATATCTACATAAGATATTACATAAAGTATTGGGACAAAAGGATAACGCTCAGTTTTTCCAATACGCTGACCTGTGCGACCATCATGCGCTTTGAAATCACATCATGAAAGACATAATCATTTGTACCTTTGCACAGTGGCTTCGCATGTTTGACCAATTTTAAAACGACTGTTAGGATCTCGTACATCATTTAACGTCTACATTGAGAAAAAAAACCAAAGGAAATTACTCCACAGACAAGTGACTACTAAAAGCTCATTCATTGTTTTCATACTTCTCTGACGGGAACGTAGGCAAGCCTAAATCCATGGTTAGGTAAAATTACCACCAAGTATTCCTTGTGAATAATCTGCACAACCGCTGACACAATCTCACCAATATTCAGCTGAAGAACAACAAAACTGTTGTAGCAAATTATGGCGAAAATAAGGATGGAGATATACGCGTATTATTCGTTTATATTTTCTACCTTCTTTTTATTCTTCGACTTTATCTCCTTGCGTTTTCTCACAATATTTGAATCAACCGACAGATCAACTCTCTTGTTCACAAGATCGTGATCCAATACAAGTGCGTCCAATATCTCACCAACTTCTAACTTTGCACCTTGGGAAAACAAGATCCACACAGTCATTGGTACAGTAGATATTTCATTATTCATATTCCATGCATGGCCATTTTATTCACAACGTCTTCACCTCGTCCATTACAACTGAATCAACTGCACGAATGATATTTTCCACTACCGTTAATACCCAATATTCACCTTTCGTCAACTGTGGCAGCGCAAAACCCTCGACGCCATTCTCCAAAAGAAACATTGTTCCTGAATTTTTAATTGCGGAAACCTTGCCAAAACAGATCGGAAAAAAATGTCTTATTACACTTATTTAAGAAGACTTGTTGTTTAGATCTTCATAAGACACGCACCTTGCCTGGGACGACGGAACTTGGTAAAATATCAATGAACGTATTGCATTCTTCTATAAGTAATAAAATGGAACAATTAAGAAATACACAAAATTAAATACCAGAAATTCATATGACGTCACCTTCATATGGCATACAGGTGACGTCATTTAAAGAAAAGTAATACCGGTCAGTATTCAGAAAACTTAATCTATATGTACTCACTCGATTTCAAACGGAGGCTTTCTAGGATCTCATCCCGCTCTTTTATGTCATCAACAAGCAAGTCAATTCTGTGTTTTTCTCTCTTGTCTTTGGCCTCCTCTGATTGGTCAGGATAACAATCACACGATTTCAAACTGACCAATAAGCGACGGCGCTCGCTATCGATCTCAGTGATCTGTGAAGAAAGACCATAATACTTACTCACAACGGCACCAAAGTAATGTCCAGTACTGTAAAGTAATGGCTAGTACTGTATAGCACTGTCTAGTAACATTAGAGTCTTGTATAGTAATGTGTTGTACTGTAGAGTACTGTGGGTTTTACCTTAGCCATCATCGACTGTCCGACTTCAAAATATTGTGATGCATCAGAAATATAATTGGTCGACAAGAGCTGAAAAGGATTGGGGAGAAAAGAGAGTGTCAACTATGAAAGTCGAAGAACATTGATCTCGAACAAATACTGGATTTGATATCACAAAGGATCACAATGTTTCTCACCATAGTTTATACTTACAGAGTTTGGAGCAAGACCATAAATATTTGGTGAGAACTCAACAAACACGCCGTACGGCATAAGTTGCCGTGTGAATCCTGGAAGAATCATTCCCACTTTTAACTCATTAAACTGCTTTAGAAAAGAACCTTCCACAGCTCTCTTTATCAACGATTGTTTACGTGTTACCATCTGTGTGCATGAAATTAAGGAACGCCGAGGACATTTTAACGAGTTAGCGGACGAGGAGTTTATCCCTCGGGTTGTTAGGCTCAATTTATCGACAACATTTAAAGTACGATCACAATCAGATTTTGGGTGCCAGTGAAGAAAACAATGAAATCACCGAGGCTGGAAATACCCACAGGGAAGAAACTTTGAATTATTGCTTACAAAATCCTCCTATAATTCCTCTAAACTTAGGAAAGAAAGCAGAAAGGGTGTTCATGTGTATCCATGTATGAATCAAATAAGTCCATAAAGGATACTATTGATTTGTCTTTTCCCTTGCCATAATACAAGACGTCCTTTATCGACTTTAGTTCAGGATTCTCTCCATGTTCTGGTGAGAAGATCTCGAGCAGGGAGCTGCAGTTATTGAGGTTGTCGGATAAATGGGGAAGCGGTAGGAAAGCAGGAACGTTACTTGGTTTAATCTGAACATCAAGTCCCGAGTCCGTTTTTCCAACAACATCAACGTCGACAAGCTATAGTTAAACAAGAAATGTTTAAGAAAGAAATGTCGCTCTGGTTCATGGACCGTTACGATAAAGTTAGAGACTTTACGCCGCACACGATTTCAAAAGGAAGGTCATAATAGTGCCTTTGTTCAGAACTGAATCATTACCGTTCCTGGAGCCAGTGATTTTAAATTGAGTGACGGAACGGCAGATGTCTAGAAAAAACAAAAAAATCCAATAATTACACATAAAACTTTCTTTCAACAGAAATACATGAACCAACTTGCACAAAACAAGGTGATAGCTACTGTCTCGCCATCTTGCGCCATCCTTATACTGTAAGACAAACTCCACCTTACAAAGAATGGCTATGTTAACGTTTTCGCTATTAACAACTGATCCTTGCATATCTTACATTGAAACTCAGAGATAACTTTTGTTTTGCGGGTGAACACGACATCACAACACACGTGACCACTTGACCAACGTAGAAAGCATCACCGGGATCCTCACTTGACTTTAAACTGCGAAAGAATAATGTGAAGAAAGTCACAAAAAGCCAGGCTCTTGGGAATATCAAAAGACACTTGTTGAATAGTTTTGTCACTTGTGACTGGACGAACTTACCCGAGCTCTGCCTTTGGTACTAATCCATGAATATTGTTATAGAAATGCACGATACAGCCGTAATCACGAATTGATGTTATAAAGCCATGAGTTTTCATTCCCAACACAACATCAGAAAGATTAGTAATGATTGGAAACTCGGAGTTGACTAAAGTCTTTTTGTGCGTCAAGCGAAGACGTTTCCTTTCCGCATCAACTTCTAGAACCTAATACAGAAATATCTTGAGTATATTCATACGAATTTCAACAACAGAGTTTCTAAAATAAATATCTTACTCGACACTTGACTTTCTTTCCTTCGTGTAATTTTTTCTCGGGATGTTTCAACGTGACGTCAGCGTAATGAAGATACTGGCAATATCCCCGGATGTGATCAGACAGCCCGACCAACATGCCAGATTTAAGCAAACTTTGAATTTTGCCCTGATGTCACGAATGAAAAACAAAACTTAGTGCAACGTTAGCATATTGCAACTGCGAGGAATTCTGATTTTTTTGAGTAGGAAATAAACTTACCGTAACAACAATGCCAGGTTTAATATCCTGATATCTGATAAATGGTTGCTCCAGGACTGATCTGTGTGGTTTGATGAAACGAGAAAATACGACACGAATATTAACTTAGTGAAATTAAGTACAGCCTTAACTGGCTTTAAATCGGAATAATTAAATATTTGCTGAAACTTACTTTTCCAATGTGACCAATGCAAGACCTATCATGGAGTTAAAGCCAAGAATTCGACAACTAAAGAAGGGTGAAAACTTGAATATTTGCTGTGCATTCACTGAGTTTGGCAGCATTTTAACTATGGTAAAAATGAAACCAGTATATTGAGTAATCTGAAGCAACCTGTGGTTAGTTCCCGCCTTAAAACGCGCGTCGATTTTCGTCACTTTTTCATCTGATATTCGAGAAATCTGTAGAAAAATATCACCAATTACTACAAGCAATTTTGTGCTTCAAAATGTCTTAAAACCGCTTATTTGAAGCCTGGATTCTTTGCTGTAATGTAAGGTGAAGACTGAAGAGTCGAACTGGCCCAACTGATATAAAGACGTTGTTTCCAAGAACTAAGTTTACACAACTTACGTGCGCATATCCGGAAATGTGTTCGTTCAACTGAAGAAGAAGTCCTCTGCTTTTATCCAGCCGTAAAACGTTTGTATCTTCAACGATATCGCCGACAACGAAGCTTGAGAAAATGAATGGTTCGCCATTCACCAAATGCTCAAGATTGCTCAAACCAACGGTCTTTGTTGCCGGACAGATATACATTATCCGACACATAACCTAAAAGAGGAAAGTTCATACAGATGTCGTATGCATTTCGTTCACCGTGAGAATTCATTCATCGCTACCTTTGTCTTCGAAGGATACATCTTTTCAATATTTCCATTACTACCATGTTTGGCAAGGTGAAGAAGATCTACTGAACCATCAAAAGCACCAAAGAAGGACAAAACAACACCGTGGTCATTCGCCTGCAAAAAAGAATTAGCCAATTCGTTAACATGCAATCTTTACAAGGGGAGGCATCCTGATAAAAAGGTGGAGCGGTGGAAATTGCATTTTGTATTCTGCTGGGAAAATCACTGATTCCAAACGTCTCCAAATTAACACGCTTGTACAATTAAAGCCACTATCTTTTAGCATTTCAGGGAAGCCAAAATGACTTGTTTTTGACTTAGAATTCTCACCTGTTTAACTGTTGCCTTAACCAGCATCCCAGGTAACAAGCCTGAAAATGCAATCTTCTCTTTCTGGGTAGTCTTGAAAACAAAATGGATGTCAGGAACAACACAACTAATATAGTAAATCAGAAATAGCTCATTACAGTACTTACAAGTGTTGGTTGCTTCTTCGAGACTTGCAGCTGAGCCATTCGCTTATCAGAACTTGTCGAGGTTACAAGACAGTTGAGAATCTGGCCAACAAAATGCATGCCTGAAAATATAACATTATAAGGAAGGAAGGTCTGTCATTTTGATATCATTATGTGTTAACAGATGTTGTCATTAAATACCACTCAAATATCATTAGCTTCCTCCTAATACTCAGGAAATAAATAGCCCAATTGAAACATACCAGCAGCATTTTTCTTTGATAAAAATCCTGTCACACCCTTCACCCCAAGGGACACAGAATATCCATGATCCTCTTTGCTTTTGATATAGCCAGACATGACCATATTGGTATAAATAGAGCTGGGGGTCAGTGAGCTGTTTACCACCTCTGGATTGATTGATAATCTGATCTTACTGTGGCCATGTTTACTGGAGTCTGTTGAAACTACCATACATCTCAACACGGTGCCAATTGGAAAATGGTTTTGTAGTTTATTGCTTTCGTATTTTGGCTAAAAAAATGTAGAAAAATTACAATTACATAGAAACACTATTTAGAGTAGTATTTTAAGTACAGAAAGTTTAAGCATTTCACCTCTTCATTTTCATCACCTTCTTCAGACTCTTGTTCCAGGAGAGAAGTGAATGCAGGGTTGATATCTGTGATGTGTACACAGCCGCTTAAATTGTTTGCCAAACTAACCACCATTTCAAACTCAAATACTTCTTCAACAACACCCAGTAACAAAATTCCCTTTGAGAGTTTCTTAAATGTGAGACTGTCAACATTAATCTCTGTTGAAACAGGAGTAAAGGTTTCACGTGTTGTAGATGACTTCCCATCACTGACAGACTCTCTTTTTTTCTTAAGCTTCTTAACCTTAGCTTTGCCAGAAGAACTTTCTGCCTAAATTTAAAGCGACTGGTTTGCAAAATGAAGCTTGATAAGCTAGGGGTACGGCTGATCAACTACGATCACAGTATTCTAGTGAAACATAAAACAAAATACCCCAAACAATATGTCTTTCTCCGCCTCATTTTTAGCCTCCCTAATCTCTAGCGGAGTCAAAGCGTGAGCACCACCTCGTGGAAAGTCTTCCTCGTCATTTGCCTCTGCTTGATCGCTACTGAAACATTCAAATCAATGATGGGACTGAATATTCGATGAATCGATGTTAGGAAATTGGGAATATAAACTGGTTAATGCCTGGTTTGCAACCGATCGCACTGATCAGGCCCGAACAAGAGATCGAATTCATATCACTGCTACCATACCTACGGTTCTTTTTCGGATTCTTTGTCTCCTTTTTGTCCCTGGCTGGAGTATTCAGTTTACGTTTTCTTGATACTTTATTTTCACGTGCGTCCGACATGTTGAATTGCGTGATGAATGAAATCATGAAAAGCGATCTAACATGAAGTATACGAGTTTCCAAATTCCAACATGGCGGAAATTTTCAAAAATTATTTCTCTAAAACATTCAAATATCTAAAATATTATTATGGTCTATCACTGTATTGCCCAAATTTTTATTTATCCTATAGATATATTTATATCCCTTTGAACAGGAAACCAATAATATATACTACCCGCGAGTTTTGAGGTGAAAACGATGTAACAGCGTTTTACATTTTTTCTAAAATAAATCACCAATTAAATAGGGTTATAGGGTAATACAAAATAATCTTTATCAAGTGGTTTATTGACGTAAAATATCCCTCACAAATGATTTCAGATTTCACCTCACCTTTCACCTAATATATGAGTATAACTTCCTGGTCGACTGGTTTTATCCGTTTTGCATATTTGATATTTGCCTAAATTATCATTCACTGTGTTTATAGCAAAAGCTTTTATTTTTATTCCAGGCAGTGTGACATATTATAGAGAAACTAACACTGTTTTTCATTGAACGTTGCATCCACAATGTCCAAGTGGCTTGTTTTAGTGCTCTTATTCGCACAATATTGTGAAGTTCGTTCGTACAAGCCTGTTGTTATTATTCATGGCATTCTGGACACTGCCGAATCACTGAACGATCTGAAATCGATGATAGAAAAAGCACATCCGGGTACAAATGTCACAGTTATAAAACTGTATCCTGAGATTCAAAGCTTATCGACACCAATGTGGGTTCAAGTTAACGGAGTTTCAAAAGTGTTGAAGGAAATTATGGCGAAGTCTAAAGATGGCGTCCATTTGATAGGCTTTTCCCAAGGTATCACATCTCACCGAAGCAATAATGGATCATATAAAAATAAGAGAAAAAAAATTAGCTTGATAGATTGACATCCTCATACAAAGTTATTAAAACTGAGGCTGAATTGTATATAAATGTTCAATTACAACACACAACAACACTTCCTCATCTCTCCTCACTGCATTTTTTATAACAACATCACAGGTGGTCTTGTAGGAAGAGCCGTTATTGAGAGCTGCAACGATCATAATGTTCAAAACTTCATTAGCCTTTCCAGTCCTCAGATGGGAGAGTACGGAAGTATGGTCAAGTCACTCAAGGCTTTTCGATACAATTTGATTAATCAGTGATCACATCTAACATCTTTTTGTTAATTTGTTTATTAGTACCATCGTTGCTCGCAAAATTTCTTCCTTCGGTGACAAAAGAGTATTTGTACCTGTAAGATATTTTTGAGATATGGTAGTTTACATCAGAAGATTGTGCATTTAAGTTACCCCAGACTTTTTCTCGCTCGTGTCTAAATCTTTTCGTTTCGCTCAATTCCACAGCTTTCTTTACAAAAAAGGGTTTCAAGACCATTTGACCATTGCTAACTACTGGAACGGTAGGTTTATTACCATCATGCAAGCTGAATAAACAATTCCATCACAGAATCGCACGAATACTCTACGTTACAAAATACCTATTAGGACGTGCTTTTAAATTGGCTTAAAGTACACATTGATTGACCCAATTGTGTAACTACAGATCCAAAGCATACGAAAGAATATTTGGCTGGAAACATCTTCTTGCCACTCGTCAATAATAATAACAATTCAAAATTTGCCGATAAACAAAGTAAGTTGACTTGAATTCAATGTGAAAAACATCGGTGACAATGTATGTGAACATTTGGAGTGCAACCATTATCTCAAAGTAGCTTAGAGGACTATTCTGTATGTTTCGATGTCAATGCTTTAGAGTATCGGCTTCAGAAAGAGAATTTTTCAAAACTCAAAAACATAACCGTGATCAGTGGACCTCAAGATGGCGTCATCATTCCCTGGCAATCAGCGTAAGTAGATCTTCAGTGAGTGGATCTTGTAGTGAACCATCACATGATTCACATAAACTTAGGTAAATCGCTATAAGTAATTTTCATTGGAACATTCTAGGTTATTTGGCTTCTACGATGCAAGTCTTAATATTGTACCAATGGAAAAACAGAAGGTATGTGGTATCTAAAGATTAAGATCGATGGACAGTGCACTTAGTATTTTCTTCAAGCCTACGTAGTGACATCCCATGTAAAGTTGTGCAATTCAAGATGATGATTGAGTTTCTATTATTTCTACAGGCATACACCGAGGACTGGTTTGGCTTGGGTACACTTGCAAAAAGAAAAGCAATTCATACATTTATGTTTGAAAATATCACACATACATCATGGCATGGATCCGAAGTCGTTTTCAACAAAGCAATAAAGCAATGGTTGACTTGAAAAATAGAAATTATTTCTATGAAAAAATTCATGTAACCGTTCTTTTTTGCGCTCTCGATCGATCTTCATATTTGGTTTCTGTTTGTAAAAAGTTTTAGTCAGTCATTCGACCTCTATGACTATGTAAAGTTGAGGATTGAGCAAAAATGAATTTGCACGAGCGTGCAAAATAGTTCTTAGAAAAGGTATGCATTCAAGCAATTCATTCTTAAGTGGGTTGCTATAGAGCAGACGAGATGTATTGTATTATCTTACGCCATGTTTTAATAAAAGAATTTCGACGATACCCATTTATTGTGTAGTTTTGCTCCCAATCACTAAACTGCGAAGTAATCGAGTTTTGTTCGTGCAAAAAACTTCATCTATATAAGACTTTATATATCACCAGTTGCTGACAACTGTTGATTTCATCGATTGCAAGAACAAATTTTAGAGAAAAGATCACAAGAGATGGTGTCTAGGTAGCGACGAATACTGCGAAGAAAGAAGCCTCCTCAGGACACAAGCTTTTAATCAAAACAATAACAAGTTTCCCGGTGTTGTTTTTTTGTTAATCAATATTCAAACAATAAATTATTTTAAAATAGTATTTTACAACAAATAGTTTTCGGTGCTGATTGTGATTGTGCAATAGTCAGTTGGTTTTTACTTGTCAAAATTTTTAGTCATGGCTTAGAAGTTCTTCTTATAGTTCAGTCCTTTTGTCTTGGACTTAAATCCAGAGTTTCAGCGTATCAGTCTTCATTAGATTATGGATTTCATGATATATACAAACGTGTAGAAATTCTTGTTCACGATTTAACACTTCTATGTAAAGAGTCCAGCTCTTTCATAGGCAGAAACATCAGTTCTACAGAAACACAACATTGAACCGCTGTTAGGAGCCTCGAGGATTGTCTTTGTGCCTTTAGTGCTGCCCACATTTGAAATTCTCTGCGATAATGGTAAAGAAAACGCGAACATCCAATTGGTTTGACTTGCAAGACTCCTAGCAGCGGTTTCTAATTATCATTGCTAGCCAGTAACTGCATTACATACGAAAAACTGAACTTGCACCGTTCGTAATAACTGGAGTGATGTTACTGGATAATGGCGGCAAACTTGGTAGCGTGGTCATTGGTTTCAATATCGGTTCATTGTTATGAGGTGAAGTATTCGGTGGCGTCATTGGCTTGGTTGGCACAAGAGAGTCTCCGGTGGGGGATTTCACCTTGGCACCGGCGGTAGCACCCCCGGAACATTTCTTGTGTTTCATGCGTCGATTTTGAAACCAAATTTTCACTTGTCTTTCGGTGAGGCTGAGCTGGGCGGCGAGTTCAGCACGGCGCTCTTTTGTCAAGAAATGGTTGAAGTGGAATTCTTTTTCAAGTTCTAACAGTTGTTTCCGAGTGTAAGCTGTTCTTTTTCTCTTTCCTTCCGTTGGTCGAGTGCTCCACACGCTAGCTGGTGTTACTAAAAACAAACCCACATGCAGGAATTTAAAAAAATGTGCCAGAAACAAATTATCGATTGCAGTAATAGGGACTTAAAACTTAGCGCTCAAAAACGACATGTCAAGCAAATTTTGCGCGGTAAGACGATAGAAAAGGTGATCTTAAATATCTGCAAATGATCTTGTTCCCTTCGAAAGATAAGCAGATTAATAAATTGAAGGAGTTAAGGGGAAATTTCAGAGAAGATCGACTCCATTGTTGCCAACAAAATTGAAACCTGAAGTCGCCAATCTTCAGAGCATCAGGGAAATTTGAGTAGGCATATTTGCTTTAAGAAACTTCTTTATTCGTCCCTGGCCCAGGTAAAAACCTGAACGAGTCATGCTTGGCCATTTGTGTTTTTTTTAGCAGGCAAGGTTTCGTTATTCTCCTCTGCAAAATTATACGTTTTTGGACCTTAAATATGAGATTTTATTCTTATACTCGAGAAGCCCTACAAACGGCTAGAGAACTCTGCCCTTGAACTTGGACGGCCCAATGTCATCTCCGCTCAGGCGAGAATTCTGGTTTAGGCCTGTACACGCACATGAAAGAGGGAAAGTCTTGGTTGAGTATTTTCTTCCTCAGATTTCACATAACTGCTTGCAAGGCCTTGATCTATGGATTTTGCCAAAGAGTTTTTGCGAGCAGATGCATTTTCTAATTCCCTGAATATCCTTAGAGAGCCCGAGCACTACAAATAATTTCGTGCGTAGTAACGATCACAAAAAGCGATGAGAAAAAGAGAAACCTCACGACCTAACGGAGTTTGCCCTGTCTCGTACAATTAGGTATAGAAACTGACAATTGAAATACCCCTTGCTTTTAGCAAGAACAAGCGTTTTACAAATCAGTTCTCTTAGAATCACGTTCGAGGTTTAAACGAGAAATTCTATTTCTTTTGCATATTTGGGTCAAATACCATGGCTCGATTAGTGCTAAATTCTTGCATGAATCTGTTTTGATTCAAGTCTCCCACAACAGCCGAACACAATAGGAAAATCCAATAAATGCTGTTGTATATTTGTTTTGACCAATGCAATACAGCAGAGGTAAGAAGATTCCACTTGCTAGACACAGGAGCCTATTCCGAGGCGACTGAAGTCTTAATGAAATCAGGGTTATCTTTTTTCTAAGATAATAATATTGCATGTGTACGTCGTTTTTATATATTAATTAATACTGGCACCGTTTCTATGATGAAGTAGTTTCCGATTGTATATAAGAAAGTGTTTTTGGCAAAACTTATCGTAAGGTAAAACCTATAAGCACACGCTATGAATGCCGGCCAGATTAATTTCCTAGTTCTTACGTATATACTGAGTGTCTTTGCTCATCAACACACAATAATTTTTTGGACAATTTAAATGAAGTTTTCTAGCAAGATTGATGTCGTTCGGTTTAGCTTCGTTGCTTAGGTTTTTTTTATGGATTTTGCATTTCACAATTTATATCCGGATAATAATTTGGCAAAATACTGATCATGATATTTGCATTTGAATCAAATTGAATGACGAATCATAAAATGCCGTGGGTGAAGAGTTTTGTAAGAGCAGGGATTTACGTACAGCTTCCCACGATTCTGTAATCACATTCACAGTTTTTTTATTTGGTTTTATCGTTTCCCCAACGTTTTCTCTCGCGAAATCTTTCTGCTCATGTGAAATGACTTCATTACAAACTTCTCAAATTGAATTTAAGCGTTGTGAGATTGCCAAGAAACTAATCCCCGAAGCCTAGCAAACACGATTTCTGCGTGTATATATTAGGAAATTCTCACAGTAGACTTTACTTAACCTAAACTTACACGTAAACCTTGATTTCTTTTGCCATTACGGCTGAAAGGGTGAAGAAAACGTGTTTTGTTATGATATATTGAAAACTTGAAATGCGAGCATGTTGGCTGAACCGTATAACTGATCCACGGGAGAACAAAACAGCTTTATCCTGGTCGTTTGAATAAATTTTTGTTTGTTGAAGTAGACGCGACAAGGCGAATGATTTATAATTACAAACTCCCTAGGCGCTCGCCTTAACCGACCACTTCTTGGGAAATAAAGGAAGTAGAGTCTTAAAAGCAAAGCAATGCGATGTTTTCAATTAAAGAGCGTATGCGTAAGGGTTCACAAGCTTTGAATAGCATAACAAGATTCGACAGTAAACCGCCATAATCTCTCTTTAAACATTTTCAGCAAATAGTATGCAAGGCAACCTCTGGTTGTACTGACAGCGATGCTTGAAGCGAAAGACAAAACACGTGTGACTTGGGACAAAATTAGCGAGGCATAGGATAAAATGATAGATAATTACGGTTGTATATGGACGAGTAAACCCAATAAGATTATAAGAGCTCGCATTCAAAGATCGCGGCATAATAAATATTGACACAACTCAAAAGGTCATCTGATATTATCTCTACCATTAAAGTAAATAACTTAACTAGATTAATAGCAAAACAAGCAATAGGGGAATTATTGGAAAGCCATAAAGGACAACATTATATTTCTATATATTTACCTGCTGTTATTCCAGTGGTTGGCCACCAGTGCGTTTCGCCGCCTTTTATCCACGGGTATTGAGGATAACCAGTCTCTGTTGGGTAGTACAAATGTTGATTTTCGTTCGGGCTCACTCCAGGGGGATTTTGAACGGACACAGCAGTGGGTCCGTAGTTCACTGTGCCGTCAGGGCTTGGTGAAACAGCGGGTTGATAAACGCTCGCTGGACTCGTGGATACGGGCATGTAGCTGGGAACAGCGCTTTGATGACTGCCAAAGAAACTCGGTGTTGGCTGTTGCATTCTGCATGGCGAGTATGGAAAATCCATGTTCTGTCCGCTTGCCCCGTCCTTGTACGCAGCCAGACCGGAGTTGAAATGTGTGTAGAGATGTTGAGATTGCATATCGTCTCGGAGCTTCGACGTGTGTGTGTGTGTGCGATGTTTGGGCGTTCAGCAAACAAGTGTTCATCAATACTGCAGTTATTTATAAATGCGACTCGAGTTGAATCATGAATAATGCAGGACGTCAAATCTCTTTGACAAGTGCCATTGTCGAGAGATCGCCGCACTAACTTTTGAAACTGCTCGAAATCTCGAACGAAGATTTGAGACTTGAAAGAGTTCTGAAGTTTTCTTCTCTTGCACTATTACTTAACTTCATTGCTATTAGCCTAACTGATTCTCTAATTATTGTATGTAAAATGAGGACAAATCGTTTTCCGATATGTTGTATACTTCGTAATCTATGTATATTTGCATAAATTTTGCACTTTAATTGCGATAAATTGAATACAAAAGTCAAATCAGGCAGGCACAAAACTATACGCGCATATATACTGTCGCGTAATCGAATTGAATTCTAAGTGAATATCTTTAAAACACTGACAGAATAAATTTTTGCCATTTTGGGTTTTCCAAGGGAATTTTTACAAAGCCGAGATAAAATGCTGTCTCAATATATCCACTAATCTGTGTATACATTTTATGCATGTGTTTAACACTTTGATTGAATGGAAGGCTTAACTCTCTGTTCCTGTGAGACAAAGGACATAGCGTTACTCACAGACGAGCCGCGATTGCGGTCGTTTGCGAAGAAAAGAATGCCCGCGACTTTATCAGTTTTTACGTTTTGGTCAAGACATGTACTTCAGTCATGATATTTTTAATCCTCTCTTTCTAAATAATTCAACAAAATGTTCACGCACCCCTCCAGGCAACATGGAAGGCGATAAATCTTCGCGTATACACATGTAATCGTGGTATTTTTTTTACATTTGTAGTATTGAATCTAGTTGTTTTCCCGAGCATGCAAATTGGGCAAAATTTGTCGCTTTGTCAGGAGATGTTTCACGACACAGAATGATAGTTGTGGGAAAGAATGCTACGCAATTGAGCACTGGCATTATTTTTCAGAGATTTTCAAATAAAGCAATTCCCACTAGGCCCTCCAGGTGATTTCAAGTTATCAAATTCAATTTTCATTTTTTGTCATATTGAATAATGTGTCTTGTTGTTTAGAAACTTTCAGAGCTATCTCGTCCCTCCTTCATATTAACTGTAGTTCGAAGTGCATTGCCATGCAATTATTTTCTCTTTCATGCCATACTACCTGCTAATCACGCATTAAGACTAAAAGAACTCAATGAAACTGCAAATAGTGGGTTGATCAAGACCTAAGCCTACGTTTTTTATCGCTTGTTTGAATTACACCGAATAAATTTCGCTCAATCGCATCCAGCATTGTTTGTCTCAACCAACTATGTTTACAACTGAGAGTATAACCTTTAAAAAGTCAGGTAACACTACCAAACATATTAGCAAGTTTGTATTGTATTTTGTAGTGTGTTGCTATCTATCAGATATGAATGGATGCTCTTTAAATTCGAGTTTTTAATTGTGCATTTTACTAGGCAAGGTTTCGTTTTTGCTTTTGGAGTAGTTGTGTAAGAGTTTTTAACACTTACACAAGAAACGACACTCACAAAAATAGTCGTCCTTTCAGAATTACCAGTTTTTTACCGAGACTATCGAAGACCTAAACATTGGTCTTGCTTCTCGACAACATGGGGGATTACCTGTCGAAGTGACCCAAGGCTATTGGCGGGAAACTCCTTAGAAATTTACCCATTGAACGCCACTCAACGAGAACCCTTTAATAGTTCCTGGGCGGAGACATTTTATTCTCAATTATTCTTTGCGATTTGAACTGCTTTCAAAGATACCTTTCCCGCTTCTCCGGTGGACAAACTAGAAAAATTATATAGCCACCATTACGATTACATTGCCTCTGCCTGATGTAACAAAGACAAATGACCAATAAGAACCACTACTTCAGTGGGCTGAGTTTGTTTCTAAAGAAGGCTTTCATTTTAACATAACATGCCATCGGTTTACTGGCATTTTTCATCAGAAATCAGCCTCTGTTCTGGTAATTTAATTGAGTATCGTCAATTGAGTGAATAGCAACTTTTAGTGTCTGTTTACCAATGTTTACCAAATGGCATTTTTGCACAAAGCTTTTTTTGCTGCCATCAAATCGAAAGACAATTAATTACAGTGAAATTGATCGCGAGTTGAAACCTTGTACTCAAGAAATTACACTGCGACGTGTTCTTCCAAATAAAAGCAACACTTAATAATCGCGCGTGCTTATTAGACAAAATTATTTTAAGTTTTGTTCCAACGATTTGTCAAGACGGTTTTAACTCATTAATCTGCTCCTTAACGAAGCTAATGGTAAGGACTAGAAATTAAGTTTTGATTTTATTACGTTTTAATGATAATTGAACTGTAACCACTCATCATTTTGTCAGTAATTCCACGTTGAAGTCGTGAAGAATTAAGCAACCTTTAAGCCTGCAGTTTGTTTGAAGAGAAATTCGCCAAAAAGATGCCGAAATAGTAAACTCTCTGTCTGTCTGGAGAAAAAGAACAATTCATCATATTTATGAACGCGACCTCAAATGATTGTTGGAGGTTTGTAAAAGGAACTCGTAGCGTATGATTCTGAAGAGCTACCTGCTTGAACGTGGATATAAGCGATCTTCAACGGACAACAATATATAATTGTATTTATCAGATCATTTTCTGAAAGAAAGTTCGGCTGCAAGATCATATATATTCGCGGTCTCTTTCAAGATCCCGAGTTGGATAATTGAATTAACCAACTCCTTGGAAAATGCAGCTAATTTAGTGTGCGGTGAAGAATGGAATATCTTAGAATTCACGCAGTTATATTTTGCAAAGTCAGAGCGGAAGATGTAATAACACCTTGGCTGTGCAACATACGTGCTTCGCCAACGCTTTGCGAAGTTGTAAACATGAATTATCTCGCGTACTGATGTCAGAGATAGGATTTTTCCATTCGTGTCTTCCGGTGCTGCTTATAATCTACGCGTGTTTTTATCTTCGTTTGTGGAGCAAAGCCCTGACCGTATCTATAGACGGGCGAGTTGATAAAAACTGCGGTCATTCTCATTTCCCCATTGAAATCGGCGATAGCCTTGTATACGCAATATAATGATTGTTTGGAAGATAACTCACACCTCTCGACACAAAACACACTGCACAATACACATTTGAGTTCATTTATACCTACATCTATGTTAATCTATACTCAAAATATTAGGCAGCTTGCTTTTAAAGGTATATTTGGCCTCGAAACTAAAAAGTCAAGTATAGACAACAGATAAAAAACATATATCTTATGCTTAAAATTGAAAAAAAAAGATCAAGTCCGCCATCGACACCTGGCAAATATGGCGTAGCTGAAAAAAATTTTCAAAGAATATTACGAAGAATCTCCGTATATAGAACGACATCAGTTTTTTCTTTTTTTTAACTTCAGTATTGGATTAATAGGATTTATGGACGAATTTGATTAAGTAGGGGATTATGTTTAGGATAATCGTAAATGTTTAATGTCTTTCTTTGGATAGAAAGATTAAAAAGATTAGCTAAGGAAGAGATTTGGAGTTTGTTAGCAAACGTCTTTATGATTTTGTGCTGCTTTTGATGATTGTAACTCTCTTAGGGTCTGTTTACATGGAGCGAGTTATCCCAGCTAGGCGAGGTAAAAAGCGCACCTGATTCAGTAGTCTTTCATTACGTGCAGTTTTCACCTCGCCTAGCCGGGATAACTCGCTCCATGTAAACTGGCACTTAAAGATTCAATTTTGGTTGGTTGCTGAACATGAAGCAAGTTTCTGACTTGCAGAACCGTCGATCATCCATTGATCATTTAGTTCTGCTAAGATTTTATGATCCTACACCAATGAACTCAAAACTCATTTAATTTAATGGCTGGCCCAATGATGATTTACGACGACACATCATGTGACTTTCCCGCCAAAAAACCTGTAGAATTATTATCCAGATTGAAGTACACTGTCTTTTTTAGCAAAAAAATTATTAGGATCTTTCATGACTCAGGCGCCGTATCCCATCTCACAATATCGGAAACACAAGAATTTGATAATTCCAAGTTCCGACCACACAGAAATATTTGAATTGGTCTGACGCAGTTCTTTTTCAATACACGCAAAATAACGTCTTAGTTACGCATCCATTTCTTTAGTGTTTATTATCCGCGAGCATTCTCCCGAATCTATAATTATCCTCTTGATAATAATTAACGTTTCGTTTGAGTTTCCTCCAGCGGAGGGCGGAGCGTATCCCTTGGCATCAAATCTATGTATTGAAAATCAAAACAATGCCCTGTCTTACTATACTTATTGGCGTTTTTATTGTCAAGGGCGGGCCAATATTTTGCGATTTCATCTCTGAAGAGATCCCATATAACGCATATCCTGTAACGGCGAAAATAATCTCTCCGCGATGTTAGAGGTTTGCACGCAACTCTTGTCTGTCCTGTTTCAATGAAAAAAATTATTGATTCGGGTTTACAAATAAAAAAATAGGATTTAGCAATGAGAAAATGCGATTTATAGGTTCCAAGATGTAAACAATCGACAGTAATCAACTAACAAAAGCTCCCAAAACACTAATCCTTGATTTTGAAAATTATTGTCCAGTGCTGTCGGGATCGCGATCAATGATGAATATTCGTATTCAATTGCTTTCAATATTTCAAATTTGTTGCACGAAAGACATTAACCAATGTCTAAGTTTGTTTAAATTTCCCGGACATAACAAGTTTTAAGTTCCGCTGAAGTCACTTTTAAACGAACGGCCGTAGCTTAAAATTATGCAGCCAGAAACACCAAAGTTTTTGATTTTGATTTATCAGAGTATAATTCTTGAAGTATTTTAACAAACAACTATGGAATAACTATGACACTCTTCAAAACCTGTTGTTCATTTATTTCCAACTGTAAATATAAACATTTATATTAAATTCAGCTGATGTTAAACGTATAGCAAAACTCCTATCGAGTTTTACTAGGAGACTTTTGTATTTTCATCCTATTTTTGTGAACAAAATAAATGCTTTTGTTTGAGCCAAGGATTTCCTATTTAACCACAGAATACCCCCCAATGACACATAACTTAATAATTTTGATTTACCACAGTTCAGTTTAACTTCATGCTAAGATTTTTGAAAAGAAGATGTGGCATCATCATGTATATGCGCGCATCTAAGTATTTCTTATCCTAGGTGCAGAATTAAACAAACTGATGGATCGTAAATGAGTTATTGTATCATATACTTGTCCACACTTAATATTTGAGGTTAAAATGGGACATGTTACTAGCGTTGCTTATTCGAGTAACCCTTTTGCAAATGATTTCCGTTTCCTGCAATTTGCAAAAGAGCCTTTTGTGTGCAATGTTTAAAAAGAGCATCGGTTTCTTTGTAGTTTGGCGATCAGCTGTAAGGAAAAATACCTCAGAATGCGAGTAACCCGCGTTTAATTCGGCGAAGATTCGAAGGTCTGCACAAAATTTGCAGCATACATATATGTTTACACTTTCCCTGACTTTTGGGGGCGCGTTGTTTTGTCTTGACGATGATTTAGAACCGACGAGTTGATAGTCAAATGAATGCAATGATATTTGGCTTAACAAGTAAGATTAACAGTGTGGATAAAGTAGAGTTTTTAGGCGGAAAAAATGCCCTTAAAATCATTATGAGATCATTACGGTCTACACACAGACCATGCACAGTTTTATAAAGTTGAATGCAAATAAAATCTCGAAGTGTTCAGAGTCTAATCTTTCAGACTGATAAGGCGATAAGCAAATGCAGTAGTTTTTGGGTATTTTTGGAGCAGCTCGCGTGCAAGTGCATGTTTTTCAAACGAACATTCCGGGCCGAACTGATCAGCTGAAAAACGAACACACAAGAGGACAACAAATAGAGTTGATAACGCTTTCATGATAAGCGCAGGAACATAATGACCCATTAATCTTCCGCTAACACCGTTTATCTGCTAATTTATATTCTCAAGGCAACAAGAGCAAAAAACGTTTATGAGCCACAAAGTGACAAACGTCTTGTCTTAAGTGTAATTGCCATAGCGAAACTCAAAGTGTCGGTTTCGAGTCTAGATTTCCTGAAAACGGCTAGAGACAGTCGGTATAAACTGCACATTGCCACTCCATCGCCTGATTAATTCGGAATAAACGCAGATGATTTTTTATTTTAACTATTTAATTATTTAATGGTTTATTCTTGAATAAGTGTAGTATTGAATGGTGGGTCTTGCTGCTAGAAGCTTTCATAAATTAGACCATGCAATCAAAACATAGTTGTTTAATATCCTGTCCGAGTTTCAATTTCCTAAATCATTCAAAGTTGTACAGATGAATAGAATGACCTAGAGAAGTGATGATTAATCATAATTTGCACAATTTCGTTTGTATTTGGCATATCCGCTCTCGATCGACAAATAGTAAACTAAGACTTTTATATTGCGATTATTTTTAAATACTGATATCAAGATTAAGTAATGATGTGCAGAACGGCATGTCAGAGATGGAAAAAGAGTAATCGAAACAATTATTTTTCCATATTGCAAGTAGGAAACAACTCGGTTGTAACTAAGTGACTACAAACAAGTTCAACACTGGCATTAATGAGGATTTTGCTTCACATGTTAAACGATAACTTTTAAAACAAATCATTCCCATTCAAGCTGTGGTAAATGCACCTTGAAGTGAGCTCATTGCAGTGTTTTCCCTATACAATGACGCAGACACCTCAATTTTATTTTAATAATATATCTGTTATCCTAATAATTGCTAAATGTGTAAATCAACTTTCACATGCAATCAATGTTCTGACTTCCGAAGTGTATTTGAAAGACGTGAATTCAAAAGCAATACCCAACTTATAGAATTGCACATAAATAGTACGACAAAGCCATCTCCCCGCCATGACTGTTGACACTATCTACTGTTAAATAACGTTTCATTCATCATTTAACAAATAAAATTGTTTTACAAATAGTGCAAATTACAATCGTACAAACTTCAAAGAGATACTTACATGACCAATATTAATAATTATCATTATCGACAATAATATGCAGATAATACTATAGCATGCTTGCATACATAGTTAATATTGTAATCGAGACTTTTCCTACACTAACGAGTAAGGTTCCGTCTTAAACAGGAATATTTCTGAAAAAAATTATAGAGACGAATAAATCATGAATCTCGTGGATTCTTGAACTGTAAATACATCATTCGTAGGACGTGAGGATTTTTATATTTTTTGTATATTATTCCATAATTCCGATGGGACATTACCGAATGCAGCACGTACAATATTCAAATGGAATGTTGCTTCATGCTTAATTTTTGGGTTAAATTTTACACAAATCATGAAAGTGCTTGGAAAATGACTGTGGATGTCATATTTATGTACAATCGTACCTATAATGACTTCTCTATAGCTATGGTCTGTAGACTATGGAGATAATAGTCAATAGATGGGACTAAAAAGAAATCTTAATCTCAAATGCATTCTGCATGCGAAGGATAATATCGGCTTACTAGGTATTAATTGCTAACTATGCACGGGGTTGTTAGCAACGTCCAGGACAAACAGTAATCATCTCTCAAAACTGTAGTCAGGACTGATAAAGAGAGGGAAACCCACGATTAAATGAAACAGAATATAAACATTTGCTTGAGTACATCGTGCGAATATGCACGACATTTTCTGTGATATTATTTCGTCACCATGCAAGCTTTCATTAACATGTGTTGCGGCAGAGCGTTGGGAAAAATCAATGATCAATATACCCAAGCACCAATTAAAGGTCCTTTGGATGTTCGACGTCCGAAAATTCAGATTGCGCAAAATCCGCTCTGCCGGACTGAACGAAAATTAACGACAAACACAAGAATAAAATTTAAAAAACTTTCAGTTGCTTTTTTTACTCATGAGTTTATTTTTTGTTCTAACACGGGTAGCTTGAAAACGTTATTCAAAAATGTTATTCACGAAGGCTTCATTAGAGAAAAGCCTTGCCTGTTCTGTACGTTAACGCATGCGCACATCAACATAGGTCATTCAAATCAACTTTTTCAAAGAGTTAGGAAACATTGTTACTCATGCAACGCAGAGTGTAATCAAATTTCACAAACAACATTCTTTTCTGAAAGTTGTGAATTTTTCCCCGAGTCCAGATATTGAAGGTCTTTGTGAAAGGTGAAAATCTTCAACTTTATGAGTTACTACACTTCACACTGAGGTCAACCAAACAGCCAATATTATCTTGTCTTTCGTCTTTCAAAGCTTTCGGAAGGAAGCAGCATGTTTGAAAGTTTGAGACCTTTTGAAAACTTAAAAAACTGGTTTGCCTACGGCTTGCTGACCATTTTAAGCCGGCACAAAACCAAATTAACAGTTGTATTCTGAGAAAGTACTATCGCCGTGACATTTAGCGACGATGATGAGCCATTTGTTCCAACCCATAATCACATGATAAATACCACGCATGATACAACTAATATAAACTTTGTTGGGAATTCTCACAAGCAGGTTACAAATAAGGAATTACAACGCCTGGTGTAAATATGCAGGGCTAGTGTATACAAAAAGCCTTTTGTCCACGCACAGTGCATGGAATGTGTAAACACACCCACGTTATGCCTATGGTTACACAGGTCCTTGACTGTGCAGGATCTTTGCATGTGGTCGTTAACTACATTGCTCCAGGGTCATACCATGCCCTCGCATATGCCTACAAATACAAGTACAAGGCATTTTGAACACTCTTGGAAAATGCGGCATCCCTGCTTTGTGTCTCAAAGTCATCTTTGAAAGAAGATAAAAAAGTTTACAATCTCTTGCTCCGTGCACACGATAGAGATTTTGAGCATTTATATTCCTCTTTCCATGCCAAAACAGGTGCAAATATTTATCAACTTATGGCACAAGTAACAGACAATTTAATGTACTGAAAATATTTTGTCCATAGGTTATGTAAACCATGCTAGAGTCAAAAGAAAGAAACGAAAGGTTTTTGAAGACGTCCATTCTCTAAATCTTCACAGCGCGAGAAGTTTCTTTTCAAAGCATATTTTGCATATTTAAAAACACCAGTCTTTTAATTCACTTCCGAAGGTGACTTCACCTTTCATTGTGAGGAAAAAACGAGTCCTCAAATATTCTTTTCTCAATTGAACGTTCTTTTTCTGATGAAACAGCTATCGAACACGCGAGTACTCGACAATCTCCATGGACGCAAAGTGTAGGCACTTAAACGTTGGCACGAAGAGGCATAGCCATAGGTATCCCCATTGACTCTATACAGCTAATTTAATTAAGATTGAATTGCTTTCTTGCAACTCACAAATTTCGAAACAAATTCTTGCAGAGTCACCTAGAGGATGATATGTAAGGCAGCGGGAATATATTTAATATTTGCTTTATGATAACCTATCATTCTTGAGTGATACATGATGAGAATTGAGGGAACTTTTTTAAAAAGCGTTGCTAGCCACTCCAAGCAAACTCTTATTCCATGATATAGGATGCCATATTTAGGCTAGTCTGCATACGTATTCGAGGTGTATTCCATGTTTACTATGAAAACTCATTTTACGTTGTTTGTGATTAAATGGAGATAAGATCATATTGGGAAGATATCAAGCAATGATTTTCAATCTTCAATATAAAAGGAGAAAAATAAAGCAGCATAGAAAAATTCATATACTGTACATAAAATACACTTAAAAAAGTAAAAAAGAACATAAAAAAAATATTGCCAATCAATTAAATGATGTATTATGTATATAAGAATTAGATAGCTATTTGTGTAACTTGCACATAGCGTGTTAGAATATTTCCGATCTCTTGTTCATTTCCGGCTGTCTCCTCAAAGGTGACGTCTTAACATGCACTCCTACACACTACAATTATATATGCTAAATATTTTAAAACTTCTATGACGATGTAGAGATTTGTCGGAAGCGGCAAAGCGAGGTTGCTATTTCTAGCCATACACCCACCAAATTCCTGACCAAGTGTGAGATAAGTGCTCGCAATCTTCTGAATAGCGCCGAAGACACTCTATTTCGTTAAAAAAACACAAAAGGCTGTAAAAACCAAACGACCATAACTTCGTGAATTGATATCGATAAAATATTGTTATCATAAACGCTTTTGTTCCATTGTATGAATCAAGGACCATCAACTGAACCTCAAACTGCATTTCCGACGTTCAGGTACTAGAACAACCGTTATACACTCCAGCAAAACTTGACCTTAACCTTGTAACCCCTAGAAGTTTAGTACGTATCCGTTTTCACGTGGTTTCATGCACGCTTGACTATTTTAAGAGCCAAAGATGGACACTTCAAGCTTCTGCACAAAATATCAAAATAGGCAGCTCTCATTGATAAACTGTGTCCGGCAAAGGGTTTTCCAACTATGCAATGCTGTTTTTCACAAAGCTCTATGCTTTTAACCCGTCTTTAGTAGTAGCACCTCAGTGTCGTTTAATCTCCGATACTCTCTTGTGCTGTCTAATCTGGAAACACCCTATTCTGGTCTCGTTGGTCGGAATAATAGAGATACCAGAGATATGCAAAGAACGACGCCATAACAAACAGCATAGCCGTTGTAAATCTGACCACATCTCTTGAAGGATTAGGCAGGGGCAGATCATCAATGAATAGAATAAATTCATCTGTCAGATCACAGAGTGTGTATCCTTCTTTCACAGCGTATGCACGAAAATGAAAAAGACCACCACCTGTAAATTCTAAAGAACTGTTGAGTCTATCTTGGAGGGCGGTGATGCTGGAATCATGATTAGCGATTCTGAAAGTAGTACTGTTTAAAATCTGAAAATCGGATCTTTGATTCAGTTCCACTATGTAATAGGGATCAATGAAATGTTTTGTGATGGCATCATCTTCTACAAGACTGAAATTTGGTCTGAATATTTCTCCATACAATAACCTATACACGGTACTAATGCAATCGGAGTAGGCGACCAATCTTGACATCGTGATGTTCCCTTGACGGCAGTCACAATGGCGACGGTAAGACTTGCCACTGCATTGCTTATACACACGGGTTCTTCGAGAGATCTCGAACCTTTCCTTATACGGTGGTTTTTCTGGGTGTACATTGTATAGGTTTGATGACATAGGAATACCAACGCCTCTAGAAGAAGGTGGTCGGTAATTTGCAGGTAGTTTGTAACGCCTTAAAACACCATCACCGTCTGTAGGTGTACCACGAAGAAACACATTTGGTGAGAAGGTAATTGGATATTGAAAAACCAGACGCTTGCTGGGCGGACACCCTCCATGGACGGTGATAACATTCGAAACACTTGGACATTTTAACGATAAGTACGGGATACTAAACGACATCTGAGACAACCCTGTTGTTAGCGGTCTCCTGGTTAAACTAACTTCCAGTGTATGGTTTGTTTCATAGTGTTCATGGGCTCCTCTGATGAAGAATAGCGATGGGTTGCTCACATGGATTGAAATTTCTGACTCGAGTGTTTCAAGGTGTTGAGCAAGAATAGCAAACTGCAGTGTTACTCCATCTTGGGTATCTAAATGATACAAGGTTTTATATCGTTTTGGGGTAACGATAGGAAAGCTGGAGCAACTCTCCTCCTCAAGCCACCACATTCCATAACCATTCTCTGGGTCACTGGAGTAAACACGTGGTTCAAGTAACTTCCATTCTGTGAAGTCCCCTACCTTCAGAGGGGAACCATTTTGAAAAGAAACTACCCCAGTCGACGCTGATTCAATTACACCATGGTTATCACCGTGAACCATTAAAACCTTACCAACATGTGAATTCGTGAAAGCAAAGTTTGTTGTGGCCTTGAACACGCCCATGGAATAACTTATACTGATGCTGTCAATCTTGTCAATGAGAACAGTTGCCGAGCTAAGATCGTACATCTGCCACGTGCCGGACATCTGGTTTACACGTGGTAAAATACTTGGTGAAATACCTGGAGGCGGCAAACCATATATGGTAGAAGCATCAATATATTTTACCAATAAGATACTCAATCCATTGGCGAGCACCACACTTCTTCCAACATCGTGACTTGACCATCCTCCACCATCAATACTAAGTTCATAAATCGCTTCATGGAAAGTCGAGCTAAAAAGCCTTAATTGCAAATCAGAGTTTAACACTGGCGCTGAGATCGGTGTTAAACCAACAAAATCTTTTATAATTTCTCCCTTGGCTTTTGTATAGTATCCAGTAGATTGGTTTAATTGCACTACCTCGGAAATATGTCCTGAACCTCCAAGTCGACTCTTAAGAACCTGCTTAACCACTGAAGAGCGAAAGCAGGAAGTGGATGAAGCCTGGTTTGAAGACTGTTCGAACGGCGTTGCAACAAATATAAAGAATTCACGATGGCCAATAAATTGCAATAAGAGATGATCGAAACAGAAATGTTTCTGGTAGGACTCAAAATCAATCTTCTCGATGGAATAATTTCCGAATATTGAACTGTCCCCATATCGGGAGAGTCCTTTCATAGACTCCAGTTCATCAACCACAATGAAATCCAGAGGCCCGGACAAAGTTTGATGATGTATGGCGATCAACCTCGAAATCCCGATTCTTCCGTTTAATACATTTCCATGGTTTGTCAAAGCTACGACTTTATCTCCATATTGTGGAAATGACACTGCAGATATTATATGTGGGCTGCGCAAGTCTGTTAGCTGTTTAAATGAGTTACCACCATCACGGGATTTCCATACCTGGAGTATAGAACGAAGAGCTGTTATAATGAGCAACTCTATCTTTGCGCCTAATCCTTGTTAAAAAGTTCTCATTTACCTCTGAACCGTAAACAAACAATGTATTTGACCAAGAATGAAATTGAATATCGGTAGCAATCGAGTTTTTCGAAAAGTACCAAGGAGGAAAAACAAAATGACGGTGAGAATCTTGTGACACAACCAAAACAACGTATCTCTCCGCCTAAAATAATTGCAAGGAGATGGAATCAGTAGATCAGTAGAATGCTAAGACTAAGTGGAGCCGATAAGAAATTCCGAGTTTCATATTCAACTCGATACGTGTTAATCGTGATTTCTGGATAAATGGATAAATGGGTACAAACCTGGTTTATTGTGGTTTTCATCAATAACACTTCACTGCGCTTCGTGACGTCATTAACGATTCCAAGAACGTCTGCGCTCTCAAATGGTAGATTGGAAATAGACATTTCCAGTAATTGGGAGTGTGGTGACACACTTCTATAAAGCGTTTTTGTTGAACCAGTTGTGAGAAGGTATATGAAGTCGTTACTCTCAGGATATACGTGGAAATCTAAGCAGTAAGGCGTGTACTGTAGTTTGATATCTCCATTAGCGAAGGACGATATGAGTGTTACAGGAGTTGAAACCTCAAAATAAACCTGAAATGCAAGGAAATAAAAAGTGTATTTAAACCATAATGATCCTATTACCTAATGTTTATGCCATCGAATATCGCTGTGAGTGTAAACATTACCTCTTCAACGGTCGCCTTGGACATCAAAACTGCAAAATTGGCGCTTTTGACAAGACCAAAAGAGGTGGCTAAGACAAGAAAGCTTCGGGTAACGACTATGTCCAAAAGCCGCAAATTGCCGCAATCTTTCGACGAGAAAACACGGCAAAGCGAGCGATTGATATTAGCACTTGGACATACATCGAACCAAAGTGTTGTCTCAGGTACAAATGCCCCATAGGTAACGCCAACATAACAGCCTAAAGCCAAAGGCAGGAAGATAAAATTGCTGTCTTTACATCCCAAGAAACGGCTTTTGGTAATTTTCTACAATATACTATTTTTCTATATGTACCTCCAATACTAGAAACAGTTTTGTTCTTGAAAGGCAAGACGAACAAGATTTCTCCACAACATGGCGTTGATCTCACCGTAAACTGTGCATTGCTACTGTTTAATACAGAGGACTTGTCCACCATACTTCCCAAGTGTTGTGTCAAGTTGACCACCGGTTCTTTAGGTAAAAGGATAGCTTTAGTTTCATACAAACCAAGTCCCATACCAAGTTCTACTGTGACGAACCATGGTTCGAAGAGAATGTCGTCAACACCTAGAAAAGAAAAGGATTATTTGTTCTTTTAATCTATGTATTAACTTGACATCTTTCAGTCGAAAAAATAGATTCAAAAGAGTAGCTGAAGTTCTTTAAAAACAATCCTTTTTTCAAATAAATCAGTTGAGTATACCTGGTGTAAAAACATTTCGTTGAATCTCAAATCGCCAGTAAAAGTTCGGATTCATTTCTGCCGTTTGAAACTTGAACGTTTTCCACCAAGTTTTATTTCTGAATGTCACGTAAGGATACAAACCAGACGAAATATATTTCTTGTTCAATTCGTCGCTTCTTGCTAAGCTCCAGTTTTGCTTGTCAACAAGTCGACAAAACACGGTCAAATTTTTCTCATTTTCCAAAAACAAGCGATTTTCGCATTGTTTCAGCTCATCCAAGGACATTTCCGAATTTGAAATTGCAAAATATATATTACGGTTTTCACGGAATGTATATCCACAAGTTTTTGTGAGAAATATAGCAAGAAAAATGAAAATATTCACACCGAGCACATACATTTTTGAAAGACTTGTTTTTGAAGGACGTTTTGGCGGGAAATCCTGAAATCAGTGTCTGCCGAGTGGAGTCCTGGACTCTAGTTTGTTTACTCCATTGAACTAACAATTGTACGAAGTTCAGTAATTTATTCATGTATATTTTAAAATTTTACAATTTTTTAATGGGATAAGGAGGGATAAGTGGGAATAAGTGGCTATTTTCCTACTTCCCAGCGTGCATTACAAGAACAAGATAATTTTGTCCATCCACTGATCTCCATATGCTGCTGATTCCATGACTATACCAATGTATATTCTCTTTGTATTTTCATTCAAACCAGCAATCTAAAGTTTGTATGGCCTTTTTTCATTGGTCATCTTTCCTTGTCTTGCATAAAGACAAATGCATTGTTTACACCTGCTGTACTTTTGCAACTTTTCGGAATTCTTTTGTCTTTGTCTCAGGGCACTGCATCTCTTTCCAACTTATTGGGATCATGGATGCACCTTTTAAAATAAAATAAAACCACCATGGAATAAGGATTGAAATGACCCTTCCTTTAAAACAATGTAGCGTATATTGGCTTTTAATGATGAATGAATTGATTAGTTAAGAGCCACATTTCACCTGCTTCACTCATGGCAAAAATCACTCCAAGTTCATTCTCAGCAGTTGATAGAAAATACGAGTGTGAATCACCCAATGAGTTTACTCTTGCTTGAACAATATCACCAGGTCGATATGACTTGTATATCTCAACTTTATCCTTCTCTGTTGCCCGAATGTCCTCTTTTCTTAAAGTTCCTCGAAATGGTTCATTCAGAGGGCATCCTTCAACAGCAAGAATTGCCAGCTTGCAAAACCTTGTGTTCACCCCAGTCACCTGGATGTACAATATTTTGCTGTTACCTTACTGGCTTGACTCAGCCGAGTATGGATAGTACACAGTGCCTACCTAAAACTCAGTCAGCCTCACTGCTCATGCAAACTTTAAGGAAGTGGACAAAAAGAACAATTATGCATACCTTAGCTGTGACAACTGCACCAATAGTAGGCAAAACCTGAGTGTGCTTATCACGCATAACAGTAACTACGCTCTCCTATCATTAAAAACACAAATGATTTGGTTAATTGGATCGTTTTTAACTTTTTTATCATTGTATGATTAGTCGATTTACTCGATTATGCACACTGACCGACCTCAGTACACAACTATAGCTAATTCAAATGCTAAAAACAGTTAATTCACAGTAAGGAAATGCTATACTGCCCGTACACTTTCATCATGTTTTTCCACAATCTTGTAACCGCTCCGGTTTGCATAGACTTGACCAAATCTCACATACGTCCCTTCCCCAGACTTAAATTCTTCGGCTGATCCAAGGCATTCACCTGGTACAACAATATCATGTTTCATTCCAACCTCTCCAGCACTTTCTTTCATGGTAAATTCACTTTTTCTTCCTTAAGTTAAATCCACAATTTCTTTCAATTCTTCCGCCATATTGGAAAAAGGGGACATAAAAGGGATGTTTGGGGGTAATAATTTTGAAAATACAATGTTTCCATTTCTGTTTCCGTAAGTTCATTGCTAAAATTCATTTGATATTTCCCAATCATCATATTTTTTAGAAGATTGGAATGCAGAACATTCCTATTTTCATTAAGTCCGTATTTTAGTCATTGCAAAAAGGTATTTTTGATTATCTTTAGGTAGATTGGCAAATTGGTTATGGACTGACATCTGACAATTTAAATGAGAAGAAACGTCATTATAATCAAAGAATTGTTGAAGTTGAACATGGCTCCTTCACCCCAGTCGTTTTTAGTGCCTATGGTGGATGTGGAAGGGAGACTTCTCACTTCCTTTCGTTCCTAGCAGGCAAACTGGCTGAGAAAAAGAACTTTAGTACCTCCATCGTTCTCAACTGGTTACGTAAGAAGATAGCTTTCGCTCTTCTTCGCGCTAGGGTTGTGTGTGTTCGTGGTAGTCGTTCCTGGAGAACCTTAAACATTCCTTCAACTACAGATATCTCGTTGTCGGAATGGAACTCTAATATTAGATAAAGTAGTTTTCTCTAGTTTATATTTATGTTTATATGCGTAATTTTACTTTTTTCCTCTTGTATTGTGCATGCATTATAAATAAAAAATTTGTTGATTGACAAGCTTACTGTAAAAAAAAATTTAAATGCCAAGTGAAGTTTAGTGAAGTTTTAGTTCACACATGTTTTACCCCTTCTTTTATTTAATTTTCTCGCAAAAACATATTTGGAATTTATTTTAATTCAAAATCTGCATATTTTTTCAACACTTCACGATTCCTTGTATAAAGTTATCCAAAAATACCAGCACGCCACTGTTGCTAGGCAACTCAGTCCAATATTATTGTCCAATATGGTTTCCAGCTGAAATCTGCCACCGGCAAACATAAATAAAACTTTTTGGATGGAAAATGGCAGAGTTTATTTCAAAGCGGGGACAAGCTATCGCGTCCGGATCTCCCTACAAAAACGCTGATGCCTTGCAAAGTCAACATGCGACTCATCGCGACATATTACGTGAGTAATCGTGTCTGTAATGTGATAATCGTGCAGCCATTGTGTGATTTTTGTCATTTTGACATTTAACAAAGTCCCCTACGCGTTGCTATAATAGCCGGTAATTGTTTCACTTTGAGCTGTTTATGTTTGTTCAATTTTAAGCATTCTCGCTCTCCGGAATATAACCGTAACACTAAATATTTATCTTAAATCTATGATTTATGATCGACCTTTTTTATAGCATTATTTTCCAATTTAAAATCAGTGTTGTGATTTTGTGCGTCTCGTATTAAAGCGTTTAATTTAATTTTATGCTTTAAAACTAATGTACTTGATGTTAAGATATTGATTTTCATTTCTACATAATTTACTAAACATAGATTTATAAACTTTTAATTGTTACTTTCAGTATGCAATATATTATATAGTATAAATATTGCTATGACAACCCCCTATAAAGCTTGCGTATTTTTCACACTTTTGATAAATACAGGATTTGGCAACAAAATTTATGAAAGAAAATGTGCAGAACTGGAGAAATTAAGGGAAGAGTCGTTAGCTGAGCTTGAGGTACGGCTTTGGCAGATCGCTAACGAAGAACGAGACCAAGCTGTGAAGGAAACTTTCGATCAGGGCCAAGAGGAACTCAAAATAAGTCAGGAGAATGCCAAGAAAGAGAAGGTAAACTTTCCTCCTATCATGCATTCACCACTATTTTGGTGATCCAGTATTTGACCAACAAAACTAGTCGTTACAAACACCACCATCATTTTCACCATATCATCCACCACCAAGCTACCATCACTACAGTTACTACATAACTACAATCAACATCCTTGCAGGAGAAAGCTGTAAAAGCAGAATGCAGGCGGGTCGAGGCATACATGAAGAAACAGTCTCAACAAAAGCTGGAGGATGCGAATGAAGCATTTCAAGCGCAACTTAAGGAAGCTCTCCATGATGCAAGGATAGAATTTGAAGTCGAGAAAATGTTGACAATTCGTGAAGTTAGAGAACAAGAAATAAACAATGCAGTGGAGGAGGCTGCGAAAACAGCAGAATTGGAGGAATCAAAAAGAAGGAAGATTATCTTGGAAGCTGAGAAAGAAAAAGCTGTAAGTAGGGTACCTTTGAAGATGTCCTTTTGTAGACATACTTCTCAGTTCCCCAGCTCAGGTTCCATGAGAGTCCTCTGTAATGCAGCTGTCATATAACAATAGTATTTTCTTTGAATCAGTATTCTTTGAAGAAACTAAAATTAAAGATGGAAGAAGAGATGCGAAAAAAGATCGCAGAAGCTGAAGAAAGATGCCGTCAGTTGGCTTTGGAAGAACTACGAAGATATGAAGAAGCACATTCGGTTGAAATGGAAAAACTTTACCAGAAACTTCGACAGCAAGAATCTGAATACGATGAAATGAAACTCCAGCTTTCCAGGAAAGAAAATATTCGCAGAAAAACCGAGACAAAATTACGCGAAGTTGTCGAAGAGTTTCAGAAATTTATTGATTTGACGAAAGGATTCACAAAAGGCCAATCCGAGTTCTTGCTGCCAGACATCAACCTACTTCAGGACATGTTAAAAGGTGCGGTTTCGTCTTGTCAAAGACTAAAAGAAGATGAACTTTGAATTGTGAATGATTGCACCGGAGCAGAGTTGTAAACTTTGTTTTTACCGAAAAATTTTATTACTCAATAATATATTTATAGTTTATCTTGTAAGAATTGTTGAAACTATCATGTTTTTAAAACACTGAAGTAATTTGTGGTTGATTTTAGCCTATTAAATTTTGATTTAAACAACTTCTTGATCATTCAAAGTTGTTCGTTTCTTAACCAGCTGTGAACGTCAAAGGCGCAAAGTCTGATGCTACATATATATAGTATTTTTAAACTTTGGTTTATTCACCGTTTAAGCTGAACACCGTTCAAGAACAACCGGTCCCAGATCATTCTGTTCGAGTGTTCAAACGTGCTGCCTAGCCGTTTTAATGCCTGAGAAATATAGACATCGTAGCTTGAAACCATACAATATCCGGATGTGAGATTGCAGTTCAACCACAGAATCAACAAAAGAGCTTGAGACGTAAAGATTCCAGCTTTTTCGAAACGTAACGGTTCCGAAATGATCGCTTTCTCGCGCTTTTACAAAGCTCTTGTTGGTAAAGTGCTCCGAAAAAGACAAGAATATTTTGGCCGAAGATCAGTTGGAGTGGATCGTATGCAAAATTGTGGTTTAACGATAATAACTGTATTTCGTGGGAAATTTAACTGATCACATTCGAGAATAAAATAGCTTGTTAAGAATTAGGAAACGACTTCAGTTAAAAAATTTATAAAGTCATACACATGTAGGAACGCAATTTAAATAACTATAGTTACTACACAACAACCGACAAATTACCCAGACCATAGTTAAAAGACTCAGACGCGCCACTTCACGTCTGTTGCATGTAAACAGACGCGCCTTCTCATGCCAGACGACTTACTCGTCAAGGTAGAGTGCTATCAGTCACTACCGTTTATTGGGCTACAATTAAATTTGTGATCTTTGATAAACACTACAATTTACGTTTCCCCTCTAAAGTTTAATTGCCTATAATCATAATTATGATGCACATTTGAACATGAGTCACGTTTAGCAAGGAAATGTTAGTATTTATCAGCAAAAGATTTTCAACAAAGAACTTCTATTTAAGTCGAGTGCTTCACAGCAGCGGATCTTGGTTTACAAGTGTCGATCGCAATTAAGGAATGAAGAATTTTTTTACAATTTGTCATCGCATCGGCTTTTTATTTATAATCATGATGCAAAAAAAAACATGTTAAGAACTTAGGGCAGTGGCAGTTGACTGAGTGACCTTTTTTAAGTCCTGGTGAATTTTAGTAATTTGAATGAATCTTATCGTGAAATCTTGCCAATGCAGGGAAAGTGGATTTAGTATTAGCGCTCTGCAGGAGAGGGAGAGATCTAGCATGAGAAATAGGGGATTTATGAAAATAATATGTCAAATATGGAGGTGTAACTACATCACATGCTGAGGCCGAGTCTTCTGGCAAACTGGCAAACGATCATATCGTAGTTTAGTATTATTATAACGCATATTTTTCCCGGATGCAATGATACTTGGAACAGGCGGAGAATTTCCGTGCATGAGGAACTAAAATTGATTAACAGTTCATGCATTAGAGCTCATTTCGATTAGATTGTGGTTTTAATAAAAATCAGTTGCTCTTTACCAAAACCCCCATTTTCTTTCATATTATTCTTCTACTATATATTACTCTCTTCCAGCTTACAAAACGGTAGAGACTAGAGCGGTCACCTGACACACCTTGTCAAGTGCAGGTATTTTCTTTAGCACCCGTACGTGTGTTGTATCCGTGTTTATCATAAACAACCCCAAGTAGACGTCTTCCTTCCCTTAGGACATGGTTGCAATTCACAGACAGACGCTCGCGGAAATTTTCTATGTTTTATTTTCTCGATCCCCTCCAATATATGCGCGGTCACTGTTTGATATATTGCAAAACATATCCGTTTCTTTTGATGAATTGTCTCCACGCTGGGATTCGTGGCCTTTTTTGGTATGGTTAAAACACACCTACAAGACCCCCAGATTTTTTGAGGAAGATATCTGTATGCACCGAGACCCGGCTGTGACCATTGAGAAACCTCACCTTCCCTCCCAGGGTCAACATTTTTGTACGTACACAACGGCTGTGAAACTGTTGTTATTAGTGAATCCTGTATAAAGCATTCCGGACCAAAATATTAAAAAATTGACGATCATTCGATGTTTGCTTTTCTGCGATTTGTCAAAAAATTACAACGGAATCTTAATAAGACGGGTACGTTGTAATCGACAATATATAAATCTGTGATTTTAATGCATGTATACTTCGACCAACTTTTGCTGCAAAGCTAACAGTTTTGAGGACAAAACGTTGGTCCATTTTCTAGTTGCTATATTACCCTATTTTTGGGCTACCAATTAGCAACTTCAGTTAATTCGCCACGTGTTTTTAATGACAGCCACAAGCGTTCTGCGAAAATCTTTACTCAATTAAATATTTCACAATCCTATAGTCACACCCCGAGTTAAAAGTTTCGAATAATTGTGCAATATTTAATTTACTAAGTAATGCATTTCCCATTACATTTTTCCCTGGATGTGTCATTAACTCTCAGGGTGGCACTGAATTAGCGATAAATAAACAACAATAACACTGTAATTAATTGCTTGTCATATACGATTACTATTTTAAGTAGTTATAGCATTTTCCTGGATAAAAAAGATTAGTATTTTATATTAAGCAGTTCTTTGACTTCTTACCTCGTGATCTTAGGTGTTATTTCAAACAACAAACAAGGATTGAGTGAAAACGAATTTTCACATCGCCATATCATGACTATTTAATGAAAGCTCACACTAAACCACACATTGAAAGTTGGCTCCAACTTCTCCAGATCGAAAGGAAACGTTTTGATGCCAAAGACCATGCAGCCGCTTGCAACAAGGAAAAAAATGCTTCATCATATATGCAGAATAGTGCTAATCCAGCTTTGAAAAACAAACCCCGAGTCAGACTATGGGGGATTTACATGAAACATGTTGTTCGTTTGCTTTTAAAGTCTACGTTCCCTCAAGGGCAAATCATCATCGGGTGCAATACTTGTGACCGATGCTCTCTAATCCTTCAAGTGCTTTTAATGCAATCAAAAATATGGGTGTGACTGAATATTAGTGCATAGAACTAGATCAGGGTGACATTTTGACTCCATTTACGTCAGTGCTTAACAGAGCTCAACAGCGCCGTCTCAAAATGCACGATCTCAACTACCGTAAAATATTTCCCAGCTGGAATATAGAAGTAGCACTCGTTTTTATATCCGTCATAGACGACCGTGTGGCTCGATTGATGACGCCGACTGGCTTGTGAAATATAGAGAGGAACTAACGTAGAATATATGCAAAATATTGAACGCAGAACAAGATTAAGTAACATCGTAAAAAATGCACAAAATCTTGACATCATCACAACCTTATTTCTCTATCTGAAGAATTCAAACTCACTGGTAACAGCCTGGCACATGTAAAAATCGCGAACCTTTTTTTCTTGAATTTATTGAGGCTGTATTGCCAATTAAATGGAAGTTTATTCATTAATATTGACCGAAACTTGTAGGCGGTAAGCCAAACAGGATGATAACACAGGAATTATCGTAAAATGAGGCAACAATTCATTATTCTTTCATGCCAAGAAAATTACCAATAATTAATTCATTCATTCCTCTCCCCTCTATCTGGCTGTCTCTCAATATTTCAACGGTCATGACGACACGATCAAATTATACACAATGCAATATGCCTGGTTGGTATCTGTTGGCCTTGTTTGAACTTCGGCCAAGAATGTTTGTGCACGAGTTCTCACATATATCAGATTACAAACACATCACGAGAACCGGCAAGCGCTTTCAGCCTTTCTTATGCGGCATCAAATTCCCATCCAGAGAATTCAAGCGAATTATACCACGAGGATTGTCGTCATATATAGGATATAGTAATATTTATAAAAAAAGCAGCGATAATGATTTTATATCATTACCTGAAGTGGCAAGTGTCTGATCACTCTGTTGCGTTTTAGGAAGAAGGTCGTTACTCTTGACGAGTGAAATTTTCAACTTGGATTGATCTGACGAAGACAGGAATTCATCTGACGCCGCTTTGTTTTTACCTAAAAGGATATAGATCATTATTGATAGATTTTTACAATTTTTTATCACCCAATAACATATGAAGTGAAAGAGACGATCTTTAAAACAGTTGGCCTGTTGTAGCTGCAAAAATTCACCCGTTTATGTATGCTTTTAAAATTTTAAATATTAACTCCACAGACAGTACAATTAGTCCTATTGGCGATATACAGTTAGCCATTCCTACTTCCTAAATTGTCGGCGAAATAGCGCGTATATAACTGGCCCTAAAAAGTCCCAAAGTGAAATAAACAAAGCTCATGCAATGACTGAGAAAACAGGAAACAATTTATTGGTTGAAGAAACACGAGTTTTCCTGCTCTCGTTTGCTATCATTCCACGCATTTTTCTTCAAAGTTCTTCCTCATATTTTTATACAAACAATCATTGGGTTTCATTTTCCTATGTTTACCCCGTAAATATTCGTTTAGTAATATAAAACTGCATGTTTGTCGATAACTGAAGATAAACAGTAGAACTATTGATTCAGAATGTTCTGATAATGGTGATAATGCGATATGGATATTGGATAACTTCCTAACTAATCGGGTTAGCGTTAATGTTTCCTTCTTAATGCAGTCAGATAAAACAATCGAAATCGTGTCTTGTTGAACAATTTGAACAATGGTCAATTGAAATTGAAATTGAATGTTTCGAGGGCAATATGCCACCGCACTTGGTTGGTCTTGCGATGAATTAGAAAGTATTTCGATAAAAAAATTCTTAGTTTTACTATATCATATCGAGAATATTTGGAAAAAAGAGACATCAGCAAGAGCGATCGAAAGGAATCACTTCTTGCAATATAGTTACATTAATCCTTTTACAATAACCATTCCTTAAAACTTTCTTTATACTCTTGATTATATAATGAGTCCCAAGAAATCATTCTGGGAGGTCATGTTTCCTTTCCATACCACAGGATTAACACCTTGTAGTACTGGGGTCGATTTTACTAAGTCTAAAGAGTCGCCATATTCACCGCAGATCCTGGATATTTCCAACCGTTGAAAAAGCTCGAAAAGCAATTAAACTCAG